CCCGGTATATGGGATCTTTACCCACATGTATATATACCAGGTAGCTACACCACAATCTACAGTGACTTCTCCACTGAGAGACTTGACCCCTTAACTGGGAGTCTTGTAGCCTTGCCCACTAAGTCCTCACTGAACTGTGTCAAGCCTGCACCTGTTGCTGGTAGCACACAGCTCATTTATCAACTTGGACTTCACGAACTTCTTTTCCGAATGTGACTATCCCTGGGATCTCATGTCAACATTGACAGCAATGCCGCACTGATGACGCATCACCTATGGCCACTAGATAATTGAACGTCTCTGACTTGTCGACAAAACTAATCACGAAGGTCTTCAGTATGAGCGCTCTTGTAGAGTTTTTGAGTACTCACGCTTTGAATGCTTGTTTGACAATGTCTAACCTAAGAGCGAACAGGGATTAGGCTTTAAAATAAGTGCATATAACACACGCACCTGCCCAGTGATCGGAAATGCTCACGGAGCCACTCTGAACCTGAGGCTATATGATGCCATGCTGCCTTCCCAGATTAGACACACAGATGCCACTGTGAAACTGTCACGGTACCACCAGACAAGAGATCAAAAAGACTAAAAAGGGACAGTCACGTGGAACGTGCCGCCCTGATCTCCCTGATCTCAAAGAATTCCCCTGAACCCTATGTGGTGCAAGAGCCTCTGACTTACTAGTCGATGTGGCAGGTGCAGGAAAGGGTGAGAGATATATCAAGGAGCTGGTAAGCTCAGTGGGTGCTACAGATGGTAGACGAGGAGAAACAATCTGAAGTTTCGTCCTCTACATGGCTGGTCTTATATACATGTACAGCGGGCTATCTTATCTAAGCTACCTATCTACGGGTATAAGCTAATGGTCGTACATGAAACAATAGAATGTCCAGAAGTAGAACAATAAGTGGGAAGATTGATGGTTGCCGCAGTAATGCGTGTGCACATTGTGCCTATCTTGGTTTCCCTTTTGTTCTCCGGTGTGAACATTGTGCCTATCTAGGCTTCTGCTAAACTAATAGAAAGTGGAAGGTTGATGCATAACAATAGTCCTTGTTCCCTTTGTTCCCAAATGGGTGCCTCTATTGTATCCTGGAATAGACAGGTCCGACCGTATCATCCATGGGTCTGGACCATAACATGTGATGTGGACTATCACCTGATCTCTACACGTCACGTCTGTGGCTGAGTGGTGTGAGATATTGATGAAGCACATAATCTGTGGCATGAGAAAAGTCACGTGTGGACTTTGTGGCGAAAATCTGTGACAGAAACAAAAAAGTGATAAATGAGCTGTATGCTACCAGCAACAGGTGCAGGCTTGACACAGTGCAGTGAGGACTTAGTGGGCAAGGCTACAAGACTCCCAGTTAAGGGGTCAAGTCTCTCAGTGGAGAAGTCACTGTAGATTGTGGTGTAGCTACCTGGTATATATACATGTGGGTAAAGATCCCATATACCGGGTCTAGGACCTCTGGTATCTACAGCCACTGTCTACTTACATAGATGAGTAACACTACAGTATCTAACTGGCCAATGGCATATTTATTCAGTGTCGTATAATACTCTATGAATATCCTGATTGGTCAATGTCCTATCGTACGATCCCTTGAGATTATATCATTGGACATTGTCCTTCCATACCCTTCTTTATATTGTGATCTTCGTAGATTACTTGGAATATATTATTCTTTCAACACCCTCTCTTAATCGAGATAATCACAGTATGTATCACATCATTGTGTGTACTATAGTTTCTATGAACTATTGACGAGTTTCATAAACAAGTCATTCCTGTGGGGTTGTTGTCATGAAGAAATGAGGAAGCAAGCATACAAGCTTCCAGGGTTTGAAATATTTAGAAATAATTGTTTTGTTTCAAGGACAATGTTTGCCCTATATTGATGCAGTTTAAATGGACTTGCTCAGGTCATTTAGAAACAAGAGTGTTGTTTCAAGGACAGTGTTTGCCCTGTGTTCACAATATATCTTAGATGAGTATGAGCATGGGCCACTAGAACTATTGTCATCAACAAACATCATAAGATACTATGACAAGGTATAAACCAGGCATAATAAAGTGAACTTGGCTAATCATCATGGTGATTGCCATTTGATGCAGTTTAAAGATTTGCTTCAGGTCAAGGTGCTTGCAGTTTGATGACTTGTGCTAGGTCATTCATGGCGCTCAAAGCTGCCAAAAATTGAACACTTTAATGACATGCCAAGGTCGTGCAGATTATTTATGTAAAAAGATGCATTTAAGGCCCTGTCACAGCCCTTCAGTATCACTCCGGATACTGGGCTTCACCAGTTGTCGAACGCTGTCGTCAGTCATTGTCGAATTCACACGTTCTTGTTGTGCCCCCATGGATGCTTCCACTGTGCCATGGGGGCGGTGAAGTACCAAGTTCGAAACTCGACCAGTATATGTTCTTTATTACATAATCTTGCAAAGTCACGTGCCATAGGGCGCTCAAAGCTGCCCAGGTCTAAATGCTTTTTAGAAACAAGGATTTTGTTTCAGGGACTATGCTTGCCCTTACTTCACTAAAGTATTTAGAAACAGGAATTTGTTTCAGGGACAGCATCTGCCCTATTTGTCACAGTATATTTCACAGTATACTATGCAAATGGATATTCGATCGAGTAAAGATTTGGTATGCAAGATTTGATTGAATATTATGGCAAGTCAAGTGTCATGCACTTCTTCAGATTTAATAGCTCCACAATCTGGGTTGGCTTTATTTGGTTTCAAATCATTTTAAGGAAAGACAGTGGTTCTTTGTGATGTAAGAACTAGTATGAATGCAATCTTGGTTGGCTATCATTATGCTCAGTTAGATTGTTTTCTGCTTGCCTTCGCAGTATTCTATACTAATTTCCTGATTTAGAAATATCATTGTCAAGTGAATAATGAGCTTGCTGCGATCGTGGAGTTTGTCAACAACAGTCTACATCATCATGAACTAGATATGGGTGACTGCCATAAATGTGATGCAGTTTAATTGTCATGCTCAGGACTAAATGCTGCATCAATCAATGTTATAAGCTTTTAAAGGGCCTAAGCAGTCTGTCAAGATGCTAGCCGAGCCTTGAAAGATACTCGCATTACCATGGATATCTGATGACTAGTCAGATACTCGCATGAAAAGACTAGTGTGTTCACTTGTCTACATGGTAAGCTTGATGTGCTTAATAGCACACCCCCTAATCTATGATTGGGTTGGAGCTTGTGAGGAGCACCTCCTAATCTATGATTAGGTGTTTCCTTTCCCTATAGATATATATCTATATTTTCTTCATATCACCCCCACATTTCACAAGTCGGGTCCATTGTTGAGAGACCATGTGGAATGTACAGCATAATGGCCATGTGGTAGAGAAACAGGAGGGTGGGAGGGAGGGGAAAGAAAAAATGATAGTTTAATGACATTTCAGTCGTTGGGTGTACATATCTGTTGTGTAGATCGATGTCTAATGAATATACAACAATTTACCATCCAAATGGTGTCAATACTTGGTTGCATATTGTGTGAGCAATCCAGTTTCAAGTGTCAAGCACCTGCGTGGACCATTCTATGCGACCATAATCTCATGAATAAATTTTCAAGGATTTTATACAAGAATAATGTACGTATACAAAATCAATATGTATGAGGGTAGTGTCGACATCAGACTGTGTCTGGAGGATCAAATGGAGTGATAAATGTATATTTGTGTGTTTTCCAATAAGGCACTAATCAACAAACATGTGTATTTATATAGCACCCATACAGGCACAAATATGTCTAATTTATTTTTGGATTTTCCCAATAAAGTACTTATCACAAATAATAAATGTTATGGTTTTCCAATAAGGGAATACCAAAATGGGTAACTGGTCAGGTGACCTAGTTGAGCGCTAAAGAGCGCAGTTGCAGGGTGTCAAGGTTGAAGCGGGGCTCATAACCTGATAAATGAGCTGTGTGCTACCAGCAACAGGTGCAGGCTTGACACAGTGCAGTGAGGACTTAGTGGGCAAGGCTACAAGACTCCCAGTTAAGGGGTCGAGTCTCTCAGTGGAGAAGTCACTGTAGATTGTGGTGTAGCTACCTGGTATATATACATGTGGGTAAAGGCCCCATATACCGGGTCTAGGACCTCTGGTATCTACAGCCACTGTCTACTTACATAGATGAGTAATACTACAGTATCTAACTGGCCAATGGCATATTTACTCAGTGTCGTATGATACTCTATGAATATCCTGATTGGTCAATGTCCTATCGTACGATCCCTTGAGATTATATCATTGGACATTGTCCTTCCATACCCTTCTTCATATTGTGATCTTCGTAGATTACTTGGAATATATTATTCCTTCAACACCTGCCCCAGCGCCTGGTGTCTTGTATCACTGCAGCGGCGCTCCGCGATCGACCCTCTGGCCCTCACCCTCCTGCCCTCGACCTCCTGATCTCACCTCTGCCTGGTCACACCTGTCCCTCAGCTACCCTGCAGCCTTCACACCTCAGCGACCTGCCCCAGCTCTCAGCCCTTGACCTGCCAACTGAATTACTCACCAGCCAGCATCCTGGTCCCCCAGCAGGAGCCTCATAGTTGGTGGTTTCACATCGATTGCGGTGAGTGCCCCTTGGTCAATGGTGATCAGTTTGTGTTGACTTTTTCAGCCAGCCCGCTATGTGGCCAGGAGTTCAGGAGTCGCTCGCTCTCTAGAAGATGGCTCCACGGGGCCAAACTGATGGCTCGTCTCATTGTAGCCATGCCCTATTATATACACACGCGCTACTACTCTCCCATGCCAGTGGTGCAGGTCACACTGGGGCCTCTCGCATCTGCACTCCATGCCCAGATTCCAACCATTTGAACTGCTAAGCGAGATCATTCGTTATCTACTCAAGGATTCAGCTGTGGTGAAAGCCTTCTCGCAGACCTGCCACTTCTGGAATGCCGCCGGCAAGCCTGCAGTATTTCACGCAGTTTAAGTGGATAGCATGGAGCGTCGAAAGGAGTTCTGCACCCTGATTGACAACAACTCAACTATTTCCAGCACATGGATCCACGAAGTCTACCTTAATCGAGATGCATTGTATGGGGAAGATGAGGACGCCAGTCCAGCGCTCATTTTTGCATTCGTGGATGCATTCCCAGAGCAGTTGGAAGGCCTGCAGACTCTCGTACTAAACACCCTGTCTAGCTTCAGGGGCTATGCCTCACACGACTTCTTCAACAAGCTTTCCCAATTCAGCACAGTAACCTCTCTGACCTTCTGGTGGTTCAATCTTCCCGTCGAGACCTGGAACCCATTCATCTTATCCTTCCCCCAGCTCTCAGACCTGCACATACACAGCCTCTCTTTCAAGCAACCCAGCCAGAGCATTTGGTTGAGAATTCAGAACTTCCCTCGATGCTTGCAGATCCCGCCAATTACCACCTTCTGATGCCATGGCATGAATAATGGTCTGCTGCGGCTATTCAGCCAGTGGTTCCAAGAGAGCATGCCTTCTCCTATGTTGCGCACCGTTAGCGTTCATTTCTTCCATCATGAGAAACTCGAGAAACTGGGACAGTTCCTGCGCTGGCTCGGTGATAGCCTGGAGAGCCTGGAGATACTCTTTCCAGTCATGAACCTATGGTATTCAGATGAATGTAACGCATTTGTGGCTCTCTTCAGCATTCCATGAAACTGACTGAAAGATAGCGATCAAGCGGTGCATCAATACTTGCACTCAGATCCACACCCTCCACCTGTGTCACAGCACGCCAATGACAAAGATAGACAACTCAAACAAGGAGTCCCATTAGGATCTCTGGGTAAAAGCCTACAGCGATGAGCTGTGGCAGTATGACGTGCCCACTGACGAGGCCTAGTTGCTGGTCGTGAAGTGAGACTTACTGGTGAGGCAAGGGGTGCTATCACAAAGGTGAGAATGCAAATAAATGTATAGCACACTGAGAGTGTCTGGTAAGACCCCTCTGTGATGGTAGTGGTGGATGAAGGAGAATAAGACTGGAGTCTCTCCTCGTCAGACCTGGTCCTTATATACATACATGATTGTTGTGCTACTGTACAGTACTACCTAAGTGAGTCACACGCTATCCTACTGGTTAGTGCTACAATCGTACGATGTGTCCCAATTATCCTAATTGGCTGCCTAATAATAACTCACAGAGACGGAGCTCCCTTTGAGCATGCAATATTGCATCATGGCTATAGCATCATATGATGCAATGCTGAGGGGCTCAGTGTCACGTGACAATGCTGAGAGAGATCCGAGGTCATGTGACTAGATGCCTTGTTATCTTATCTCTCATTAGGTCACGTGATTCTTGTGCGACGCGAAATAATTAAAGTACATAATATGCTTCTAATAGCATTTGTTTCTACAATGACTTGTCAGGTAAAAACTGTGACATCACCCCCTTCTCAAGGTTCATCATCCCGATGAGCCAAAGCCTTTGGCACCTCATCTGGTTCACTTTGTGAGTGAACTGTCTGCCTTAGAAATGATTTCTAGAGCATAGCGTTCGTATATGAGTTGTGCGACACGATCGCCTGTTCTGACCTCGAATGGTTTGCTGGTCATGTTAATGAGGAGCACCTTGATTTTTCCTGTGTAATCTGGGTCGATTACCCCTGCTGCGACATCAATTCCTTTGAGGGCTAGCCCACTTCGGGGGGCCACCCGAATGTATGTCCATTTTGGGGGGTCTACCACAAGTCCTGTGCCAATAAGCATTCTGGAATGTGAGGGAATGTCTATGTCTTATACGGACTTGACATCCCATCCAACAGCTTTTGAAGATCCCTTGTAGGGTGCTCGGGCATTTGGATGAGTGCAGAAAAAGATCATAAATTCATCAGGGTGGTCAGACAGGGCGATTTTGTGTGCTTTGCGTGTTCGTGGCTTGACTCTTGGAGCATCTGGATGTGTCTTATGGAATTCCTCCACTTTGTCTTTGACATTCGTGAGGTTTTTCAGTGGTTCCCAAGTATTATCGCTGTGGTCGTAGTCTAACCATTTAACAAGATACTGGGTGTTGTTGTACCTGACTCTTGAATCCAGGATGTCCTCCACATCCCATTCTTCTTCTCCATCTATGATGACTGGAGGATTAGGGGGAGGTACGCATCCAAGGATAGAGCCCTGATGGAACATTATGAGCTTGGAAGCATGAAACACCAGATGCAGCTTCATGTCCGCTGGTAGTTGCAGTTTGAATGATACAGTTCCGATGTTTTCGAGGATCTTGAATGGTTCATAGTTCTGCATCACAAGCTTCTGGCTTTTGACCTTTACATGGAGATCTTTTTCTCGAATAAGCACTTCGTCTCCTACTTTGAAAGGAACATTTTGCTTTTTGAGATTGAAATACCATTTCATTCTTTCTGCGGCTAATGACAGAGCGGCACGGGCTTGTTCCTATGCTTGATCGCGGTTATGGAATAAGTGTTCCAGGGATGAATGTTGTATTCCTTCTAGTATGTCTGGTGCCATTCAGGGGTGTCGACCATGCTCAATGAAAAATGGGGACAGACCTGTCGATTCTGAAGCTTGGTTGTTGTATGCAAATTCCGCTGTGGGCAATAGTGTGGCCCAATCAGTTTGTCGGTAATTGCAGTACATGCGCAAATATTGCTCCAGAATTTGATTGACTCGTTCAGTCTGTCCATTCATTTCTGGGTGATAAGCTGTAGACATCGTAGACTTAATGTGAAGTTTCTGACAGAACTCCTGGAATAGTTTGGCTGAGAACTGTGTGCCTCGATCAGATATGATTTGCCTGGGGATTCCATGGAGTTTGAATACTTCATTGTAGAAGATTGATGCTACTTGAGATGCCGTCATTGTGTCATCGACTGGGTAGAAGTGAGCATGTTTGGTGAACCTATCGACGACTACCAAAATGGCAGTCTTCTTTTCTCCCCTATGGTCTGGGCTTGGCGGTAACTGTGTAATCAGGTCACATGTAACCATTTCTTAAGGTCCCTCTGGTACTGGGTTAGGTTGTAGCAGTCCATAAGGCTTTCGCTTGCTTGTCTTGTTTCTCTGACAAGTTACGCAGCCTTGGATGTACTTTTTTACATCAATGGTGAGCCCCGGCCACCAGTAATTTTTGCTGATCAGCTCTTGTGTCTTCCATCATCCGGGATGTCTGGCTGTGGAGATGTCGTGGTGCAGCTTGATTAGCTCATTCCGTAGCATAGAGTCTTTTGGGACATAGACCTTTCCTCTTCTGAGCAGCAATCCATGCTCAAAGTTCCACTCTTGAAGGTCTTTTTCGAACTCTCACTTGCCAGTTTTTAGTAGGTGCTGGTAACCCTTGGTCATGTCGTCATCTTGTAGTGCCGATTTCACTCTTTCTAGAAGTTTTGCATCATCAACTTCGGAGGAATGAGTGGCTGAGATCGCATGGATGGCAAAATATTCAGGTCGAAGCAAAGTTTGCCCTGAATTGTCATTGCTCACCCCCTTCTCATGATCTGGCCTCCTGGACAGAGGATCGGCATGCATCATTGTCTTTCTGGGGTGATGGCGGAGAATGAAATTGAATCGTGTGAGGTAAAGTGACCAGCGAGCTTGGCATCTGGTCAATGTTTGAGCTTGATGAAAATAGGTGAGATTGAGGTGATCTGACCATATCTCAACCAGGTGAGGGTGTCCTTCGAAGTACTGCCTATATTCTTCCAGTGCCTGAATGATAGCTAGCATCTCCTTGTCATAGATTTCGTAGTTTCTTTCATGTTCATTGAGCGATTTAGAGTAATATGCGACAGGGTGCCAGAGTTCGTCTTCTCCCAATTGTTTCAGGGCTGCACTGTTTGTGAAGTCTGAGGCATCCATTTCTAATTAGAAAGCATGTGTTGCGTTGGGTAGTGCTAGAATTGGGGCAGAAGTGAAAGCCATCTTGAGGTCCTCAAATGCCTTTTATTGAGACTCTTCCCATTTCCATTGAGCATTTTTACGTGTTAGCAGAGTCAAGGGTCGGATCATCGAGCTGAAATCCTTGATGAATCGTTGATAGAAATTTGTCAGATCAAGGAATGCATGTATCTGCTTGACCTTGGTGGGCACTGGCCATTTGAGCATGCCATCTACCTTTTCGGAATCCATTTGTATCGACCTCTTTGAGATTATAAGACCTAGAAACTTAACAAAAGTTGTCGCGAAGTGACACTTCTCTGGTTTCACAAACAGGTCATTATCTCGAAGGCGTTGAAGGACTTCCTGAGTTAGTCATGTATGCTCTGCTGTATTGTCCGTGAATATGATGATATCATTGATATAGACCACCACCTTTCCAGTGCGTATGAGATCTCCTAATATGTCGTTCATCATCGCCTGAAAGGTGCTAGGGGCATTACAAAATCTGAAGTACATGACAGTTGTTCAAACAAACCTCTGTGGATGATGAATGCTGCCTTTTCCTCATCTCACTTATGAAGGCGTACATTATTGTACCCCCATCTCAGGTCTAGCATCATGAAGAGACTAGCCCTTGAGAGTCCGTCAATAAGATCATTGATTCGTGGGAGAGGGAACTTGTTCTTCTTGGTGATGTTGTTTAGAGCCCTATAGTCTTGGACGAGTCTAAGGGAACCATCTTTCTTTTTCACGAAAAATACTGGGGCTGCATAAGGGGATTTAGAGGGTCGAATGTAGCCTTTGGCTAGTTCACCATCAATCTATTCATCGAGTGAATTCTTCTTTCATAAAGACATAGGGTAGACTTTTGCCAGTCTCAGGAATGTTGCGTCTGGGACAAGATCAATTGCGTGATCATAGGGCTTACATGTCGGCATTCATTCTGAGCTCTTCTTCAAGAACACGTCTCCATATTGATGAAATTCTGGAGGGACGAATTTGAACCAATATTCTTTGTCCTGTGTTTCTTCTGCCGACTGTTCTACCAAATGCTCCTTTACCTTCTTGCTTATGCCTAGGATGTCGTGCACCATGTTACGAAGATTCTGGTCTTGCAAGTTTATCCAGTTGATGAAGTTGTCTTCCTGATCCCACCCATCATCCTTGTGTACGTCGGGAAGAATTGCTTCATCTTCAAGTCGGGGTTGCGATAGAAGGTTGACTTCTTCCTCGCTTACTCTGACTTGTTGCTTCCTCATGTGTCTGCATCTTGAGAACATGATCTCTCTATGTTCCCAGTCAACTCGGGGGCTATGTTCTTGTAGAAACTTCATGCCAAGGATCATTGACATGCACCCGAGGTTTGTGATGAACAAACTCTCAGTTGATCGGTGCCCCCCGATTAAGATGCTTGTGACTACACGATGAGTAATTGTGCCACCCTTGTTGGTACTGGCATCTGCATTGAGAATTCTTATTTCGTGGTTTGGTGGTATCATCTTAAACCCGTGTTTTTGAGCGAATCTATGATCAATATAGCAGGAGAATGCTCCAGAATCCAATAAGGCCGTTGTCTGGATTTTCCGTGATGCAAATTTTATCGGCAATTCGATCGAATGTTTAGAAAAGCCTGCAGATGCAATATATATATGATCACTAGGTACATTCATTCTCACGGTACTAGTACAATCATCTTGAAGTGTAGTACCAGACTTGTCTACACTTTGTACTGAAAATCCTCTGAGAATTCATCCATCTCGATGATTCTCACGTTGGTGTCCTTGACCATAGATGCCGATGCCATTGATGCCATGTCTGTGCCCTTCGCCTTGCCCTTGCCTTTGCTGGATGGTGAAGTAGTCGAGGTGATACTCATCCCACGAAGTGCAGCAATTGCTTGTTCCAATGCCACAATTTGAGGTGATGTTTCTGAGCTACCTTCTTCTTCGACTTGTCAGACCTTCTGCACCTTTCCCTTCCCTTTACCTTGAGGGGCGTTGGTTCATGTCTGAAACTGCTTTCCTTTATACTCAGGTTTGGGAGAGGGGCACCTTTTCCCTCATTCATAGGCATGCTTTCCACAAAACAAACATAGCTTGTTTGCCAGCCACCTATCCTGTTCAGGGAAAAGTTCATGTGCGATTCTTGCGCTTGTGTCCATGGCATTAGGGTCTTTGGGGGTGGCCACCTTAGTCACAGTGGTTTGTCCAGTAGACTTATTTCCCGAAATTTGCTGGAGGTGTTTGATCTCTATTTCCAGGCAGAATTCGAGATAATCCATCCAAGTGGTTGGAATCTTTGACAGGTCTAGAGTCTCTGTTACTGACATAACCATCTGGATGTGGGTCGACCGTTGTTCCCTAATTTTGACGATTAGATCCTTGTCAGAGTATCCTGATTCAGGGGCGTAGGCCCTGAAGTTCTCTGCGAAGGTGATCATTGTTTTGTGGCGAATTGCGCAGTGCGCATCTAACAGTGACTGTGCCGTGCACTTGGGATCAAGCATCTTGTATGCCATTTTCAGTTTCCTGGTGTATTCTGCCCATGTGCCAATGTCTTGTCCAGAGGCGAGCTTGATTGCATACTCTTTCATGTACAGAGCTGCTCCTCCTTTTAGATGTGCATTGGCCTGCCAAATTTTGTCCTTGTCATCTGTGAAGTGATTGTAATTGAGCCAAATGAGAAGGTTTGTGAACCATCCCTTCTTGTTCCGTAACCAGCATGTCCGCTTTAGGCGCCCAACCAGCGACCGCCAGCGATGTCGACATGGAGGCTTCTGGCGTTGAGCCTACTGCTCCACCACATAGTTCTGCTACTGTCCCACCCACCCTGCCTGCTTTGGCTAATACACCATCCTGGGCCTCCAAATTGGAGGAGCAGGACTGGATCATCGACCGCTTTGGTGGCCTTCTGTGCCACGTCAGAAACTCTGTGAGGGCTCTGGAGGAGGCCATAAACATCGCCATCGACCACTCCAACCCCACTATCTATCTAGATGACACCTCCCATGTCATCACCATGCTCACCACTGCCATCTGTGAGTTCCACATCGAGCTGCTGACTGACTCTGGCCTCAACAACATGGACCCTGGTATGGTGGCTCTTCAAATCCTCGACCACTTTTTCTGCCCCAACCCTGCCCTGGACGACGAGCTAGAGGAGGAGGAACATGAACCAGAATACCAACGCCCTCGCCGTGATGAAGCTCTGTCCATGAACATTGACATCCAGGCTGCCATTGCCAAAGTGGTGGAGGACAGCATCTGCATGGGCAACACGGCCATCACCACGAGGCTCTCGGCTATCGAAGTGCAGCTCGCTTGAAACCGGCTGCCTCCGCCACCTCCCCTGCCCAAGCTGCTTGGCCCACAGAACCCACCACCTCCACTGCCCCGTTGCCAACAGACTGACAGCCCCACCACTGCGACCACAGCCCAGACTAACACCCTGCCTCCTGGGGCCCCTACCATGGCTCAGGTGGCTGCCAAGTCTCATGAGAAGAGCTATGTGCTCCTCATTACCCCCACACAGCACGCTACCATCATCGAGGGCGGAACTATGCCCCAATGGTATGCCAAGATCCACACCTGCCTGCACGAAATGCCAGCGTGGGCTAAGATAAGTTTTCTTGATCTCCGATTCGCTGGACCTTCCAAGGTCATGGCGGTTTTTTCCAATGAGTCACTGGATGCTCTCATATGTGAGTATCTCCACCCTATCAGACACCTCCTGGGTGTCATGCCCTGTGCATCCTCACCTGCACCAGAACTGTGTGGGCAGGCCACCATGCCTCAGGATTTCCGCCCACTTGCACCAGTTACGAAGCTCTTTATTCTGAGCTGCCCTCTCCGCCACCCAGACATGGGTGCCATGCTCACTGAGGAAGAGATCTTGGCAGAACTGCACCGTAATTCCATGTTTTTCACGGTCCATTTCAATGGTCTTCCTGGCTTTATCATTTCCAGCGAGCAGTGGGAGCAGCTTGGCAAGTCCTCTATCATCGTGTCTGTCAAGGACACCCACCGTGATTTCTGTGCACGTAACCTTCTTGGGCGTGATAATCGCGGTGATGCCACTGGATTCATTTGGTTCTATGGTTCTTGTATGACGGTCAAAAAGTCCAAGGACAGACCAATTTTCCGTCAGTGCACGTGATGCTGGCGACTCACTCACCTCGAGAGACACTGCAAGAAGTGTACCCCTGTGTGTCGCTTCTGTGGTAAAACTGACCATACGGCGGACATGCATCGTCAGGTCTGCCTCATGTGCAATCATGAAAACCACCTGAGCGAGCAGCCCTGTGACCCTACTCATTTCTTCTGTGTCGTCTGTGGCGCCAATGGCCACAGCGCTGCTGATATCACCTGTCTTGCATGGAAGGATTACCGCATCCCCATTTCATGATCGAACCCTTCCTCATGAATCTCACAACCATGCATCTGCATGTGGCCTGGTCTAATCTGTGTGTCCACAGCTTGGTTTCCTCCTCTTCCTATGATATATACTTCCTTCAGGAGCCGTGATGGTGCCAGATTGGCACCGACATCCCCCATGGCTCTGAATCTGGCACCACTGTTTATGGCCATGTCAACGTCCGGCCCTATGGGCTGGATGCCTTTCATTTTTCTTCCACCACTGCCTTACCGCACCCCCAAGCCAGCATCTTGGTCAGGCATGGCTTACTTGACACTTACCATATTTCCATGCACACCGATCTGGTGACAGATCCAGACCTGGTTATTGTTCACTTCGTCTCTCGCTTTGACCCCACACACTCTTTCTTTGCTATCAATTGCTATAATGAGGGCACGCGATCTCACCATCGCATCCTCCCCATTCTCTGTGATATCCCTTTCTTGCCCAAAGTGAATCTCATCGTCAGTGGTGACTTTAACATTCACAACCCCCTTTGGTTGTGGACGGGCTGCGCCCTGCACCCAACCAGTTCTGTTTCATCCACCTTCGTTCAATGGCTCGAACGTGAAGTTCTCATTTTGCTTAACGATCTTGACCAACCCACTCACATGGTCGGTGACGACCCGCTCTCGGGGACGATCATCGACCTGATCTGTGCAACCTCCAGCAAACACTTTCATGTTCACAGAGTGGCTGCAGCATCCACCCCTTTCGAGTCTGATCACGCTATGCTAACCACCATTCTCTCCCACACTGCCCATCTGGTCCCCGTTAACCTGGGTTTTAGAGTAGATGTGTCTCAGCACAGGGATTGGCTGTCCTGCCTCGACCGAGAACTCACTATGTCACCACCCCCCTCCACCTACTCCACCATTGATGACCTAGAGGAGGGAGCCCACATTCTGATGCGGGCTCTAATTACTGCTAATCATGAAGTCTTCCCACAGTGCACCCATGCTCACTACGCCTCATGGCTCTGGTGGAACAACTCCTGCGATCTGGCCCGTGCACGCATGCAAACTGCCACCTCTCGAGACGACAGACGTGAGGCCAAATGTGCCTTGTCTACAACCATCTGCCAAGCACAGAAAGACTGGGCACACGAGGCACTTGCTCATCTCCAATATGTCAACCCATGGCGCCTTGCCTCCTGGACCAAAGGAGTGCGAGTGCCCCCCCTACCTGTTATTCGCATGGGTGGGGAAGTGGGCTCCCTGCTGGCTGATGCAGGGCAATTACTCACTCATTTCTACTTCCCTCCATCTCCTCCTCTTTCTGATCTGCCTCCTCTCTTTGCATCTGCTCCTCTGCCCGTGAGACCTGTCTGCCCACTTCTGCTATCTGAAGTAACGATGGCCATAGAATCGGCGTCCAATTATTCTGCACCAGGAGTGTCTGGCACCTCCTGGTGCCTTCTAAAGTGGGTCTGGCAGTCCGGTGCGTGAGATCTCTTCTTCCATTTCCTCTCTGCATCTTTGTGCTTGGGCCATCTGCCCACATCTCTGAAGGAAGCCATGATTGTGTACTTGCTCAAACTGGGCAAGGCTGACTATACCATCCTCAAGGCTCACCACCCTATCGCGCTCCTTGAGACCCTGAGCAAAGTGCTCAAAAAGGTCCTATCCACTTGTTTCAATTTCCAGATCTGAGTCCACAATCTCGTTCCAGGTTCCCAGTTTGGCGGATGAAGTCAGCATTCTGTTGTGGATGCCGGCATCATCCTCATGCACTGCGTCCACACAGCTTGGGAGAACAGCTTTTCAGCCACCCTCCTGTGCATGGACGTGGAAGGTTACTATAATAACATACATCATGATGTCCTTCATTTGGCCCTGCTTTCCATGGGTTTTACGGCCAAAGAAATCTGTTGGACCATGTCATTTCTCTCATCTCGCACGGTCTGTCCTAAGCTCAACTCTGAGCTAGGTCCATCCTATTCTGTCGCTGCTCTCAGCATTCCACAGGGTTCCCCCCTTTCACCTGTCCTGTCCACTATCTACTCTTCTCCCCTCTATGCATCTCTCAATCCTTTTGTTCATCCCCAACAGTCCACTGGTGTTATGTGGACAATTTCTCCCTCCTCCTCATCTCTCCTTCTTTGAACGAAAATGCACTGGTCATCCAATGCACCCTGCCACGCATCAGGCACATGTTGAACCAGCTCGGGCTCACCATTGGCATGGCCAAAACTGAGCTCATACATTTCACCTCCCCCACCCACCCCCTCGATATTAACCCCACGCTGCGAGTTCAGTGGCAGCAGAATCAGGTCACCATCTGCCCTGCACCATATCTCCGCTGGCTCAGGATATGGTTTGACTGACGTCTGTCCTTTGTTCACCACATCCACGTCATGGCCTCGAGGGCAACCTCCTGTATCACTGCCTTCCGCATGCTGGCTAACACCCAGCACAGCATGATGGTTGTGCAAGCACGACTCCTTTATTTCACCACCATCCTCCCTGTCCTTACTTTTGGCAGCCCCATGTGGTATAACCCACGGGGGACCATGCTCACTCTTCCTCCCTCTCCAGCAGGTCCAAGTCAACACCTTACAATGGTTTCTGGGTGCCTGGAGGCCTACACCCCAGATTGCCCTTAACCTTATCTCCAGTGTCCTGCTGATGCACTAGCAGCTCGACAAACTCAATGGCTTAGCTGCCGCCCGCCTGCTCACCCTCCCCTCGAATCATCCCATAACTCACTGCCTCGTGGAGAACCGTTCTGCCTCTAGGAAAACCTGGTGCGGCAAGGGTGTTAACCAGCCAGCACCTTCCCATCTCATGGGTGCAATGGGAGTGAGAGGCTGGTGAGGCCACAAACGACTGGGGCCTTGGTACTACAGGTGCGTACTTATATGCTTTTCCACCCTTCCGTACTCGCCCGCTCCATTTCCAGGTACTGCCCTGTGACACGTTTCAGCCATCGCTTGGTGCTCGTCCCTCCCGACACATTGAGCGTGTTTTACTGAAAGTGCCATCGGTCGGCCACTTCCAACACTGCCCACCCTCCAAACTTCTCCCTCCTCAACTCCAACATCCCCGTGCATTATGGTGACTCTGCGGTGGATGTCCTCGAATGTGAGCTGCCCAACCACGCTGTGTGACTTCACTTATGGCTTCAACCTCCATGGGCGCCCGCTCACCCTTGGGGAGACCGCATCTCTGTCACTGTCCCCTCCCCTACTAAGGAGGGTTCTGAAGACTATTTACATACTTTCTTCTACCCTCTTCTCCATTCTTTTATTCCTTCCCCCGAGGCCTTGTGGGTCTTCACAGACAGTTCCCAGGTTAACACACTGGTGCTGGCCCCTCACAATCGAAGAGCAGGTGCAGGTGTGTGTATCATCCATCAGGGGGCTGTGAAATACGAGCGGGCATGGGGCTTGGGCCACCGTGCTGAGGTTTACGATGCTGAGCTCTATGTCATGGTGGCAGTCTCCAGCCGCTTTGCTGGTTTTCTGGAGACCTATTGCAATATCACACGCATCTACCTCTGCACAGACAATAGAGCTGCACTGTCCAATATTCTGTCCCTGCACCCACACAGTGGGCAGCCTTTCTCCATTCGCTTTCGGGCACTTCTCGCTCCTATCATGGAGCAATACTCTCTTTTAACTATTTCACTGCTCTGGGTCCCTGGCCACCATGGCATGCTGGAAAATGAGGTGGCAGACCGTCTAGCCAAGGAGGGCATGTCCCTACCTGATAGTGTCCTACCCACTTCAACGTGGATCTGGCGCTGGGCATGAGAGTGAGCGACCACCTCCTGGTGAACTGAGTTCACTTTCACTGATCGTCCCACTGTGTTACGTTCTGCCTGGCTGTGTCAGCTGACCCTTAAGCTACATCCTGTTTACCTTGATCGTTACTTTGAGCGTAACGTCGAAGCCAGGTTGACTCAAGCCTTAATCGGCTACCGCTACCTGGCCCCTTATTTTTCATCGCTTTTTGGAATGGCTGGCCCTGCTCGTCACTTTCACGGTTCTCCCTGTTTGTGCAACCTAACAACCCCCAGCACGCGCAAGCACACTATGCTACATTGCCCGAGGCACACGCACGCCCGGCACCTGCTTTTCTGCCAACTCAAGCCTACCTCCCAGGACCTGCACCGTCTGTGGAGCCACCCCGACAGCATTCATCGTCTCGCCTCTTTCATATTCCACACCTCTTCATTTACGGCTGCATCGCTGGCCCCACCAGACCCCAGATAGTTTAATTTTTTTTATGGTCCTGGAGACCTCTCCCAATCCCGCCCATAGTCTGCACATCGATACTTCGTCACGCGGTAACTACATGTATTTTACCCTACCAATCGCGCATAGCACAGTATATAAATAAATGTACAAAAAAAAAAGTTTGTGAACCAGGTCTCGAAGTTTTCCGACAACTTTCTCCCCGAGTATTTGGGAGGGTCTGGGAGCTTGATTCGGTGGAGCGATTGGCTTGATTGGCCAGCCGGTTGTTGGATACCTGTGGGAGGTGCATTGATTATAGCATTGTTGAGCTGAGTTTCTAGCCCAACAATGTAGGTTGTGGTCTTCTCCTGTGCCTCCTTCAGGGTGACCATATTATCATAAAGGGTGTCCATCTGGCCCTTTAATTCATCCTTGTAGTCCTCGAAGTCCTTGCGAATTGCTTGGGCTTCAAGCAGCAGATTGCTGTTTGCAGTAGTGAGCCTCTGTACATCAGCGGAGAGGGTGCCGATCTGAGCTCTTGCAACTTTCAACTGGTCTCGTGTTTCTACTGCCATAATTTCGACATGAATACGAGCCAGTATCTCTTCTTCCAAAGAGGCCCCCGTGCACTCATGATGTTCATTCATCTTTTGATGTAGTGCTTCATAGGAGCTTACAATGTCCCTCATGATGAACGCTTGCACCACATTCATTACCCATTCTTTGACGTCATTTGGAATGGTGGCGAGTGCGGCGGCCTCAGCAGCTTTCTCGATTGTGTCATAAGAGATTCCCTGCCATTCCCAGGTTCCAGGTGTGAAAAACTCTGGCAGGGTGGTGGGCGACGGGTTTCTAACTACTCCTGATGCCTTGGGTGTGCTGCTAGTATGTGGTTCTTCTGCAGGGGCAGCTGGTCCTCCTTCAGATGATGTGGACGTGGCCTGACTCCTCCAGGGATCAGCAGGCTCACTCATGGTATGTCCTCCTGAGAACGCAACACCACCGAGGTTGTATTGAGACATTGGGATTGATGTCGAAGATAGTGGGAATGATGTGATGGACACTGTGTTATTCGACTCTTGGTCTCAGCCTGGTGATAATGTTTTCTTAGAAGGGGATCTCGGGGTCTTCCTCGATGAGTCCTTCTTCTGCTAGTTCCTCTCGTAAAGCTTTCACTCAGTAATGCCAATATTCTTGTTCCTCCTTAAAATCAGGAATGAGATGGAATGGTGCCGAGTAGGTTGTGTAGGCATGTACTTGTACCGTGTAGTGGTAAAGTACTTATTGCCAGTTGGTGACGAGAGGTTGATAAATGAAGTATGTGGTGCAGATGACTGTGAGTTGTCCCTGCGCTGGATGATAAAAGTCTACAATGTAGTTTTTGTATATAAAGCCAAATGTGCATCTCAGCATGAAACCCTTGGTGCGGTTATACAAAAATTATTACTGGTCTTAGTAAGGCCAGTAGCATGACTCCTTCTCGAATCTCACAATATCTCATCCTACGTGCTCCTGCTCCTTGTTAATGTTCCTAAATGAGATCTTTTCTAGCCCCATGCAAAGCTTGATTGTGATGCGTCTATCGACGAACATGAAGTCGTAGCCTCACCCAATCCTCTCGTTTAATGCTCCTAGGTGTCGCAGAATGTGATCGCGACACTGGATCTGTGCTTCCGTGAACTTGGCAGCGATATGAGGCTGCTGCAAGACTTTGTACCACTGAATGGTAGTGTGTACAGTCAGCGCAATGTTCTCAGGATGCATGCCTTTGGGGTTCTTGTGTATTCTGAGAGGGTGATAGTGCTTTGAAAGTGCAAAGGTGAGGACGGTGGTAGCATCGTCGTTGGACCACCAATGGGGTTTGTAGATGGGGACAGATGGATCAGATGCATCTTCTGAAACTGCTTCGGCCTACAAGCTGACCTTAGTGCATAGCTTCTGTAGGTCTGAGCGATAGTCGTTTGGCTTAGCCCGAAGTAAGTTGCTTGCTGTCAAACGATGAGTGCGATTGGGATGAGGATGATAAGGATGATATCGTCCGTTGGGCAGTACGACACCGTTGTGTACTTGAGATGCTTTACCGGTTGATGCAGCGCTGTTTCTTTTGAAGGAAGGAAGTGGCTTAGGCAGTAGAGGCGAAGTGAAATGGTATGAAGGAAGTGGTGTGGAAAAAGCCCTGCCCTGGGCGGGAGTATCTCTGGGCGAAAATGTGCAGCTACCAGTGTTAGACACTTGGTAGGAGCGTAAAAGGTCAGTCTTATTGTAATGTCACGGCACGCCGATGACAAAGATAGACAACCCAAACAAGGAGTCCTGTTAGGATCTCTGGGTAAAAGCCTACAGCGACGAGCTGTGGCAGTACAATGTGCCCACTGATGAGGCCTAGTTGCTGGTTGCGAAGTGAGACTTACTGGCAAGGCAAGGGGTGCTATCACAAAGGTGAGGATGCAAATAGATGTATAGCACACTGAGAGTGTCTGGTAAGACCCCTCTGTGATGGTAGTGGTGGACGAAGGAGAATAAGACTGGAGTCTCTCCTCGTCAAACCTGGTCCTTATATACATGATTGTTGTGCTACTGCACAGTACTACCTAAGTGAGTCACACGCTATCCTACTGGTTAGTGCTACAATTGTATGATGTGTCCCAATTATCCTAATTGGCTGCCTAATAATAATCCATGGAGACGGAGCTTTCTTTGAGCATGCAATATTGCATCATGGCTATGGCATCATATGATGCAATGCCGAGGGGCTCAGTGTCACGTGACAATGCCGAGAGAGATCCGAGGTCATGTGACTAGATGCCTTGTTATCTTATCTCTCATTAGGTCACGTGATTCTTGTGCGACGCGAAATGATTAAAGTAATATGCATCTAATAGCATTTGTTTCTACAATGACTTGTCAGGTAAAAACCATGACAGCCTGCACGACCCCGGCAACCCCCTCATTTATCCCTTAATTTTGCGGTTCCCCACTGCAAATCTTTGTCGAATGGATTTTACACTAACGTTCCACTGCCCAGAAGTGTTGGACAGCACTGTCGACTGTGCGCGATTCGATGTGACGCTGATCGGTAAGATGTACGCGAGGTTGGAGACGGTGTGCTTCACGTACGTTGGACCGTTCAGCAGGGATTTGGTGGAGAGAAAGGTTCGGAGCCGGTTCCCCAAGTTGAATAAAAAGGGCATCATTCAGATGGAGATGCAAAAACGAGAGCGTGTGCGTTCGACCGAGGTGCGTTGGCGATTTGTCCATTGGTGTGGTGGTTGGGCTGACGACCTTATAGCAGCTTTGGATGGTGATGTGCCCGGTTGTTCAGCGCACGAGTCCGTGATGAGAGTCTCTTTCAGCGGCGTTGGCCGCCACATCGTACATATTACATAACTCTGAAAGCACGTCCTACGGTCGGGGGGAAGGCAATTTTACCATAAACTGATTCTTATCAAGCGACGAAGCTGAAGCTTTGAAGTCAAGAGTTGTGTCGTGCAGGTTGCACTAGTCATTAGCTCGCCCAGTGTCACCAGTGCGAGAGAATGGTTGAGTTTGCAATGTACATTCGCGATCACGTGATGCTCATCAACACCGTACTCAGGCCGCGTGTCACAGTTTCATGGCACAGCCAAATTCGCACACATCGCCACCTCTTGGTTGATGCGCAGGTGCATATAAAACTGGCAACCTGCTTGCTTCAGTACATGCTACGCGTCATTTTCTCAAAGCTCTCATTCTAAATCATTCGACAAACCATAGATTCCTCAACAGGATGTCGGTGCGTATCATCGATGAGTTATTCTAGGTGAGCTCACAGTAGGAACCCCGGGCATCGCCATGTTTTCAGGAAGTAAACAGGTCACCTTCATGGCAATCCGACATGCCATTTGAACTGCTCAGCCAAATCGTTCGTTATCTACTCAAGGACTCGGCCGCGGTGAAAGCCTTCTCGCAGACCTGCCACTCCTGGAATGCCGCTGGCAAGCCTGCTCTATTTCACGCAGTCACGCTGGACAGCGTGGAGCGTCTAGAGGAGCTCTGCTCCCTCACCGACAACAACCCAGCTATTGCCACATGGATCCACGAAATCCATCTCAATTGTGATGCATTGTACGGGGAAGCCGAGGACGCCAGCCCAGCGCTCATTTTTGCATTCGTGGACATACTCCAGGGAAAGCTGGAGAATCTGCAGACCCTCGCGCTAAACAACTTGTCCAGCTTCAGGGGCTATGCATCACGCGATTTCTTCAACAAGCTCTCCCAATTCAGCACAGTAACCTCTCTGACCTTCCGGCGGTGCACTCTCCCTGTGGATGTGTGGAACCCGTTAATCTCATCCTTCCCTCATCTCTCAGACCTGCATGTCCACAGCCTCTCGTTCAATCACTCCAGCGAAGGCATTTGGGTGGAATTGCAGAACTTCCCTCGGTGCTCGCGTATCCCGCCAATTACCAGCTTCCGGTGCCATAGCGTGAATAGAGACATGCATATGCGGCTGTTTGGCCGGTGGTTTCAAGAGAGTATGCATTCGCCTACCTTGCGCACCGTTAGCATTTATATCTTCCATCACTGGGAGCTCGAGGAGCTGGGACAGTTCCTGCGCTGGCTCGGTGATAGCCTCGAGAACCTGGAGATCCTCTTTCTAACAATGAAGGGACAGGCACTATCGTATTCAGGTAGGTATAGTGCATTTGTGGCTCTCTTCAGCGTTTCATGATACTGACTGAGAGGTATAGCAATCAAACGGTGCATGAAGCTCTCTACTTGCACCCAGATCCGCACCCTCCGTTTGCACGACCCCGGCCACCGCTCCGTACACTTCTTTCTTTTGTGTGTCCCCGCTGCAAATCTCCGTCGAATGGATTTTACGCTGACGTTCTACCGCCCGGAACTGTTGAAAAGCACTGTCGACTGTGCGCAGCTCGACGCGATGCTGACCGGGAAGACGTACAGGGGGTTGGAGACGGTGTGCTTCACGTATGTGGGCCCACTCAGCAGGGATATGGTGGAGAGAGAAGTTCGGAGCCGGTTCCCCAAGTTGAGTAAAAGGGTTGTCATTCAGGTAGAGATGCAGAAACGAGAGCCTCTGCGTTCGACTGAGGTGCGTCGGAGATTTGTCAATTGATGCGATGGACGGGCTGATGGTGTTATGGCAGCTCTGGATGGTGATGTGCCCGATCGTGCAGCGCATGAGTCCTTGATGAGAGATAGTCTTTGAGTAGTCTGCACAGACTGGTTTAGCATGCGGCGTTGGCCGCTACATTGTACATACTCAATCAATGGTGCTCTGCACAAAGGCACAGACAAGCCAGACGGAGACCTCTCTGACATCTGCATCGCCATCCGGCTGTCCCAGATCTATATCGAACTGTTCCTCCATGATCTCTTCTTCCAGTTCTCCCTCCATCTCGTCTTCGCTGTCCCCAACAACATCTCGGCCGAAGTCCAAGTCAGCATCCATATTGCCAACAAGTTTGGACGAGAATTCCAGAGTCCGTGTCTGGGGCACAGTGGAGAGCGGTCGTTCGCTCGAGACGGCAAGGTCAGATGAGACTTGGCGCAGGTTGAACACGAATCGCGTAAATAGAATGGACGACATTCTGGAAAACAAAGTGTGTTGAGCGATGTCTCGCCACGACGATGGCGGCTCATCTTCTCACTGGGGACCGAATAGCGACACGTATACATATGCGTCTACCTGCATATCATCGTCCGTCAAGCGCGTGGGGGAACATAAACTGAATTACGATACCTCAACCAGCTGAACGGTAAAAGCTAGCACAATCTCGAGTACGTTGAGGAGCGAGATTGTTCTGGTCATCGCCCTGAGTTTCATAATCGTAATGATAACAAGGCAAACATACACGAAATACAGCGTGCCTAAAATATTACGTTAGACTTCTGCATCATTTTGAGACTTGTGGGAGCTCACCGTCACGTAAAAGCAGAATGGCCAGAGGTGCCTGAACTCCAGCCGTGCGAGCTTCTCTTGCTACCTTGAATGTTTTGTACCAAGTAACCGCGAGGAGAATTACATCAGATATGAGTGGGCAAATGCGAGCTGGTAACAGCACTGCATATACTCAGCTCGTGGTAGTAGCTATAGAAGAGACACGGAAACTCATACATCTGCATACGTCAGTGGATTCAACGAAATGTGATAGCTGAGACGAGCAAGCAAGGACTGACTGGTTGATCAGATTGGAAGAGATGTGAAATGAACCCGTGCATATTGGAACATTCAGAATAACTTGCACGGATGCATCGTAGTATTGTGTGTTCAGATACTAAAACACCATTATAAGCGTCCGTTAAGACAGACATGAATGGTATTCACGATGTTGAGAGCCACTGGTACTAGCCCTAGTATCAATGCCGTCAAGGCGAGCACCAGCCTGTGGCCGCAAATGGCATAGATACGCAGGGCAGTAAGTCCTATATGTCAAATGGATGAGTCGACTGGAATTGGAACCGGTGGAATCGGACTGGTCCGCTATCACGGCTTCTACTGCCGGCACTAGGTAGCTCTGCAATTCACTGATCACCAAGCATCTTCGAATTGAAATTGTGAGTAAAGGGGGACATGTTCTACGACAGTCGTGCTAATTTACCCCTGGTGACTGTCAGCGATTTGGGGCTGGAAGCAGTATAAAGTCTCACTAGCGTTGAATACAAGGGCAGCACCGCCAGCATATCGACAATCCCAAGACACAGGGACAGATATCGATTTGACAGGACAGCTACTTTTGTGACCGACAGAGGCTTGAGCCAGACCAGGGCGACCTCCTCCGGGAGTGTGATTGCGTATTCATAGAGAACTACAACTGACCAGAATCGTCAGTATCAGCTTGGGCTAGCAATACCAGTCTTGGAATACCAGCAGCAGAAATCATACAGAACTGGTATGGAAAGCTAATGATTCCACGACACCGTCAATGTCACTTATTGCCACCGGTAGCGGACTAGACTCACAATCCTTGCAGGGTACTAGCGTCTTCGGCTAACGCACTCTGGTCTGAGGACATCTTGTTCGGCGGGAGGCTTAAGTTTCAGCTCGCGAACGAGGACAGTGGCTATTTGTACGCTGTCGCTAAGCGTGGCATTGGTCGCCATCTATCCGAATGCGTGGGAAATAGAGTAAGCTCTTGATAGTTCGCCTTCCATACGATTGGTCAACCAATCTGCGGGTAGTCACTGTTCTCTAGCGACCATCTCGTACCCAAGCATTCAGCGGATGTTATGACCACTATAGGTGGCCGAGTTGATGCGTCTTTCATCACAATGATCGCAGCGATGCTAACCTTGTATGACTCACCACCTGAACAGCAGAGTTGTTTCTGTGTTGAAGTTTACCTTCGATGACGGCGCCGATGCCTGTTGAAGGTGGCAACACAGATAACAACTTCGAGGGATATGGAAAGCTTCCTAAACGAACCCGGGAATGGCTGTGTATGAGAGATTAAAAATAGAGTGTCGCTTCGCGGCATCATTGATGTCTTCCCAGCACTCCGCAGAGCGGGTTTGCAATGCACAGCGACAACACAAGGAATTTTGATCAACAAAACGGCAAGGACATCATTTTCAAATACGCACAAAAATGACACAATATCAAACTATTAGCATACCGTGCGATTGGTTTCGAACACGTCTGATGGAACAGCTCTGTGCTGTTGTATCGAGATCAGACCGAGACACAGACCGGCATGGTGTAATATCGGTCAGAGTATGTAAAAGTAGAAGCTCTCCAATCAAACTCAGCGGAGCTGCGGCGAGGCCACGTTCGCTAACTACACCAATAGTGGTCAATTCATTGACGCGAAAGAGGTACAGGAGCAGAGACCGCGTTCTCAACTTTCACAGTATTTCGTAAGTGTGCACTCCGGGGATTGAGGTATTCTTTGTTTTTCCGCGTTGCTGAGTTGGCTCGGTGCCTTTGGCTTTGGCAGTCCAGTACTAACGCGTTTGTGGCGCGAGGTTAGTACGTCCGTCTGCTTAGTCAGCAAGCATTCATCCCGTGGGCCCAGTGGCGGCAGGCCACAATCTGTTCTCCAACAGCACAGCATTATCTCAGCATCATCGTAGAATCTACAGCCAATCTGATGCGTCACAGCGGAACGCGTAACAGTGTTTCTGCGTGCATAGAACCTCTTTGATTTCTTCGACAGTACCAACCAACAACATAGTGAGTGCCTACTATACGCGTGCCTACACTTGCTTTGTATACGATTTCTACGATATCTTCACTACCAGTATCACTATAGCCTAAGTAGCAGAACGTAACGTCCAAGCGACCCAATATCAGTCTGTCCGAGCTGCGAGTATGTATGCAAGAAAGTGCGGAGCAAGAGTCTCAGTCCGAGCGGGTATCTAGTAAGTGGGTATGTGATCATAGTTCCTGAATGGCGGAAGATGAGTATGCTGCGGATGGTGTGGAGAAGACGTGCTGATACTCACCGTCATGGTCAGGTTTCCGGAGAGCAGCCCTGCGGGACAAAGAAGTTAGCTGAAAGCCACGGCGCGGTGATGGGTGATTGCATCACTTACGGTTCTCCAGTATACAACCGTCCGGAATGTCGATCCGCTGACCTTCGTTCGCGACGACTGCATCCCGGCAATCGTCAACCAAGCTGGAGCAACGCCTGCAAAAGAAGTGTTACGTACCAATGACGGTGCCCCGCAGGGTAACGTTCCGCCCAAAGTATACATCCCCCGTGACCGTCAAATGATCCAGCTCAATAATCTTAGGGATCTTCTTGAACCGCTTCTGGAACTGCGCGATCTTCTTGAAGTGGTCGCCGAGCTTGATGACCGGCGTAGTGCCAAACATGCGGTTCTCGTTGATCACAAGCTGCCCGTGCTCGAGCGAATAGATATCGCTCTTGATGAGCAGCAGGTCCGAGCAGCTCTTCACAGGCAAGAAACGCGACCGCGGCACGTTCACGCCGTGTGCGTTTCGGAAGTGCTTGATTGCCGCGCCCACGGCGGTCTCGAGCTGGATGACGGCCTGCCCGTCGTCGGTCGTCTTGGGGTTGACGATGATGTCGAGCTCCATGCCCTCTTCCTCCATGATGCGCTTCACAGCTGGAAATACAGACACTCAGCATAGGAAGAAGGGAAGAGAAGGGATGCAGACCCCTCAGGTTAATCCAGAGGTTGTTCGTGTTGAAGATCTTGAACTTGCGCACGGACTTGAAGTCCTCGACGTGCTCTGACGGAACCTGTGCAATCTCGAGCAGCTGGATGGTGCCCTCGTAGTCGATAAGCGTTCCACCCTGTCGTGTAGGTGAGCTTCAGATACGAGATGAAAGGCACGGGGGAGCCAGTGACAAACCTTGACGTCCGCCTTCGTCTTGTCGGTGACCTCCATGATGAACTCCGCCTGGGAGTCGACCATGTGTTGGAGGATATTCTCATCAACACTACAAATAGAATGCGCCGCTCAGTATAGCATTTGATGATTAACATCCGTTGACGTACACAGCACCGAGGTTGTCCGAGTTGGACACGAACAGGTACTCCTTTCCCTCAGAAAGCAGCTGATCAAGCACGCCAGAGTGGAGCAACGCATTGTACAAGTCACCGTGGCCGGGCGGGTACCACTTGTTCTTGTCGTCATTCGCGTTCTTCGGGAACGGCATGAGCGACTCCTTCAGAATGCGCGGGTACCGGCTCTGATTGAACGTTGTGATACGCAGCTGTTGATTCGCATACTTCTTAATGATCCGCAACGTATCCTCGTGCGTATTGAAGGAGGTCATGAGGATCAACGGCACGTCAACACGTTCTGTGGTGTTTAGGTGCTCGATCTGCCGCACGGTCAGGTCGAGGAACGTCATATCGTTTTTGACTTCGAGCGCCGACTTGGCGCCAGTCATGCCTGCAAGTGCGCGCGAGGCCGGTCAGCGTCACGTGAGCGGCGATTAGAGAGCACGCGTACCCATGGAGGTACCAAGACCGCCGTTCACCTTGAGGACAGCGAGCTTGTTGAGGTTCTTGGGGTCGGGGTTCGAAGGCAGCTGGTCATACGGGACGACTTTGTCCGCCGATGGCGACTTGATACGGTCCCAGTCGCTGTGAGTATGGTCAGTTCGCACTCGCGGCGATGCTGAATTGATGACATACAGCTCCTTGCTTTGCGCCTTCTCTGCGAGGTAACGCGTGAACAGATAGAAGAACGACTGCATCTCCGTGTCGAAAGCCTGGCGAAGTGATGAATTACTTGGTTGCCAAGCGGTAATGAACCAGATAACCTTCTTAGTGGTGGAGTCCGACACGGTGTTCACAAGCCTGTTGAGCTCATTGCGCATGTTCTTTGTGGCAACGCCGGTCGTCGCGCTCTTAAAGTGCTGTTTGCGTTTACGCGGCAACACAGGAATAGGACAGCATCGGTTAGCGATGTCATCATCATGATTATAGATGCGAGATGTATGAATGACATGAATGGAAGAGGACGTGTCACAGGTACCTACCATGGAAGACACGCCTCTAGTGCGAGGCGTCTTCTCTGTGGGTGTGGCCACGAGTGTTGCCTCGGATGAGTTGAGAGTGCCGAGAAAGGACATGGTGCGTGTGTGCGGCGAGGACGGGGGAATAGTGAGCGACGAGGGAGAGGGAGGGGAATAGCTTATGCGTTGGCAACATGACTTTATAGCGCTCGATCACCGATTACTCGACGCGTGGGTTGATCCGAAAACTGTGATCGGTCGCGAGCCCAGATTTCGCGCTCTTCCTCTGCGACCAACGCTGCGCTCAGGGACAGGCACGCCGGTGCGCATGACGACAAGAATGGGCTGTAATGGCTATGATATGTGGCTTGTGTCGCAAATGCGTCGAGATGCTGCTGGCCATAGGTGGACCTTTCTCAGCGATTTCGGATCTTGAACATCGTTGGATTTACGGCAAGGATGGCAGTCGAACGCCCGACAGACGAATTGCTGTTGTGTTATCTGTGTACACCTCGAATCTCTGATGTCTGTAGAGGCTTGGATGTGGTGCCTACCTCTGCGTCCTCGTGCTGTTCGCTTAAAGCTTGCAGAAAAATTACACAATTTAGGCTAGCCAAGCGATTGACGTCATCACTCTCACAGGCAATCTATGAAAACTCACTCAGATCGACAGCCCATGTTGGGTATGAAGTCCAATCAATTCGGTGATATGCCGCACAGCGGTGAAGGAGAGCTGGAAAAGAGGTCCTCGTAGAGACTAGTCTGTTTGTGATCTACTTACCCTATCACGGGCTTCATAGCAATTCCTGAATGACAAGTTATGCTTTCTCGCCGCGTCGATCTCAACTTTCCGAGCGACCTTCTGCAACCCTTCATTCTGCCGTAGCATAGCTGTGTCACCATCCTGGTGTGTATACATGCACACGTTGAGGTTCCAGGATTGTACTGGACGCATAAGAGTGGACGTGGGCAAAGTCGGCAGTTGGTCGATACCTCGGAAGATTGGTCGGAATTTTCGCTAGGTGGCGGGAATGAGACGCGTCGAAAGTCATGGCTGACATTACTTCTTGGAATCAGTCCTATAGTGCGGCCAGTTGATCATGACTTCTCATGGTTGTGAATATTGCAAGGTCAATACTACCCGAGATTACGTGTCAGAGCCGCGGAGAGTGTGTTCATGGGCACCATCTGGTGGAACAGAGCTCACTCTCACCTAGAATCAGTCCTGTACCGGATGAGGAGGAAAGTGGTATCGAGTGGCTAAGGCGATACGAGCAACAGACTCGATGACGGTCACGCGATAGTGATACACGGTGGCCGCACATAAAGGGATTCGACTACCATTGAAATTCGAGAGGAATATCATGTACGTACGCCCAATGACAAGTCAAACTCTTCACAGACAACAGCCAGGATGCACGCTGGAAGCTCTCATGGATCATACCTAATATTCAGGTCGAGTAGGCACTGAATCCTGTACGCAGTCCTTTGCGGCAGCTGCGCAATCCAGACGTCGAATAACACCGACGACAACTGGTGGACAAGCTTCATATGGTTCGTCTATATCCGCCTCGGCACCTTTCTGGTCTTCTCAAAGCCGTTCTGAAACACGGTCTGAACGGAAGCACTCCCTGAAGGGAAGCACAAAATTTGCGCCAGGTTCCGCAATGCATCCGACCGAGGCTGTGCAAGGAAGATTTCCATCCTCACATCAAGGGCGTTGCGACGTTCCGGGCGCAATGCGATGCGCGGCCCCGGCCGCCCCGCTCAAGCTCCCTTGACGCCTTTTGCACTTCGCACTGGCAGTGACAGGCGATAGATCGTTCAATCGTGCGCAATGCGGGTATACGCAGCATCCCAGATGCATCTATGACGCACTCGAACATGTCGACAGCTGCTAGACAAAGTCTACGTGCTGAGACGCAAGCATTTCGACGCAGCAGTATGAATCAAGCCAGATGAACCCGTGGAGACGGAAAGTTGCATGTGCTATTTGCGGACTCAATAGCATGTGGGGAAGATTTCGTCAGTCTCAGCATGCCCTGAGACCGCACATTGTGTGCTTGGCGTAAAACTTTGGGAAAAGGCACTGACGAAGCCGACGGCGTAGTCATGTAGTAAATGATCGTGTAAAGAGTCTGCAGGACAACCAGAGCGGTGAGAGGTTCATGCGCGACGTTCGCAGATTGGAAGTCTCTTGTATTGTTTTGCTGAGTTGAGCGAACCTGCCTGAGAGGAGGGACAAGGATGTGCAGCTTGGTTTTACTGAATTGCAGGGCGGAGAAGGTATTCGAAGACGAAGCATGTCTCGCTTCTCTTGTGAGGTCAGACAGTTGATATCGACCACTTTCTTGGTAGCCCCATGAACGAAACGATACAAGGCTTCGCGCATAAGAGACAGGGGGTGGGAACAATAGACCAGGGGAAGTATGGCAAGGAATCGCAATTCCGTCAATCGTAAGGAGTGCAACATGTGCGTCGAACAGCGGAGTCGCGCAATTGTTGCAAATTGTTCAGCTGACGTGAAGTGCTCTGTGACTGTCAATAGCATGAGGACTGCAAGAAACAGATTCTGAAGCATATTAGATATGCGAGGCGGATGCTGCAAATTCAAGAATCTGACGAAAAGAACCGCCACCGTAACTGTGGCGAGACTGTGGCTGCCATCACAAATTTGTAGCGGAGCGTTATAGAGTCGAACCTTATTTGTGAAACTGCAATCCACACCGCTAGCGCGGGACTGGATCACCGTCGTCTTCATTCTCGAGCCTCAAGACATCCAACATGGGTCAGTACTACTCGTGCATCGAGCATTTCCAGGCCATACTGACGCGCCCGCCTTTGCCTACCCTCCCATAAAAAACCGCGCCAAAAACTGGATGATTTGTATCACAATGTCTTGTCGAACGCACACGGACCATGATCTACAGGTATCTCCCGCAGCTCCCGGCACAAACGCTCGGCCACTGGGGCCCAACGCCCCGCATACCGCAAGAAGAGAAAGTTCGAGCTTGGCCGCCAGCCGGCAATGACCAAGCTTGGGCCGAAGCGGATTCACACTGTCCGGGTGCGCGGTGGGAACAGCAAGTATCGTGCTCTGCGCCTCGATTCGGGTAACTTTGCGTGGGGCAGCGAGCACGTCACCAAGAAGACGAGGATCATTAGTGTCGTAAGTGTTCAGCTTTGAACTCAGTTGCATTGGCCTTCGGTAGTTTCGAATCTGGAGGAAGACAGGCCTGATGTATTGCGGCCCAGGTGTACAATGCGTCAAACAACGAGCTTGTCCGAACGAACACGCTTGTAAAGAGTGCCATCATCCAGGTCGATGCGACGCCTTTCCGTCAGTGGTACGAAGCTCACGTACGTAATCTCAGCTCCTATCTGCCGCGGAGCGCTTGTTGAATGGCTGTGGGCCACTGACAGTACGCCCAACCGGTCACGAAGCGTGGCACCAAGAAGGAGACTACAGCCACCGAGACGGCTGAGGAGAAGAAGCTGTCGAACCACACGCAGCGGAAGTACGAGGAGAGGAAGAAAGGTGAGTCGGACGCCACGCCGCACCTTCAGGGCCAGCTGATAGGTGGCAACGATAAGACGCGAAGATAGACCTGCTGCTGGAGTCGCAGTTCGCGGCGGGACGGTTGTACGCTTCGGTCAGCAGCCGGCCAGGCCAGAGTGGGCGCGCCGACGGCTACGTTTTGGAGGGCAAGGAACTCGAGGTGGGTGATGCGCGCTTCCCAGTTGGGCGGAGTGGGACGAGGAAGGGCTGATCCGATGAGTGTAGTTCTACCTCCGAAAGATCAAGACGGGCAAGCAGAAGCACGCACACGCGGCATAATCGGAGATGACGTCTGCGTGGTGATGGGAGTGCTGGGACGAGGTGGCGACGTGCCGGCGAGGATCGGGCCCACAAAAGAGAGGGTGGCAGTGTCTATGGCCGTGTCTATGATTATCGTTCCTGTTTTATTGCAATGCAACGTACAGCTTGTCAGACAAATCATAAGACCGTCTGTGGCCATATCCAGGGCGATGCGGCCCGTGTATATTATTTGTCTGGCCCTTGCGTTTCCAAAAGGTGATATAAGAACACGCGATCCGCTCCCTCGGAGACAACTGCTGTGACACGCGTCTCCTTTAGCGCCCTTTTCTGACCTGTTTCGCGCACCGCCAGTGTCGCGTCTGCCTCCTTCCTCGCCGTCTCCTCCCTCCTCCTCGCCGTCGCCGACCGTCTGCGTACACTGTGCTGTCTCTTTGCTTCGCCGTCCGCGTCCACAGCTGAGCCACATGCCACAGGCCGCGGCGAGCGTCAGCTCGTCCTCCCACCCGCTATGGCGGCCCACCAAGGTCATGAACATGCGCGACCTCGCACGCGACGACGACTTTCTCAGCCATCTCCTCGTCGAGAAGCTCGGGACAGGCGACGTGCCCCTCGTTGTGCACAAGATGGATGCTAACCGCACCATCCCCAAGGCGAACCCGGACGAGCTGCTGGTCATCGTTAAACGTGTGAGCGCCTCACCTTTTTCGCCCATCAGACACGATCTCACTGAACAGAACGACTTGTTGGGGACAGCTCGTGAAAGCCAGGTGTGCGCCGCAGACCGCCATCCGAGAGGCGGTCGACTTCCTTCTCAAGTGTGTGACCTCCTATGGCCCCCCTATACCCCGCTAAAGGAATATGCCTTTTATTCTGTCTATTAGGCTCAACGCAGTACGATACTGGATCAAGGAATATGATCAGAAGCAGACGAACGCGTTCGCCACGTACGCTCCTGCTCTTCTTGTGTTGCACGCCGTCCGCTCACACCTGACTCAGCCACGCCTCCCGCTACTTCGAGCTCTACATGCCGACGGGATCGATCGAGATCGCGCATACATCCCGCTATACACACCAGACCGGAAAATCTGAGCTTTGCATCCTCGCCACTCGCCCGCTCATGCCCGGTATGGTCATCACTGAGCTCAAGGGCTCAATGGCGGACCTTACGGAGGAAGAGGACATGGAACTCAAGCGAACAGCAGCGACATGCGCGCCGGGCGTGCAGGTTCGCCGAGATTTCAGTGTTATCCATTCCAAGCAGATGAAGAAAAATCATCTATTTCTTGGCCCTGCCCGGTTTGTGAACGTGAGTAAATTCGAGATAGCAATTTTCGTATATGCGGTGATAACCGATACATAGCACGACTGTGACCACAACGTCGAACTGTTTCGAGAAGGGCGCTACATTACGTTTCGGGTCATCAAGCCGATTGGAGTGGGGGAGGAGGTGACGGCGCACTATGGCGACGGTTACTGTGAGTCCCTGTTTACGATGGCTCCTGGATTGTAGCCTTACAGATCTGGCTCAGTCGGTCGCAAGAACCGCCATTGCCTATGTGAGACCTGCGAACGCCTAGGTAGGGGCGGCTATGCAGCGCATTCATCTGAGGATGAACTTTCCGACGAAGTCGTTGACTCTGCGGACGATAATGGCACGAGCGGGTCGGACTCGGACGACGACACGGAGCGTGCGCATACGCGGAGTACATGCAAGGGGACCCATACTGGCGTCAAGGGTAAGGGCAAGGCCGTAGGAGGTGGCCAAATCGAGCTCGAAGCCGAAGTTGAGCCTGACACGGCCTCTGAACTAACGTCTCTCCCTTCCTCTCGCGCGTCTGTTCCTTCGCCGGCTGGCCCGTCAAAGGGGCATGGACTGATGACACCTGATCCTGAGCCTGTGCGTCTGGATGAATTCTTCCGAGACTCGAGCATTGTTCCCCCGCTGTCATCGCCTGCAAAAGCAGATGATAACCCTAGCAAAGCGCCAACACCCGCCACATTCCGATCAGTGATCTCCACGCGCTCACAGAAGGCGAAAGAGGCTGCAGAATCAACTCCTGCCCCTGAACCACCAGAAAGCATATCCGGTCGCGGGAGAGGCAGGGGCCGAGGGATAGGCAGAGGTGGCAGAGGCGGTAGAGGTGGCCGTCCGCCTCGCGCAGATTCTGTCCGGCAGCTTATCACACCGCCGCTAACCGCGGACCACACCGACTCTGCTGCGACAAGTGTGCGGTCGTCTTCGCGCATACGCACACGAGCGGGGGACCGGGAGACCGCGCTCTCGCGCCAGGCGACGCCGATGAAGGTGGAATCGCAGTCGACTGTCGATTCGGAGGACAGCAAGGGCAAGGGACGTGAGGACTCCGATCCTGAGCCAACGAGAAGTCTGCGCCCGCGTCAGCTGTACCCGCTGCTCGATCCTCAGGCGCTGACAAGGAAGCCGGCGGAGGGACCGAGGGGCGTCGATGGGAAGCCGCTGCCAACGTGCAAGACGTGCAAGAATGTGCTGCCTGTGATCCATGTGGAGGGCAAGGTTGTGTGGGGCGCGAACCCGGGTAGAACGGGCAAGCGCGGACGCCCGCGAAAGAATGTCGAGGCTGAATGCCCGAGGTATGTTATCCCTGAACTGACAGGCTCATTTCACTGACGCTGTGCTGTTTGGCGCAGGTGTATTCGACACTTTGCTATCTATGGAGTCGCGTGGCCCGGCCGGAGCGACACAATCATGACGCCGCGGGACAACACTCCGAACGTGGTCGTCACTCACTCCGCGGCGCATTTACGCTCGCTCAACTTTGCCGCGCATGGCTATGCGCCGCCGAAGCGGCCGTATAAACGGCGGCGCGAGGTTGAGGACGTCGGTGACGGTCGTCCCGCGAAAAAGCAGCGTCCGGCGACGGGACGACCCCGCGGGCGGCCGCCCAAGAATAAGGTCGGTATGTCGAGTATGGCGAAGCAGCTGCTCAAGGTGAAGGAGAGCCCAAAGCCAATACCGAAACCTAAGCACAAGGAGAAGCTTTTATGTGCTGCGAGCCAGGAGCGGCGGAGTGGGCGGACGCGCGTACCCAGTCTGAAGCTCCGTGAGAGCGAGCCGCCAACCAGGCTCTCCTCAAGAGCGAGCAGGGCAGCGTCATCGCGGCCGCCGGAGTCGAACGCATCCTCTTCCTCGTCGTTGTCGTCGTCATCTGCGCTTTCGATACCGGATAGTGAGGACGCCGCGAATGTCGCGGTCCAGACACCTATAAAGCCAGCTCCAGTCGATGAGGAGATAGTAAAGCTACCGACGCCGAAATCACTTGCGGTCGCTGCACAGCCGCGAGAGTCGAATGGACGGTTTGGTAAGAAGGCGAACACGAACGGAAGATTCATGCGCAAGACGTTGACTTATTCTGCGGGTCGACGTGCGCGTGCACAGAAGGCGCTGCAGAAAAGCAAGAATTTGAGAAAGGCGGAGAAGTTGAAGCATGGCCAGAGCGATCAGGAGGACGGCGGTCGCAAGGCGGGCTCTTCGGGAGCTCCAGCCACTGCTGTGGATGCTCCTAAGGGCCCGACGCTCAAGCGGCACGTATATGACGAAGAGCAGGAATGCGGGCATCACGTCGGCAAGAAAAGACGTTATGGCAGCGATGGAGAAGATGAGGGTGAGGAAGGCGAGAGCGATAGCGAAGAAGATGAGGACGAGGACGGGACATCTTTCCGGGCAATCCTGCCTAGAGGTGGGATGCGTGGTGTCCGTCTGCTTTGTGCACCTAACCCTGTGACATTCGCTCGTCTCAAGTGGGCACGCGGTCCGGCTGATAACTCGTCTAGAAGGCCTCATCCTGAGGTTGTGGATGGCACGAACTCCTCGTCATCTGCGTCGACCATCGACGACACGGAGGGCCCAGTGACGCCTGAAGTGGAAACGGAGACGTCGACGGTCGGTGTAGCCAGCTCAGATGACGACGGCGACGATGATGCAGAAGACGACGACGGCGAGGTGCCCACTCGGCCCATCGTTACGATCCCGTCGTCGTATGTTGGCAAACTGACCATGAAGCCGAATCCGATCAATCTAGCGAAACGTCGTTGGGCCCCGCTGCCTGCAAAAGCATCTCTCGTGCCCAAAGTCGAGCAGGTGCCGGAAAATCTCGCAGAACCTTTCGAGCTGCCTTACAACGAGTTGGACTTTACGGATGGCTCGGACGGGGAATCCTGGTCCAGTTATTCTTCTGATGAGGAGGATGAGCTGCCCATCGCCAACAACTACTCGAAAGCGAATGACCTGCAATTGGCAACTAGCCGCCCGGTATCGTGTGCAACCGTCGCATCAGTGGATTCTGCGGAAGGCTCGGAACGGAGCGTCGAACGTCTAGTGAACATATTCCCGTCCGAACGTGCGGGACCCTCTAATACCCCTCTTTCAACATCTTCTGGGCTACTATCTCTCTCCCAGATGAACGAGATCTCTCCTGGGTCTGCGTGGAAGCGAACAGTTTTGTTACCTAATAATATCCCCTACCTGAATAACCCCGCCGTATCGTTCGCAAAGTTCCCTAGTTCACCGGTGGCGTTGATTCGCGCGGGCTGGGACACTGCGTCGTCGGACACGGACTCTTGACCGCAAGGAACGACTATAACCAGCTATATATGACGAACGGCATTCTCGCGATCGCTTTCGCCTGTTCTTTTATTGCTCCTTATTGTATCACTACTCTCACGCCAGACAGTCGAGAAAGTATCGTATAGCACCGACTAGTTAATAGTCTGTATGTTATTCTTGCGTTTCGAAACCGATAATGCTGAGCGATGAACGGACTTGAGCCACAGCGACATAAACGATGATACCCATGTTATGATCAAGGTTACGTAGTGAGATGAATCATACACGTTCTGCTTTACTGCTGTCCCTCCGGCTTGAGCGAACTGCGCCCTGCACGAAGGATCTCGTCCGTCGACAGCAAGTTGACCGCGATCACGGAGCTGCGGAATATGAGTTATATGCGCGTCAATACGGAAGGGACCCGCTCACCAGGAGTGCAGCATTTGTCTCTTGACTCGGTAGTTGTCCCAGATACCCTCTACTGTGGGGTCAAACGGCTCCCCGGTTTCCAGATCGAGACCGACGACATTGCCTTCAGCCTGCTCCTCCTATATGAAACGTGACGAGTCAGTAATACGACCGCACGAGTCACCAAAAAAAAACGAGCCTGCAACGCAACAATGGCATCCTGCACATCGTACCCTCCATTCGCGGCGAGCGTCTTCGGAATGATCAGCAAGGCCTCTGCAAATGCCTGCACGCCCATTTTGACGCGGCCCTTCGCGTTCTTCTTCACGGGGCCCATCAAATGCGCTGCACAAGCGACTTCGAACGCGCCCGCACCGGGGACGAGTGCGTCGTCCTCGAGCGCATTCTTCACTGCACGAAGCCCATCGCGCAGCGCGTCCTGCGTCCGCTGGATCGTGTGCGGGTTCGGACCCTTGATGAGCAGCGTGACACTCTTCGGGTCCTTGACGTCCTCGACAAACGTGTATTTTTCTTCTCCGAGCGTATACTCGTAGACAAGCCCTGCCCAACCGAGGATGTCGGGCGTCAGGTCGTCCACAGAGTTTTGCGCTACGCCGCCACAGATGAGCTGCAAACTGTGTGGATCGTTAGGAACGGTACAATATAATTGAATTCTTTGTACGAACCGCTCCATGTTACGCCGCTTTGCCCTTCGAAGAGCAAGAATGCCATTCTTTGCGAGGATGTCGAGACTGAGCGGATCGATGCCCTTTTGATTGATGATGACAAAGTTCTTCTTCTTCTCGTTTGCGCCGACAGCCTGGTCACAGACGAGGTTCTTCAGCTCAACGATCTTCTTGCACTTTGCGTCGGTGAACCGTCGCTCTGACTCGACGAGCTTCTCCCGCTGTTCCGAAGAAGAGTAGAAGAATCCGGAATTGACCTCACTGCGTAAGAATACCCGTTAGCTGCAGGCTGCCAGTAAAGCAGACTACGTACGTCTTCTCGTATTCCAAGCTAACGTTCAGAGTCAGAATGTAGGCGTTCTCGACGCGTTTTGGCATGTCGGGGTGCCGTGCACCATGATCAAGAACTAAGCCGCGGATGAGCTGTGTTTCTGAAGCCGTTCGGTGTTGCATCTTCATGACCTCGACCATGTGAAGGTCAATTGGTTCGCGGATCTTGTTAGTAGAATCTGACCGCAGATTTGATAATTGCCTTAAAGTACAGAAAGCTTAAGACGTACCTGGAGAAGGGGGAGGTGGACGAATGCATAGGACGGCATCGACAACCTCAGCGGCAAGCTGTTTTGCGAGTGATGGGTTGACCTTCGTCGCCAGCGAAGTATAGGCGACGTTGATCAAAGTAGCACGGTCCATGTTTACACTTCGCTTGAATGTTTCAAGGAACTAGGATATGTGTGCATCAGATTAGCAATTACATGTATCACAATAAGCCACGCACCGCCAAGGCCTCTTTCTTCGCCACATCAAATCCCTCAGCGATCACAGTTGGATGCACACCCTCCGAAGTATAGCGGTCGGCTTGTTTGAGTAGCTCTCCAACAAGCAATACGACCGATGTCGTACCGTCACCGACCTGGTCATCTTGTGCTACCGCTGTCCGCGCAATCATGGCTGCGGTAGGGTTCTGGATCTGCATCTCGGACAACAGCACCTTCCCATCCTTCGTCATCTTGATCTGCCCCGCACCATCGACCAGCATCTTGAGCGTTCCTCGTGGCCCTGCAGACGCGTTTCATGGTCAATGTCATCGCATTATCATCCATCCAAATGAGCACAGAAAACATACCGAGATTGCCCTTGACGACACTTGCGAGCCCCATTGCTCCTGTCGTGTTGACCTGGAGAGCAGCTGCACGACGCACGCTCTCCGCCTTTGGGTTAATGAGCTGGATACTCGACGACATTGCGGCGAAGATACAAGGCGAGGTGAAAGTAAGTAGTCGCCGTCGGTGCGCGTCAACCTTTCGATTTATTTGATGACGTAAGCCGACACACGCGACTGTGGCCCACACGCTCTCAAACATCAATTCAGAACATCATCGCTCAACGTTCAACGTTCGACGTCAACGGTCAGGTCCACATCTTTTGCTCGTGTTTCATATTGTCTGCTTCGAGATAACATCGCCGAAAAGACTCCAACGTACTTGCTTTCATGTTGCTGGAGTAAATACAAGTGTCACGCTATTGCCTACGCGTCTTCATCGAGAGTGACCATGGAATCTAACAAGGGAACATGTGAACCCGTCACCATCTTCGTGGACTCTCGCTTAGCACCACAAGGAACACAATATCTCGAGAAGTCTGCAAAGCGGAAGAAGAAAACTGAGCCTACCGAGTCGGATTTGCTCAAAGCTATTCGAGAAAGCCTTCGTAGTAGCCGAGGCGGCAGTCCTTCTTCTCTCCCGAATCAGGTGCGTTATCCATCGGTGGAAGAGTCTCAAGACTCCGTACGAGAGGATGAACTCGGCTGGGACTCGGTCACCGTCGTGCTGAGTGCTGGAGGAGTTATACGCAAGAAATGGAGCTTCGAAGAAGAGGGCCAGCCCGTTCAATGGGCCTGCATGGGCTGGTTCGACCAGCCCAGTGCGTTCCCACAGACATCCCCGTTGCGACCTGCTCACTACACGGGTGAGTCCCAGGAACAGACGACGCCTGTGGCAGACTCGAGCGGCCGGCCCACGTTCGGACCATTCGCTCGTGCCCAGCAGCAGCACAAGCGGGAGCACGAGCCAGCAGGACGTGCCCGCGCTGTGTTCATTTTCCTACGGAGCATTGGTCGCATCTTCTTGTTGAATGGCACCGACTACACCTTCCACCTGCCGTTTGTAGTCCGCAGGGCATGGCCGCTGAGCCCTCACGGAGTACTGCTGCAACGGGTGTTGGACCCTATGGAGCTCGAAGAAGTGAAAGCCTCCGGCGACGTTGCTTTACCGACTTCCTTCACCTTCATCAACGCGCTCGCTGAGCCAGCAGCCGTGGGCATCACGACAAAGCTCACGGGCGGTTTCAATCACATCCCGGTGTCCATCGAAGAAGATGATCCAATTAAGTCAATCAATTTCGTACCCGCGGAGGAGCAGGTCGTCTGGATCTCTCAGCGCGTACCCGAGTCGACTGACGATATCATCATCACGATCAATACCGAGAAAAGGCAGTTTTCGATCTGGCGTTACGCGTTCATCCGGCCAAAAGAGGTGCCGACGGCGCCCAGTCGCCCGCAGCCAGTCTCAGCAGTGAACAAGAGAACATCAATGTCAGCGACACCAGCACAGAAACGGCAAGTCATTATGGCACCTCCACAGACAGCACCCGCCGGCTCGGTGTCTGGAGTCCCACGGAATCTATCAACACCTGCACCGATGACTGCCTTGGTTGGCGTTGGGGCGACGATGGAGCATGCTGCCTCCGTTCCTGCCGCCGGGAGGTCACGACAGGACTCGATCTCTAGGTTGGATCTGAGTGTAGCAGTTGATAAGACAAGCGGCGGATTCGACGGGGAAATCTTATTGGATCCAGTCGTGAATGCGCGCATGCAAACCGCGTACTGGGTGGAAAAGTTGCATTGCGAGCAGCTACCAGAGCGATCGTGCGTGTGCTTCTCTATTGTGACATCAACTCCTGATCATCAGAGACTATAGTACGCTCGATCCCTCAGCGATATCGGTCGGCCTGTTTGACCAACGATGGGACGGCGAGGAACATCGGTCCCTAATTGGTATCTGTTTCCCTGCGGCCGAGACATTGCTGGTATATCGTTTGTCCAAGGATGCGGGTCATATTGTGGCGAAATTTGAAGGACGGCTTGAAGCGGTCTCAATATCCTCAGTTCGTGCCACAAGGGAATTGATTCAAGATCTCTTGATCGTGAAGCTAAATGGGAAAATGTCACTCCTAACTCATGGCTTGCGCGAGTTGCCTCTTTCCATATCGACCGACGTGCCCAAAGGAGCGTCGGAGAAGGAGGGGTACAGAGAGACTCCTTGTCTGACGGCACGACCACTCATCAACTGTCCTATCATTTCTGTCTCCGACCCTATTGAGTCGACGGTTACTCTGACATTCGCGAATCGTGCTTCGGTCCGTATAGTGCTCGACCTGATGCCACGCGATCTTCTAACGCGTCAATGTCTTCTCATGCTTGCCATGGTCATTCCTGCAGACGAGTTCTTCGCGCTCCACAGCAACTTCCTGCGCAGGTGGGCCGCCAAGGGGCAGGATCTGTCGTTTGGGGTGTCTTTTGCGTGTCTCGTGTCTGCCTTATACGAAGTGTTCGAATTGGAGACCGAGCCCGCGCCACGCCAGATTTACCCGGCAATCACTCCTGGTCCATGGCTGCAGATTCACAAGACGTCATCCGCATTCCGGTTCCGCGAGGACCCTATACTGAGAAAATTGCGCCCGCCGCCGAGCGTGCAGCCGGCCACTACGCTCCCGAGACCGAAATGCAAGCCGCGCAATCTGATCGCACCCATCTTGATCGCGCTGCATAATGTCGCTGAAGACATGCGCTTGATGATCCACCGGTATCGCGATCTCCTCAAGCTTGTCCCTGTAGTATGCAGGGTTGCCATGCATGTGCGCCCCGAGTGGGCCGATTATTGGAAACGGCTCTGTCCTGACGCCATGGAGAATTGGCCGGCTCCAGGGATGACGGGTGAGTATCAATTTGTAGTTCAGTCGGAGTGGTCATGACGCGATCTCTCATAGTTGTTGAGAACGTCGACGACCGACTATCTGCCTGGCCGCTCGATTCAGTGGCTATCCTGTACGGGCGGATCAGCAACCCTGAATGGTTTCCCCCCGTCCCGGAGAGCCACAAGATAGCTCAAGGGTTCGACATCAAAGCCGCATTCGCGTTCGGGAACGCAGAGCCGCTGCTGTGTTCGCGCCAGTTGACCGACGTGTATGTTGCGTTGGCGGACAGCAAGGTGCCTCAAACTCGCAAGCGCGCAGAAAACGGGCTGCAAGCTATGGTCAGAGCCCGTATTGGAGCCGACATCTTGCGATGGGTGCCGTTGGGCATCGCCGCGCCACTGAAGGAGGCATGTCGGACGTGTCAACTGTCACCGAGTGGAGACTGGCCTCCATTGGCCCATGGTCTGATTGGGCGCAATGACCTTGCGGAGATGAGCTCTCCTCATGAGCAAATTCACGTTCGCGGCTATCGCTCTGTGAGAGAGTCCATGGTGAGTCGGCAAATTCATCGCGGAGTCGCATCTCTCTGATTTTCCTGCAGCAAGCCTTCATGCATCGCAAGTCATTTCGCGAACACATTGATGACACCTGGAAAGCTGTCACCGGAGAGACGAATGTCGTGTCTGGCGTGGAGTTGGACGTGGACGATCTGACACAGATACGGTTTGGCCAGGACAGAAGACTCGAAGAGATAGCTCGCATGCTCTGTTCATCCACCGTTCCGACAATCAGGGCGATAGAAAGGCCAGAACTGAGGTGTGTATTGCGCATGTACGACCTGACAATCTAATTCTTATCTGTGGCCCATAGTGAGCATGATCAGGCCAAGGAGCAACAACTTCAAGTGGTCAGAATGGCGGAACGGACTCTTGCTCTGCCTTTGGGGAGGGCGATGTTCACTTTCGGATCCGTGCCAACTGTCACCCGCCAAGCATACGCGATACCGAAGATCGAGTATGCGGTCCGCCTTCAACCCATGAACGCATTGATCACACCAGAGCCTGGGAAGATCCCGGTGGAGTGCACCAGCTGGGGCGAGTTCCATAACGGTGTCGCTGCCGGTTTGCGGATATCTGCGCAATCTAATGCGGTCGAGAGCACGTGGATCAAGTTTAACAAACCCTCCGAGCTAACTCCTGAACATGCCGGGTTCCTCTACGCACTGGGTTTGACCGGCCACTTGCGGGAGATGCTGACGTGGCACACCTTCAGCTACCTCACCCCGAAACATGACATGACTTCAATTGGTGTGCTGCTCGGCCTGTCCGCCGCTAATGTGGGAACTGGTAATCTTCACGTCACCAAACTCATCGCCGTACATACTCCTGCGCTTCTGCCAACACCTAGCATGGACCTGAATGTGCCATTGATCACTCAGGCCGCTGGCTTGATCGGGATCGGGCTGCTCTACATGGGTACACAGAATAGGCGGATGGCTGAGGTCTGTCTCAGCCAAATCAGCCGTAAAGATCTCTGCCAGCCTGATCTGAGCAACGAGTATCGTGAAGCTTATACATTTTCAGCGGCCCTCGCCTGTGGGATGGTCATGCTCGGCAAAGGCGGTGAGGTACCGGCAGATCTAGTCATGCTGTCGCGATTGCGTGTGCTCATTCATGGGGAAAGACATCCTTCGTTCAGTGTCGATGAACAACCAACTTTCGACATTAATCTGACATCACCGGCCGCTACAATTACGTTAGGTTTGATGTATCTTAGGTCGGGACGGCAAGACGTGGCCGACATACTGGCAATCCCGGATACTTTGCTTGCCCTCAACAGTATCCAGCCCAGCTTTCTGCTAATGCGGACGCTGGCTAGATGCCTGATAATGTGGGACAAGATCGCTCCATCGAAGGAATGGTTACAATCTCAAGTGCCTCAGGCTATTTTGGCGGCGGTCAATGACCGCTACCACGGGAAATCCCGCGACGATGCGTATGAGCTCGCATACTACAACATCCTGGCTGGCCTTTGTTTCGCCATTGGGCTCAAGTACGCTGGTACTGCAAGGGAAGAGGCGTACTTGTTAATTATCACGCACTACGATATGTTCAGCCAAGTGGCTTACACGAATAGTGAGTGGTTTCAGCCGCACGTACGATGTGTTGTTTCACTCCAAAGTTTATATAGGTACTGCCTTCGACCATAGAATCAAGCGTGCAGCAATTCGCGATGGCCTGAACCTGATATCGATATCTCTTGCCATGGTCTTGGCAGGAACGGGCGAAATCAACTGTCTGCGGAGATTACGCTATGCCTATGGGATGAACAATCAATTCATCCGATATGGTACTCATGTAGCGAACCATATGTCTCTTGGCCTGCTGTTCCTCGGTGGTGGACGTTTCACCCTGGGCACTTCCGATGCAGCAATTGCTTGCATGGTGGCAGCTTTCTTCCCCCGCTTCGCCAACGTTTCCTCTGATAATAAGAGCTACTTACAAGCCTTGCGTCATCTGTGGGTGTTGGCAACGGAACCTCGCTGTCTCATTGCTCGGGATGTCGACACCAAAGAAGTCGTGTACATTCCGGTGAAGATCAAGACGAAAGACGGCCAAGGGTTCATGGTTTCTCAACTTCTGTCCCCGACTCTCATCCCAGATATTGACAAGGTGCTGTCCATTCGGATCGACACTCCAAGATACTGGCCGTTCTACCTCGATGTCGCCAACAACCCTCGGCACCGAGAATCTCTTCTCCGTAATCAAACGTTATTCGTGAAACGTCGCACAGCTTTCCTGAGCTATAAAGAGGATACGAAAGGCAGCCGTAGCCTCTTTGTACGATCAGGCTCATCGCCCAGCAGCACTGCGATGTTGGATTTTCCGCAACTGACTGACTTGAAAATACATCCTGCGGGCGATCTGCACGAGTTCATCGCATCTTTCTCGAACGATCCTCTATTCATATCATTTGCCGACCGATTCTGTCGTGACGATGGAGAGACGGAGGAGGAGCGAAGATTGCAAGCATACTGCCATGCAAGTCTCCTTGATAGTATTCTTCAAGACAAATCGCAGACGATACAAGCTCACCTCACCGTATATCGCTACCGGCAGATGCATAGCGGCTCCTCATACTTCGTCCTCAGGATGCAGGACCTGCGCTTTGCCACAGAGTTCTATAGCAGGGTATATGAGCGACGTTTCAGTGGAAGGTCCGAAAACAATGCACGGTCGCCCCTCATCCGAGAGAGTACACTCTCCGGTGCCCTTCTTGCGATCGATCGTCACTTAGACACGATACGCACCATGAAGGCTTTCGTCGCGGCCTTGTCTCACTACGCTCAAGGCGATGCAATACCCGTGTATCCGAAGGGCTCCAGCGAATGGAAGTGTTCTCGACACTTATCCTGGTATCTGCAGCGCAATAGTGTCCCGGTTTCTTCCGTTCTTGCTGTGCTCAAAGCTCTGGCTCGGAAGGCTCACAGAGACTGTCTGGCTGCTCCTCCGCCTGCAGGCACAACTGATGTCGCACGTTTAGACCGGGGAATCAAGGAAGTGGTGTATTTCGCGGGCACGTCGATGACAACCTCGATGGGCTCTGGTTGGTCCTTGAGATCCCTGGATGAGGTCGTGGCAGCTTGGTGTTTGGCGGGATGAATGAGGAAAATCTCCGGACCTAATCGACTGGCTTTGCGGATCGTGAAACGTGTGTGTTGTAGCCGTAGTTATTTATGATGTAGGTTCGATATTCGATCGCTATGGAGTTTTTCAATACAATCGAGTAGGGGAAGCATCCCTTGTCATACACCACAAACTGCTGACGAATAACAACCTAACTTGCCTATACAATCTCGTACATCGTAACCCAATGACAAATCAAGAATTCCAAGGCACCTGCTGCCGTCTATAACCATGTCCGACCGGCATTCTCTGGGTTCCAACCCCAGTAACAGGTCGGTGTCTTATCTCAACCATTCATGGGCAGGATGAACAGAGCCTGAGACACGATGACTCTTTAAGCATCGATATGTCAGCAATTCTTGTCTGTCCTCCTCAGCTGGGGCCATCACTTACCTGATGAATCATGGCATGCCGAGCTATCACTGGGTTGTCTCAGAACGTTCTGCCAGCCTCGCGCAGCGTAATTGCTCGAGGTGGAAGAACAGCGGTGTATAAATTTCCCGTCTATCCCTGCACGTTTTAACGTCGAGGTTTGGGAAGATGCGATCGATCCACCGCGCGGCCCGATTATAGAGAGCCTCTCCTTCCGCCGCTGACGAGACTCTGTATTGCATGGAAAGTAATAACTCGTTGAGACCGTGAGAAGTAGTCGGAGGAGAATCTGAAGAAACGTCGTCGGGGAATGCCACAACCGGTAGCTTCAATGAGGTGAGGTCCGGACAGCAACGGGCAAAATGCATCAAGTCACCGCCAGTGAGAGCCGGGTAATCTTCATATCCCAAATCAAGCTGCTGGACCATTGGCCAGGCAAGTGCCATCTGTCCGACATCAGAGGGCGAGAACCGGCAATGTGGCATGTAGAGATCTATGCTTGTGAGCTCATGTAGCTCGAAGAGGGGTCGAACGCCGAGTATATCATCAGAAACAGAATGTGGGGGAGAACGACCCAAAATTGGACGTCCATCATAATACATTTTGATCGACCGCAGCGACTGTCCAAAGTGATCAGCTATGTTTGTGGAAACGATGTTTAATGAGCGAATGTCGTGGGCAGATTCGCACTCTAAGCGAAGAGATAGGCGTTGTAGAGAGGGCGCATATAATACGTCGAGAAGGCTGGATGCCTTCTGGAATTCGCCCGTCAGGGACAAGGTACGCAGAGCAGGGAAGTCGCCACGAGGTATCACGTTATTCTGATAATCCCACGATGGAAGCACAGTCAGCGAGATTTTTAAGGTTAAGTCCACCAAATGACCGCTTTGCAGATCTGATCAAGTCGTACTTCCGTTGAACAAGAAAGGCGTAGAGTCTCCAGAGCAGTAGATTCGGCAATAGGCTCCAGGCATACGCTTGCAGAGGGAGTCATCACCAAGGTTAATCTTCGTAGTAATGGGGCTATAGAAGATGCGGCGCCGAGGAGATCGTGCAGGGCATTGGAATGGAGCCGTTGCTGGTATCTCTCGCATTGAAGATCCATGTGGCGCAATGACGGTGTCACGAATGGTATCAAGTCGGTATAAATGCATTCATGATCAGAATCGCACCAGCGTAATGTCTCGAGGTGAGGCAGAATGGGTTTCGAGCCGGCTTTACGGAATAGGATGGGAAATGCCGAAGGGTGCAGTCGCTCGCTTCTTACTCGCCCACCAACTTGGAATGCAGTGAGGATCAACGAGTGTACATACAGAGCGTATATTTGAAACCTTGCCCACTCATCCTCCAGGATCTCGCTGGATAAGGTCTACGGAACAACACATGAGTCTTCCCTTATCGACACTACCGAATTCATGTCGCGCTCACGTATTCAATTTCTGGGTCCAGTGGTTGTGAAACATGCTTAATTGATCCCGATAGGAGCTTGAACAGGGGCGCAAAAGAGTATAAATTCCTCCAGAGCACGCGTATGGCTGGCTCGATGAAAGCCCTTGAGACCAGAGCGGCACGGGACAACGTAGCCTTCTCCCACATGTTGATATATGAAAAAATCTCGTGTAGAATGTAATCGTTCGTAAACACAGGAGAGCACCCGTGCATACTAGTGGTCAGCGTCGGTGCTTGGGAATGGGCCTCCGCGCTGTGACTAGGCAGTGTGAAACCATCTCGGCGGAGCATTATTGGTGCCTGATGAGAGTAGGAGCCGGAAGAGTGCGCGAGTTTGAGGGAACTGTCAAGTCTGCCTGGCCAGCGCTGAGCGTACGGAAAACTCAAAGGTGACTCTCCGAGGTACGAGACGGGAATCCTCGGCGCTTCGCAACAAATAAGCGCGCCTGGTCTTCGCTTCTTGTGTTTCATCTCCCTATGTATCTGTTAATGACCCCATGCTGACCAGCGATATGATCCTCCGAAAGAGACAGACAAATATATAGCTCTAGGAGAGTCTTGAGTCTATCCATCTGGACGGACTACATTGAACATGAGGAATATGCACTGCGGATCATGTACGGAGCACTCGTCGTAAGACGTAGACCTCGAGTTGTGGAATCTTGTCTCCTGTTTTTGCGGCGACAAGCAGATTGTCAGTACGGAGGATCTCGAGCTCTTGTCGCTTGTCTGCTTCTTTCATCCTGGAAAATCATAAGTGTACGAACGGATTGACTTGACTCGGAAGCGACATCGTCGTATCGTCGGACCTCTTTCAATGAGTCCTCATCGCTGTTGCGGTAACATGTAAGACTCTTGATGTTCCCATGCAGCGCAGTTCAATTCAGTCATAACACAAGCTCAGAACTCGATTCAGCACACCAGGCATAGCATCATCGTCGTCACCGTGCAAACTGTACTCTGCGAGGTCGTCATTGACCTTGCTCTTCGGCCTGATCTTTTCTGCAGGCTCGTCTTGGTCCATAGGTTTGTCTTAATCCATGACATCGTTTCCTTCTCCTCATTGTCTTCAGTTATATAGGTTCATTGAGATCCATAAGAACGAACAGAACATGAAGGCTCGCTCTACCTAGTATGCACTCTCAGGCTCATCGTCCGCTTCATCTCCCTCAGTGCCCTTCCCCATCATCGCAGCCGCCTTGTGTGCTGCTTCTAACTCTTCTCGAGCATCTTCGACCACGATGCGGGCAAGCGCGCTGACTCATTGAGCCAATGCCAGCCCCAGGATCAATCATTCCGCGATTTCCGGTCCTGCCTCGCAGACAACCGGAACAATGAGGACATACCAAATCATCATCATCACGGATTATGTTTCGATGGGTGTTGCACCAAGGTGCTTAGCAACACAATTGTTTCATCGCATGCGAGGTGAGACCCATGTCATACCGTATGTCAGAATGTGTTCTTCCCGCTGTTCAATCCGATATCTTGATTATTAACTGAGGTTTAAATTTGACTCGCTATCCTACATCTCTTTGGCTGTCTCCGCCGTTGCTCTCGGTAACGCGGTTGACGAGACGCCGTCGCCCTTCATTAAGCTCTACACTGCTGTTCCTGGCTCAGTGAGCTCAGCACGTCGAAACTAACCTTTTCTAGGATGTCCAGAATATTTTCTCGGCTTGAAACTTGTCCCCCGGACGGGGTGTCTCCTAATAGGACCTCACCTTGAATGTGCGACTTGGAGTCACGATCCGTATTGCAAGCGAAGCCGTTTCGTTTGCGGAGGTGTATGCCCCCGTCCGCTCTTGCATAACCCTGTCTGTGCGGTCATATCATCGCTTTAATTGGGTACCTCTAGGAACACTGTGATAACGTCGGCAGTGAAGCGGGCGGGCTGTGAAGATATGGTTGTCACGGCAGCCAGCAACAGATCGAGAAGTCGGTTTCTTTCGCGATCCCTCTGCTCAGACGCGCATTTCCTTCATTCCGAGCTGAATACTTCGTTCGGTTGCCATTTCCGTTGACGTCTGTATCATACAAGGATCATGCGTTGTGAGCCACTACCTCCTTTGCGGAACATACTTGCAGACGAACAGGTTTATAATAGCGGGCGATGTAGTGTTATGTCATGATGGAATATGGGCTTATTAAAAGGCCGACTTCATAATCCACAGTCCGATCTCTCTTCTTAGACATGGAGTCTATCACCACATCTGAAGCAACCACTCTGTTGGAACAAAGTACGTCTCTTCAGAGAGTTGAGATGTACCGCATTGAATGATCTATTATCAGCTTTACAGAACATTGTGCTCTTATCGCCGGCTCAGGTCAGTCGGACATTTTTCAATTATTACTTACCGATCATTGATGATATCCATTGAAACAGCACTCATATTCTTCGACTACGTCATTACATTCGGTCAGGATATCCAGCTGTTCTGGGGCGAGCGATCATTCTCAGCATGGTTGTTCTTTGCCAATCGGATGCTTGCACTGGTCTATGCCAGCATTTCTGTTTGGTCTGCCATGAACTTATATACGGTAATGGTATGTCATTCAACATCACCGCGATTGGAGATATCTTCGATTTATTTACATTGCAGAGGTAATTTGTTCCTTGTTGTCCCATTTCGTGTCTTATTGTTATCATCTTGTAGCTGTATGGCGAGCTCCGTGGTAGGCAACGCGGTTCTCCTACTCGTCGCGTTAATCTCAGAGGGTACGCTGGCATACTATCTTACTTGAAATTGTCACGGCTCAAACATGGTGAAGCGGTCACAATACTACGAGTCTACGCCGTGACAGGTGGCGACAGACGACCTGTTACGCTCCTCGCATTGACAATGGTCTTCGACATGGTCTCAACTGTCTACATTAGTACGCTTCCTCCTGATCGGGGCATATTCTCGAATGACCGACGACGAATCGACGAAAAGATTTCATCCAAACATCATATTCTGTGGTAGCATTGGGTAGGACAGCCGTGTGCATTCAGTCCTACCCTTCAGGTTCAGCAGAAGACATCGTTTCAAAGTGTGTAAGCCAGTATTGCCAGTAAAACCATACTTGCTAATCTGTTTCTCAATAATGTGAGTCTGAACTCAAGAATGCTTTCCTCCACACGTACTTGACAATCCCGCTGCAGTCTCCATAGTCGATACGGTTTGTGGTGCAATGGCCATGGTCATGACGCTCACAATTCTCTGGCGCAAGCTATATGTTCAACATAGACCAGCCACCGCGGACTTCCTGTGTACGAGGAATCCATCGCTTGCAGCACTATTACTCAGAGACGGTACGGCCATCAGACAGCTATGGAGCTCTGAGCTCAAATAACATTTGCATCCACCATGTTCACAGGTACGATTCAGTTGACGTGAGAAGTGGAATCGTGGCACGTCAGCTTTCATACGCTCCGTCTCACCCGGTTGCATTTGCAAATTTTCTCCGCAAGATTTTGCCTGTGTTACGCGGGATATGACTGTTGATAGTCCAACCTCCGTAACCCGTTACGAGGCTTTATACGCAACTTCAGTAGATATCTATTGCACCAAAAGTTTCGTTGAATGCGCTTCCAGTTCTATAATCCTTGTTGCTTGCGTCTCTCATTATATTCTGGTACGCCTGCTATGACATGTACTGTCTTCTGTTTCCTTTAGCGGATCTCTCAAGTCGGTGGATCCGCACGCCGTGCAGGCGATATCTATGTATTTCTCCATTGTCTGAAAGTTACATACTACGCTATGGGCTGCCTATCAGATACCGTAACGCGACACCTGGATGGATGGAGCAAGAAGCTCATATATGACTCTATGCTGAGGCCGGAGAGACCACACTCAGAGTGCAGTGAGATACTACCTATTGTTATCGAGACGCGACACGAAGTGCTATCTTTACGGCATCAACACGCAATTTAATCGATTATGATTGAAGTGGCGTGCACAGGACGCCTCGGAGTTTACCAGCATGTTGTACTGACTGAACGTTCTGAACCTCGAAGAAACCGCATAGCATTAGAACGACGCGTTCACATATAGCGAAGAAGATCATCGGCTCCGCGACCATGCGAGTTTCATCAAGACTGGAGCATTGTGACGGAGGCTATGTAATCGGATAATCAAGATCTTCATCGCATTGAGCTCCTTGCGCTCTCCGTCTGTGGTGCTGGTCTACACCGGGACGTTAACGTTTTAACACTAGAGCATCGTGATGGTGGCTATATAATCAGATAATCAAGATATTCAGAGGAATTGAGCTCCTTGCGCAGTTCGCCTGCGATGCTGGTCTCCACCGGGACGTTGAAAGCAACCGCAGCTATACCGTGGAAGCGAGACCACACAGGCATCGAGACTGCAGTCAAGTGAGGTGAGATCGAATACGAACTACAGGTTGAGATAGCGTACGAGGCGGTCAGGTCCTGATGAGTAGGAATTGTTTCTCTGGTGCCGTCTTGCGTTACGGCCGCATGCAATGGGCGCTGGTGCTCAGCAAGTTCCGAGTCGAGCCTCAAATGAGGCAGGGCCGTCGATGCCCATCATATTGCCGTCTTAGAGCGCGATATACCGAGCCACCCAAACAACACCGTATAAGCGGAACTCGAGTGCAACTGCGTCGCCCGAGGCTGCTCATGAGCCGTCCTCTCACTGCAACATTACATTGAGGTCATTCGTGGCCAGGATGAGGTGATCGACACTAGGGAAAGGAGTCAGCCTGGTGGTCACAGATAGCTAGAATATGGTGCTTTGCTTGGACGTATATGCGTGCGCTACGAGAAATTGGGAGCTCGAAAAAGCTGGATCTGCCGATGATCAAGTAATCACCCAATGACCGACCAGAACCAAAATATATAGATTACAAAGAGTGAGTTCTCGTGTCATGCTTACGTCGCCTGTCAAGTGGCCCGTCTTCTCATAGATCACCCGTTCTTGTACCAGCATCAATCAGTTGCATCATGCATCCGACGTGCGAGGTGTCGTCGTGCAATGAAACGTGCGATGAAATGGAAGCTGAGGCGCAATTAGGGGTCATGGATGTCCGGCTATGGAGTTGAGTCTATCGCGGTGTTCATGACTACGGCAGGCTGGTTGCAGATCGAAGGCGAGCATAGCCTGCAGCCCAGGCCCTCAACAGTAAGGGTTGAGGTTCCATGCATCCGTAACGCGGGTGCGAGTACAGGCTCGTTTTGAACGCTGCAACGAAGCTAGTAAGGCGAAGGCCAAATGAGCATCATACGAGATCACGTCTTGACACCCAACGAATTGTGACAGATCCGTGAGATGGAACGGCTTTCATAGGAGACCAGTTCATCGCTGCTGACATCGGACATCGCCATGAGAGTGCCCCCTACATTATTCGCAAGCATAGTCGAGATTAGGATAGATCAGAGTCGCCTTCAGGTGCTCGTTGGGTGCGCTCAATGAACTCAAGCACGTGGTGACCGCTACGCTACGCCACGCCACAGGCGCGTCTCCCGCGGATTATCACTTCCGCAGGTTTATACGTAGGAAATTTCTCTCATTTAGTGATCGAGTTGCAGGATGACATTCGATCGTCATGGCAGCCAGCAACGGATCAAAATTCTGGTTTCTTTCACGATCCTTCATCTCAGATGCGCGAAGTTCCTTCATTCCGAAGTGCGCGCTTCGTCCAGTTGCCGTTTGCGTTGACGTCTGCATGAAATGGTCATGCATTGTGAGCCACTACCTGCTTTACCGAATCCATGTGCAGACGAATAGATTTTGCCGTATATCGGCATGCAGGTGATGTAACAATATATCATGATGGAATGTGGGCTTATAAACAGGCCGACTGTCATCTGGCACTTCGTAATCCATAGTCTGATCTCTCTACAGGCTAGACATGTCAATCGCCACATCTGAAGCAGTCTTCCTATTGGAAACATTGTGCGTCTTTTCCGATCGTTGAAACTGTACTGTATTGAACGATGTGTTGTCAGTTCTCCACAATTCTATTCTCTTATCGCTGGTGCAAGTCAGTCCGGCATTTCTCGCTTGTTATTGACTGGTTGACGGATTTCATCCAACAGCACTCATATGCTTTGAATATATCATTACATTCGGTCAGGAGGTCCAGCTGTTTTGGGGCGAGCGATCATTCTCTACATGGTTGTTCTTCGCCAATCGGATGCTTGCACTGGTCTATGCTAGCATTTCTGTTTGGTCCCTCATGAACTTTCATACAGTAACGGTACGTTGTTTAATATCACCTCGGTTGGATATATCTTCGATTTATTGATACTGCAGAGGTAATTTGTTCCTTGTTGTCGTATTGTTAATGTCTGATTGTTACTATGTCGTAGTTGTATGGCAAACTACATCACGAACAATCTGGTTCTCAAACTCATTGGGATAATCTCACAAGGTAGGCTGGCATGCTTCATAGCAAATTATCACAGCTCAAAATGTAGCAAAGCGGTTACAGTACTACGAGTATACGCCGTAACAGGTGGCGATCGACGACCTGTTTTGCTCCTCGCGTTGATGATGGTCGTCAACGTGGTCATAAATGTATACGTTGGTACGCTTTCTCCCGATCGGGGCATATTCTTGATTGACCGACGACCAATCGATGAGAAGGTTTGTTTCATATATCATATTCTGTGGTAGCGTCGGGTAGCACAGCCATATGCGTCGAGTTCTACACTTCAGATTCAGCGCAAGATATCGCTCAAAAGTATGTAAGCCAGTATCGCCAATAAACTCGTACTCGCTAATCTGTTTCCCAATAGATGTGAGGTCGAACTCAAGAATGCTTCTCACCACATTTCTTTGACAATCCCACTGCAGTGTTTTTAGTCAATACGGTCTGTGGTACAATCGCCGTGATCACGACGCTTGCAATTCTCTGGCACAAGCTATATAGTCACCATAGACTAGCCGCCACGGACCTCCTGTCTACGAGCCATCCATCGCTTGCAGCACTGCTGCTCAGAGACGGTACGGCTATCAGACAGTGATGGAGTTCCGAGCTCAAATAGTATTTGCGTCCACCATGTTCACAGGCACAATTCAACTAACGTAAGAAGTGGAATCGGAAACAATTTAAGATAGTCTGAAGCCTATTATTTAGCACAATACTACTACTGAACTTATTACATACCTTATTGGAGCTCCTGGGTCTCGTAAGTGCATGTTCTTTCACCCACTCCATATGTTCTGCAAGATGCTCATCACTCTGCCGTCATGATCATGCATACAACAGAGTATTCTATTCATCATCGGAGATTTGGAATGCTCGTGAAGCAATCCTCTTACTTTTTCTCTACAAATGACGCACTTACAATTTTACAGGCTCACTTCCGTTCTGATCTCTCGTATCCTCCTCAATATCCGAGCCGCAGCGCGATCCACACGCGGAGAGCAGTCCCAAACGCCCTCTTTCGTCCGGTCGCAACGTGCGCTCCAGACAGAAGCGGACGTCGAGAACATGTCGTTCGAATTGAACGTCCTCGGCAGCACCGAGCAAGCCCCGGAGACTGATCATCCTCACGTACAGGACTCTACGAGACATGATCAAATCATTGCCGAACCGCGCAGCATGGTAAACAATGTTGTTACTGCCGGCGATGCCCATCAGGACATGAATGAGGAAGAGGGGATGGACGGTGTTGAGGAAGAAATGCAGTCAGATTGGGAGGACGAGGAGTAAGGGGGAAGAATGGGTGTCCGAGTCGTGCTGTCAGATTCACGGTGATTGCGTGTTTGATTGCTATTTGTGAGTGGCACGTCAGCCTTCGTACACGCAGTCTCATTCATATGCATTTCACAGATTTTCTACTTCTGCGATTCGTTCTCTTCACTTCGTAGTTCGTACTTTATGGGCCAACGGCTTTCAAGCTTCGTCACAGGGCTCCACAGCCAACCTCATCAGATCCAGCCGTACAATAGATCTCGTGTAAATGTGTTTCCTTTTCAACTATTCATTTTTCTCGTGTCTGTCATTGCTTTCCAGCATGTCTGCGACGACATGCCTTGTGCTTCCTTTCGCTTAGAAGAGCATTCAAGTCGGTAAGGCGCACGACACACAGATGGCGTATCTGTGTTATGCAATGGCTCCATATGTTACGAGCTGCTTTCTCATGCTGCAATATATAGCTGGAGAGCACCAGGGTGACGAGCATACCGGTGCGGAGGCCGTAGAGACCACATTCACGGTGAGAGCTATTTTCCTGCATCCATTATGCGATTCAGTTTATCATGGGGAAGTGGCATACATAGGACACCTCATGTTTACCAGCACATTATATTGGCTGACGCAGTTACGTGAGTTGCCATGTACTTCTGCAGCAATATGCTCTGTTGAGATGAGTGTGGTCGAGAAATTATGCGACGTTGCCACAAAATGCCACAATACCGGCCAGAATTACCACCGCGGCGTGTCATGCATTATTGCCTGCCAGCACCATTCACATGATCTATTACCCAAGACTCATGTAACGAGCTGCGGACGAACCCCATTTTTGTGGCCACTGTCCGCGGGAATTCATAAACGTAACAGCTATCGTTTTGTTCGCTGATCACTGAGGATACCATATACTATGCAAATAAGAACATCCCAATCATGCTGGTCATCGAAAGACTAGTGCCATCCGAATACATATAACTTGGGTTATCCGCTGCCCAACATATATCCACGAAACTCTAGAGCCCGCGATGCAACTTTACCTAAACCTCTGAAGCTCCGGGTCTTCTCCAAGGACTATCACTAGCCAAAATACGAGCGATCCGACCACGCCTGCCTGCGCCGCATAAACCGGATCCAGGATAGCCGACTCCTGGTCCTCAGCGAGATAGGCCTTCACGATCACCGCGCCCACCGCGCCAACCACTGCATGCACGTATATCGCCGATATTGGATTCCAGATCCTGTCGTACCGCAGGGTCTCCACTGACGGATACCATCCTCGAACCAGTATCGGGTAGATGAAGGCGACGAGGGTCATCGCGCAGGTTGCGGCTCCGCCGATTGCTCCCACGAGCATCGCCATGCGGACGTCGGGCGCTGAGGTCGGTCCTTCCGGGAGGGCAGCGTGGAGGATGGCCTGGCCAAAAATGACTGCCGCGGATGACGGAAATACCCATTGGCTGATGACGATGTCGGTGATTCGCCAAAAGGCAGCATTCAGCAATGCAGCGTAGTCCAGTAGGATGCAGAGGAATTCCGCAACTATGTCCCATATCAAACGAGGAAGCGTCCATCGATTATCCTGCTTGAGGTAGTCGTCAAGGAAGGCATATGGATCTGGGTCTTCTGTTGCAGTTGTATTGAGTACGGGGATAGCTCTGGTAGAGTTCGTGGCGGGCGTTTCTCCCGCCATTTGAGATGGTAACCTGTTAGCTGCCGCAGGAGAACCGTCATGAGTGGCTCAGCTCATCTTCCTACAAGAAAGTTTTATACTCACATGAGAGATAACTTGGTGGCAGGCGGCGAGAGCTCATTATGAACTAAGTTGAGCGCAAGGAGCTCGTCTCTGATGATGGATATGAGGAGTTTAAAGTGCACGAATCTGCCCACTCACCCTTATCCTCTTATATCTGTATGAGATGTTCGTCGCCGGAACTTTCGCTCGAACGAGCGCCAGTAGCACAACAAAATCGCCCATGAAACAATTGTGAAATAAAACAACTAGGCTACCTCCCTAACGACGGCTGATGGTCTGAGCGCATACAATCGGAAGCAATTGTTCCATCTCCGACTGTCAATAGACTGAGATGCATGTAGGGCTTGGGATGGTCGTGGGGCCCACGGTATAGCGCCCTAGAAAATGCCATCTTAATGATTATTTTATGTGGCGTATTTTTGGGCTCATATGTTCACATCAAATAGGTGTCGGGCACGCGGTCACGTGATCGCGTTTGACGTGGCGCACAATGTAGGCTCTGATCACAAGCTCCCAGGCCTTCGCCGTTCCCTTCGCGTCTTCAAAACGTTAATCCTCGCCTTCAAAGCTATTAATCTCCCAGATGCGGAAAAGAGAGCCACTTTCACCATGCTGACACCCCAGAGGCCGTCAACGCGCACACTGTGGGTTTATGCAGGTCCATCATCCAGCCAATCAGCGTCTATGTAGACGGCCATGTACGCGCAATTAAACGAGATCTTCTCGTCGAAGCGAGATTAAGGCGGGGTTTGAAGAACACTGCCGACATCCGAGTCGTCCCCCAGGCAGCCATATTCGGCTCAAGCGAATCGCAGGAATATCTTTTCGAGCGGTGTGCGCGCTCACACGCGGCCTGTCGCGGGAGGCACATCCTCAATCAGCCAAGGTTTTTGGGCACTGCATATCGCACTCACCGACCACCTAAATGGCCATGCAATATGCTTGGAGGCCATTGTCCTGTCGAAAGATCCGCCATCCGCCTGATCGTTGAGACACAACCCATCCCTATCGCCTCACAAGAACGACTTCTCAGTCTTCTGCCGCAGATATCACCGCAGACATGAAGCGATTTGCACACGTGGCAAATGCTTAGCAAATGTCAACAGGTTTTTTGCCTTTGTGATCTCAATTTGCTATGGTTCCTTCCCACGTTCCACATTAAGTATTTGCATATAATATTGTAAACGTGAAGATTTAAAATTGTTTATTTAGAAAACATTTTTAAACTCACAAGATACATTTAAAATTTGATCGCTGGGTATCAAATACCCAGTAGCAAACGAAGGTTCTTTGAAACCTCTCAGCTCTCCGAGATCAGTGCCACTAGATATTGCACCGTAGTAACACCTTCATTTGCTGCTGGGCACATGATGGTTTTGAATTCAAAAAATGTGTGATTACATTTGCCAGCGATCAAATTTTAAATGTATCTTGCGAGCTCAAAAACGTTTTCTAAATATACAATTTTAAATCTGCACCTTTACAATATTGTATGCAGATACTTAATGTGGAACGTGGGAAGGAACCATAGCAAATCGACATCGCAAAGGCAAAAAACCTGTCCACATTTGCTAAGCATTTGCCACGTGCGCAAATCGCTTCATGTCTGCGGTGTATAGCCTAATCGTACCTCATTTCGGGGCCCAGATCAACGGGGGTGGCAGATACGCGAGTGTTCCTGAAGGTCCGCGCGCGTACAATGCTTCCGCTTTAGGCGAACAATGGGTTGCGACGCGGTCACGTGTAAAACGCGTGCGTGTATATCAGCCTGAGCCACTCCCGGGTGGGAACGCACATGCGCGAGTTTGGGCATGAGGAGATCTCGGCTCCGGGCGAGTCATTGTGGCATGCAGGGAATACCATGAACGTGGGATTTTTTCGTGTAACCCTTGATCGATAGATTGGTCCGAAGCGATGCGTATGTACATTGTCAGTCTACCTACAGATCTAGGGCACAATGCTTCCGCGCGATAATCGGTACATTTGATACACCAAAGATGAAATGAAGATACTAAATGAAACATGGGATATAACCGCCAGATACAGAGACACCATGTAAGAAAACATGGAAGATGAACGACCCAAGGAACGTAGGATGGGCGGTACGAGCCATATGAGGAGTTTGTATGTGTGCAAAGGCCACCAGGGGAGAGACAGTGAGATATAGAGGGGTGAAGTCAGAAGCCGAGAAATAAATATTTTCGTCAGATCAGGAGCAAGGAGGAGATTGACAGACATGAGCGGGAGGCTCTGGTAACATCTGAATGAGGACCACAGAGAGAGCAAGGGAGCGACACCGCCGCTACGTCAGTACCGAAGGGGAAAGGACATAAATATGCGCAAAGCGGCGAATAACGGCGGTTGTCAGGCTGCGCAGACGCAAAGCCCAAAGTCCAAAGAAGCGCGTCACATAGCTAGAGGAACGAAGCGAGGGTTTCACCGTAAGAAACACGTAGCATTGGAAAAGCACCTGGTGTCCGTTCAAGAGGGTCTGACCTGCACGCATGGCCGCTCTCGAGATGAAGACCGAGCCGACGTGTGCGTGCGCAGAGTAGACGAGTGAGTGAGCGGGCCACTCAGCATGAAGACCCAGAGCGAGAATCCGAGCCCACCCGCACGTCATTCGCCATTTGGAAACCATCGTAGCATGGGTGTTCGCATCGAATTCACGCAGCATCCGTCCCCCAACCACCCGGCATCGTCCTCATGGCCGGAGTAGGTTCCTCGCACTCTGACGAAGGTATCACATCTGCAGTGAGCACAGGTTGCATGTGGTGCGGCGCGTAGGGCTCCTCTTGGTCGTAGACTTGTGCATTCAGCTGCAAATACTGGAACAGTGACTCGGGCGCATCTTCTGGAGGTAGGCTGCTCTCTCGCTTGCTCATTCGCGTCCTCTGTCTCCCGCGCTGCGCATCGTTATCCAGCGACGGAGGTCCAGCCTCCTCGTAGTCTCGCTCTACGATACTCAAACCGGACCCAGACGCCTCGTTCACCTGCGAGAAGTCGAACTGCTGTAAGAGTTGCGCGAACTGCTCCTGCTGGAAATCGTTCGCCTCGTGCTGGACAGGCGAAAGGCGGCCAATACTGATTTCGAGCGGACCACTGGGAGAGCGGAGGAAGTCCTCCGTGTTCCAGTCCATTGAGAAGTCGAACAGCCCTCCGTGGCTCTGCTGCGCGACCCACTCCTGCGGCACGTCGGGGATGTCGAAGTTGATATATTCCTATGCATAGACACTGAGAACGCGGTACCATCAAGCGTACATTAGCTCTTACCGGTTCAGGGAGGAAAACACTGGCGTCATCTTCGTCGGATGTGACCTGGTCGGATGGGCCGACGCTTGCCGACGCGTTCGTGGCGCTGATGGATGAAGGAGTTAGATCGATTGGCCGAGCATGCGGACCGCTCCTGATGGACCATGCGGGCTGCGAAGCGGCATCTGCGGCCTGGGATGTTGATGCAGTGGGCGGTTCTAAGCTCATCATGACCGGCTGCGCCGGGATGATCACACCAGTATATGCTGCATTCTGCCGGTGAGGAAGATGCTGGGGATACGAAGAGCTACCGGAAGTAGAGGAAGACATGGATGGACTGGACAACTGCTGGATGCTGTAGATAGGGCTTGAGGTGGCCTCCGACGTGGGACTGGGGCTCGTGTAGGGCGATGATGCCGCAGACAGCGGGGGCGAGGGGCCCTCTGGGGCATATATCAGGTTCGGGTTGTAGTACGGTATATGATTCATGGGCACGGGCAAAAAGTTCGGGGAAAACCCCATCTGCCGCGTCCTGTTGCGCTTCGCCTCCTCCTTCGCGCGCTCGCGATCCGCCTTCTTTTCCGCGCGCATGCGGGCCTTTTCCTCCTTTTTGACGGGCTGGTAACGATAGCCAGGATAGTTGCTCGCGTGCTCCGCCTTCCTGAGCTCCGCTTCATGCTCGTACAACGCGCGCACCGCGGGATCCTCCTCCTTCCACATCTTGGAGATCTCGCGCGAGACCTCGGCCTGTGGCCGCTTGGGTTTCGTCGGATCAGCGTGCATCGCCTTGAGCTTCTGCGAGCGGTAGATGATCCATGCGTTCGGCGGGCGCGGCGGCTGCACGGGATAGGGTCCCCTGCGCGGGGCACTGAACGAGGAGCGCGAGGCACCGACCATGGCGAGTGCTTGAGAGGGCTATGAGGGTCGGGGGGAGTGGCGCGCCGTGCGCGAGGGCGGCAAAGAGGGCGCGTGCGACGACGAGCGCAGAGGCGGTGGCCGGCGGGCGGACGAGGAGGAGAACGAGGAGAGAAAGCGCGTCTGTCGCGGGAATACGCAGAGCCCATGGACTGTGTTTGTTCAGTGTCTTGCACTGTGGGTCCGCACTCGCGAGCCACACTGAGCCACTCGCGCGCATACACCGTGGGAGTATTTGCCTCCCCATTCCCCTCCTGCAGGTCCTCCTTGCCTTTTGCCACCATTCACCATCTGCGCTGGTCTGGACGCCGGCAGCGTTCGTGGGAACGTCCATCGAGGCCGTATCATCGAGGATCACAGAGATTGTGGTGGATGCAAAGTAAGCGCGGTCGACGCATGACTTGCTCGCGACGCGCGACGACGAGCGCGTTTGCTTCCGCGATGCTCGACGCGACGGTGAGTGCCGATCCGTCTGAATCGATCATCCTCATCTCATCGATCTCCATTGTGCGCGGGCGGGGATGCAAAAAAGCCTTCAGCCGAACGTTCACGAGGGCTTTAGTGCATGGTACAACCATTGTCGGCGGTGCCTGAGATGCAAAGTATATCCAGTACAGTGAGCCATTGCCTTTCACAGATTCAGTCATCTCTCAGATCTCAACCCTTGAAGCCATCGACATTTGGCTTGCTCGCATTCTGTGATAACCAAGTCCATGCCCTCGATCGTACTGATATTTACCCTCTTTCGTACGCATATATAGGCAACACACAGTTCGTACAGCGTCAAGTACACGAATCACGCTGTGGTGGATCTCATCGCCAGTGCCAACCCTCGAGGGCCACTGTCGGCGCACGTTGTAGTGCACTACCACCCCGAGCATTCTATGTTGTGTTGGCCGATGAACCACACTGAATGTGCGGCCATAAATGAACATGGCAGTCTCATGGACGGCTTGTCGTCAGATTCGGTGAGTTTGTTCTCCAAGAGACAACATGTTGGCTTTCTCATTAGTGCGATCCCATGCTGTGCTTCGACACTTGACGTCTAAGCATCAAGTTCTCGCGAACTGCACAGCTCCAACCTGTCCAGCAATCACTGTAAACACACAAGTTGTCGGAAGGAAGCTACTGCTACTCGGGCATTGGCACGGCTCGCCGCTTACCCAGTCAGGCGCGTTAGAAGTGTACATGTTAGTCGCCTCTGGTCACTCGCTAGTGCTTAAGCGCTCACTTATACCTCTCGACAGGGTGACCGAACTCCCGAGCATGCAGTAGGCGATATAAGACGCCTAAATATCTGCTGCAAGAGTCTTCGAACGTCTCGCTCATGGTCGCTCGCTGCCGAAGCCGACAGTCAGGCGCTGATCTCCCGCTCGCGGCATCCCACGTCAACCGCGATGGTCAATCATGCAAGAAACAACAAGCTGTGCCGTATTGATTCTTCCTCCCATTGCTTGCTATGTACGACGGACAATGACTGCAGCGGTTATGTGTACCCGTGTCCAGTCGAACTAGAATCATCTAATATGTACATTCCGTCAATTCCTGTCCGTAGCTCCCGCGAATCTCATTTATCTCCCGGTCGTAGAATGCAGTCCCCTATCAATCATCGCATCTTTGCCGGCGAAATGGTGGACATCTGTTGAATCATCCTGTCACCTTCGGGACTATCTGTCATGCCCGAATCCATTGTCCCCTGCATTGAGACTTCGGGACAATACGAGACCGGGCGCAATATCCTTCCTCTGTACTCAACTGGATGTCAAGACATTGCTGCGAAATCCCATTGTTGTCCTACGCTCGCACAATCTACACAGCTGCTGAGCATGCACATCTCCCTGCATTATACGGAACTTCCGATGAATCCGCGGTGACATGCAAAAGCGTCCACAATTACTGACGACCTCATCGATTCTCATCGCTGAATTGTTGAAAATTCTAGCAAGATCACACGAACATGCGAAGCAAGCACAACGACGTGCAAACATGTTTATAGGAAACAATCGATACACTCATAACAAGCATCAATGGTAACGAGTAAACGACACACCCACCCACAACAGCCGTCGCGGGCACTACAGACCATCAGGGAAAACAAACGGACCGCGAGAGTGGTAGCAGTAGCAGCGGGATATACGAGGACTGGACACAACGTGGAAAATGCAACCATACAAGTACAGCCGGATTGTGGGAACACCAGAGTCCGCCAATGAGACAGGGGAGGACGACCCGGACGAAGACGACGCACGCTACCAGAAACGAGGGGCAAGAGTAAAGATCGAAGTGGATGAGTGGGTCAAGAAGAGCGATAATACACAGGACGAGAACGATCATCGATGGAAAAGAGAACAAGGACAAGCATGGAAAAGGAAAGCATCTTGGATGCGGGATTGAGCTGTATAGTGACGGTTAGTGAACAGATGTCGTCAGAAGAAACCATCTTGGACTCACACACAATGCGTGCTCAGTATTGCGGAGCACCGCCATAGCCTCCTCCACCGTAGCCGCCACCGTAGCCTCCTCCACCATAGCCGCCTTGCTGTTGGCCGTAGCCACCTTCTCATGAAGCAATATCGTCAGCCAGGAATTCTGTACATATCACCGAGACTCAACCTTGGTCGTAGCCGCCATACTGACCTCCACTGTAGCCGCCTCCGCCACCTGCTGGACTGATTAGCTCATCTTGTACGATCACTCTAGGAGACACAAACCAGAGTAATCTCCACCATACCCACCAGAGTTGCCACCGTAACCTCCACCTCCTCCGCCGCCGCCGCCGCGGGCATTGGCGAGGTTGACCTTGATGCGCCTGCCGTCGAGCTCCTGCTCGTTGAGGCCTGTGATGGCGGACTGGGCCTCCATGCCACTGCTGTAGGTGACGAACCCGAAGCCACGGCTACGGCCGGTATCGCGATCGCGCATCACGATCGACTATAAGCGAGACGCGTCAGCTCAGATCGTGTCGTCCATCTACCGACTGCTCATCGCCGCGAAGCCATGCACAGTCACTAGACCTCAGGAGAACGAACGCGTACGTCGAGAATGTTGCCATATTGCGAGAACGCCTGCAAACACAGAAATTCGCGCGGACACGAAAGCAAGATCAGACACGACGGAACAGGGCACGGCGCGCGGACGCGCCGCTGAGAAAATCACACTGACTGCACGGAGGGAATCATCCGTTGTATTCCAGCTCAAGTTACTGAAGACACAAGATGCTATCAGTCTCGCTCCCCTATGATACAGGAGAACGGCGCGCAGGTGACACGAAACTGACCCAACGTATACTTTTGCAGACATGATGGACCGAATCAACGTATGTTAATACAGTAGAAGGCCGGACCACTTGAAACTTGGACGAAAATCGAATCGGAACCCGAAACCCGGACGGAGACACGGACGAGGATACGAGAGCGGAAAGAGGAGCGGTTGGGGGGATACCGCTGACCTCTCCCCCTTTTATGCAATCTCGAGCAATTCAAACTCCGGTGAAAACCCTAACTTTTTTGCGCTTCTCGTGACTCTAGGCCCCCTTGGCACCTTTGGGGCGCTCCATCGTTTTGGCAGCGCCCGTCCCTTTTCCGGCCAACGCAAGCATGTTCCGGTACAAAAATAGAACTGCAATGTTACAGGGCGCAATAGCGCGGGGTGCGTACGTCAACAGGCATATGCGGAGAACTATGACACAGAAAATGGAACACAAATGGACAGCAGTGGATGCATGGACAGACAGGGATGGTGAGATGAATACAGTATCGCCGCTCGCGAGGAAATCTGAGTACAATTCCAACGTTCATGAGTGGATGGATGGTGGGCCGCAGCCCGGGGATCGTCGCTCGACTACAATTTGTCGTCGCGCACGACGCTAGACGCCGCTGCTCTTCCTCTTATCTTTCTTGTCCTTCTTCTTGCTCTTGGACCTGCCGATATCGCTCGCCACGCTCGCCGTGGGGCTGTCCCTCGAGCCGGCATCCCTCGAAGTTGAGGCTGACCCAGTGGTACTCTCACGCTTGAGCATGCCCGACATGAACCCACCCAGTTTGGGAATCGACGAGCTCGAATCCTGCCGGTACTGCGACGTTGACATGCGCCGCGTCAGGTTCTTGATGCCTTGCGTCGACAGCGTGCGCTTGCGTTTGCCATCGCCCTCGGAGGCCCCTGGGATCGGGCGGGGCGGTGTGTGGCTTTCCTTCTCGAAGGTGACGCCCTGTGTCGTCTGAGGGGTCTCGGCGCGCTCTGGAGTAGCTGTGGCGTGTTCTGGAGTAGCCGTGGCATGCTGGAAGCCAATTTCGGCCTCGTCGGCAACCGTGGGGAAGCCAATCACAGCAGGGCTCTCAGATCGAGGGAATGCCGGAGCATCATCTGACTTGCGTGCCTCTGCCGCGGCAACAGCAGATGCATCCCCCGTGCCGTGCGCCGAGCCTGCCTGCACCACATCGCCCGCCGGCTCCTCGGTACCTTCTACATCAGGCGCGCCATCCTCGATGATCTCCTGTACCGCCGCGGCGACCTGAGTCTCCGCCGTCATCTCCGCGTCAGCCACCGTGTGCACGTCGTCAACGACCACGTCGGCCGGGCCGGCACTCGTCGCAGCAGCCACGGTGCTCTCGTTGATGATAGTATTGCTACCCTTCGTCGATGGATCCGCATCATCGACCGAGTAGCCCGAGACAGCTGCCTCCTTTTGGCGGGATTGTGAGGATCCTGCGTCCTCGATGCCTTGCACCTGCGCAGCCCACATCTTCGCATATTCTTCATTGAGAGCGAGCAGCTCATTGTGACTGCCCTGCTCGACAATCTGGCCATCTTTCAGGACAAGGATCCTGTGAGAAAAGCCGCAAAATCAGCGCCCATTTCCTCATATAATCTCACACATGTGGGACGTACACGTCTGCTGACGCAATTGTCTGCGAGGATCGATGAACCTTTCAATTAGGGTTGCTCTCGGAAACGTAAAATGAACCACTCACCGATAACCGGTGCGCGATTGATAGCGATGACCGGCCTTCCATCAAATTCCGCAAAGCTTCTTGGATGTCTTTTTCCGTGGCCGTGTCCAGCGCACTACAAATTACAGGGCACGCGTGAGATTGGTCCCACAGCATTGAGGTAATATTAGTGACAGTAGCCAGGGTCACGCACCTAGTGGCCTCATCCAGCAGGAGGATGGGCGGGTTTTTCAGCATCGTCCGGGCAATCGCTACTCGCTGTTTCTCGCCCCCGCTCAGGCGTACGCCGCGCTCGCCCACCTTCGTTTCGTAGCCGTCCGGGAAGCTCATGATTCGATCGTGCATCTGCGCAGCCTTTGCCGCCGCTTCGATCTCTTCCATTGTTGCACCGAACTTGCCGTACCCAATGTTATACGCAATGCTCGAATGGAACAGCACCGCATCCTGGGGGACCACTCCAATCGCCTTGCGCAGACTAGCCTGGGTTATATCTCGAATATCCTGCCCATCAATCAGAATACGGCCTCCATTGTCCTGCAGGTCGTAGAACCGATACATCAAGCGCAGGATCGTCGACTTGCCCGCACCCGACTCGCCCACGAGTGCAACGGATGATCCCTTCGGGACCTTGAACGATACCCCACTGAGCGCAGGCGTACGCCCGTCGTACGAGAAGCTGACATTGTCTATGGTGAGTAGCAAATGATGTCAATGATCATTGCTGTGGACGATACGAAGAGCGGCCACCGACCGAATTCAATCTCGCCATTAGTCACGATGAGATCGGGCGCATTGGGCTTGTCGTTGACATCGGTCGGCTCATTGAGCAACTTGAGCAGTCGCTCCGTATCGACCAACGTTTGATTGATGGAGCGGTAGATCGTGCCAAGCATGTTCAAGGGGCCATAGAGCTGCAAAGAGGAGATCATGAACAGAGTGTCGGACGGTGAAGACAACCAAGCTGCTCACCTGTGCCAGGTATGTCACGAAGAAGACAAACTGGTATGGCTGCGACTGCCCTCGCGTCACGCGCAAGGCGACAATCATAGAACCGACCAAGAGACCCAATGTCTACGGAACAAGTGAGCCATCCGCTTTGCTGCTCACGACAATGGAGAATACATACGATAATCAAGTTCTGCACGAGATTCAGCAAGTTCAACGACACTGTGAAGAGCGAAATCAAGCACGGCCGATCACAGACAGCGCAGAAGCAACTTACGGATGACCCGGTACTCCAAGCCTTGGTATTGTCGGATAGCATCCCGATAACGTTCCGCCTCGTGTTGCTCGCCGTTGAAGTACTTCACCGTTTCATAATTCAGCAGGCAGTCAGTGTGGATGCCACGCGTGACCTATGAACGGCGTGTGTACTCGATCAGCACGGAGATGAAGCGATATTGACTGAGAATCCCACTCACCACGTCGCGATCGACCATCTGTCTCCGGAGCCGCGTGCGCCAATTGGTGAGGATAATACTTGCGGAAACTGCGGCACATACCAATTAAGTCTGCCTCGAAAGTAAGGCGACATGCAGAACTCACCATAGGCTGTCATCACAACAAATACAACCACTGTCAGGGTCCACTCAAAATAGATGGAGAATAGCACGAGCGCTATTCCGATGTCGATGAACGTGGGGATGATGTTGAACAGGAGGAGCTGTGGTGATAAGATGAGATTTTTTACCGGCATCACAAACGGATGTATGTACCTCGAATGCGCGATTGATGGCAGCCCCGCGATCGAGGATGCGGAGGATTTCGCCAGTTTTGCGACGCAGGTGGAATGCGAGCGAGAGATTCAATATGTGCTCAAATGAGAGCTGCGACATCTCTTTGGAACAAAAATGAGCACCTGCTACAGTGTAGTCCATGCCGAATGCTTACCTCGATCCGAGTACTGCATGACTGGTGCCCATAACGCCTACGCGGTGCCAAACGTCAGAATCGCGTACGCAAGTGGTACGGAAGGCGCATATACCCACCTCACGAAGAGCACCCAGGCCGCCGCTCGCTTGCAGGAAGCGCAACCCAACATATGTGAATAGGTACATCCAGAGCATATGCGTGTAGGCACCCTCCTCAAACATGTGCACTAGCTCCGCAAAGACGAACGGAACGAGGATGTTGACGAAACGGCCAATGACAACGATCACGACGCATAGCAGCTGCTGAACGTCAGAATATGGCGCATACACGAGGCTTATGAAACATACCGCAAGAAATTGAAGACCGGCGCTCTTTGATGGCCACAGATATGGCGAGATGCGCCGCAGACGTGCCCAAATCTCGCCCCATGATGGGTCAAGCACGACCTCCTCCTTCGGCTCCTAAGTAGAATCGGATTAGTCCCGTTCAGGAGCGCTAGACTTACAGACACCGACCTTGCCCTTCATAGGCAACGTCTGAACCGCGGATGGAGCAGGAGTGTGGCTCCGTGTGGTCGGACCAGATGCTTGTATCGTGGAACGCGCAGTTGAGCGGAATGTTCCATATTTGCTCATCTCTGCAGAGACTGGTGAGAGGCCCGTAGATGGCGCAGCGCCCACCGATTGCGGGAGGAGTAAGTCTGTTTCAGCTTGGGCTTCCTCATCAGAGTCGTGGACGGCGACGTATGTCACTCGAGGGAAGAACAGAGCTGCGAGGAGTGGTACGAGCAGTACAACTCGGAATGCCGGGAACGCGAGGTGCAGGAGCAGCCGGATGGAGAGTGGATCTGGAAAGTGAAACGACGATCTTTGCCATCAACATGCGAAGACATGATCCGAAAACGTGCACACTGACCTCCCAGTGGCATCGACAAGGCCAGCATGGTGACCTGAGCGACATCGAGGCCAAATGCGGCGAGAAACGCAAATTTGAGCCTTCTCAAGTACCAGACATCGACTCCTTGAATGTCCTTCCAAGCCCCTAGAGCAGCCAAGCCGCCATACGCCGCGAGACCAAGGAGTGCAGCGATCTCGATGCCACTGTACTCTGGCCACGTCTTGCGCAGCACGGCATATACAATGAATGCAACACCATCAAGAAAAAATGTGAGCGCGGCAAGCGAGAGAGTAACCAGAATCAAGGCACGCCGCGGAGTACGCGTCGCGACGATGACCTGCGTGATGGGAGATGGGGATTTGGGTGCACTGGGGCGGGTGAAGATGATGGAGAGCGTGACCAGCAGCACGAGTGCTGGGGAGATAATGCGCAAGACGAGGAGGGGCGTCACCGCCGCAGGGATCGCGAAAGGTATACTGGGCAAGTTGATGTGCGGCAGCTGGACTTGCCAGTGCCATGGCCAGGTGAGGGTTGGTGTCATCGTCGCCGACGTCGGATAGCTCGACGTCGTCGGGGTCGTGAAAGAAGGAGGGATAACAAGATGTCGCGAGGGGCGTGCGGCGTGTCAAGACGCCTCATGTGTGGCTCATTGCCTCTTATCCTTTTGGCGCGGACCATCATCTGGTATCGGCTCGGAAATCTTACACAATAGTCGCCGGCCACCTTCCGGCACAACCATGCTGCCAATCATTCTCTTTCTTGCGGCCTTGATCTACCCGGATTGGTCACTAGGCACGGCGTGCACGTTGTGTGGGGCAGCGACGAGTTCGCGACCGCTCTCGCTGTAGGGCACGCTGCGGACACACCACAATGCAACTAATATCAGAGTAATATATGTCGTACATTCCACGCATCGGAAGCCCATGACACAGGTCGGAACACAGAACAACACGAGGCAGCCTTCGTACATTCAAGCGACAAGCAGCTGATACCATCTCGGCACATGGCAAGAACACAACATTTATGGTACTGTGACTGGCAATCACTAGCCGTCGATCGCAGCCGCAGCCTGAGCAGATAGCCTGAGATACGCCTCTCACTCGGAATGCGTGAATATCTTTTCGATCACATCGTCCTTTAGCCTATATCCGTTCGCAGCGAACAGCTTCGACCGCAGGAAAGGCGTCGTGTCAAAGATATCGTGTTCCTTCGCCTAGCAAGCGCAATCGCGATTAGTCTACGGCGGAGCTCAGCATGAGAACCGACACACCCGTTCATCCAGCTCGGAAGTCTTGATGGAAACGACCTCCGGCTGCTGATTATTATGCAACTGATAATATCGCGCCTTTTCTTTCACGATCTGCCCCAAGATGAACGCGAGCAGCTCTTCGTGATCACGCGCCTGCGTGAGGTACTTGCGGAATCCCTGCGTCGGCGTATCAGCTAATCGCGCCATCAACCCAAGTCGCGACGGTACGCACTCGCTCAAGAGTCTTCTTGATGGACATCTTCTGTGCACTAACGAAGCTGCCGACGGCGACGGAGATTGCGAGATCGATATCGTCCGCTCGAACATACTCTCGCAGCGCCATCTTGGCGCTCGCCTCCGCCATGCGAATCATGCTCTCCAGGTGACGCACAGTGATGGGAAATGAGCCCGTGGCCAGCGACTCTCGCCTCAAATCCGCAAAGAGACGCGATATCTTCTCCTGATCAAGGTCGTACAGCTTGGGGCGGATCTTCTCCCGTGCGTACATGATGTACTTCCGCAGAAGATCTTGCGGGATGACCTACGACGTCGTCAGCGGCGAACCCGACAGAATAGCCAAAGTGCAGTACATCAGCATCCAATGTCGTCCCCACGTCCATCTCATCCATCTCGGGCTCGAACTTCGGGTGGCTCCGCAAGTGGCTGCCAACCACGAACCGCGCCAGAAGCTCGTCCTGGACCGGATTCACAGTATCCTTCACAACGCACAGCACGTCGAAACGTGACAGGATCGGCTCTGTCAGCTCGACGTTCTGCTGGAATGGAATCGTCGGGTTGTACCGCCCGCGGACGGGGTTCGCCGCAGCGATGATCGCGCAGCGTGCCTGAAGCGTCGTGACGATGCCTGCCTTGGAAATGGAGATCGACTGCTGCTCCATCGCCTCGTGGATGGACGTCCGATCAGCGTCGTTCATCTTGTCAAACTCATCAATGAGGCATGTCCCCTTGTCGGCGAGCACCAGGGCACCACCCTCGAGTGTCCACTCGCGCGTCACCGGGTCCTTGCGTACGCTCGCGGTCAGGCCGACCGCGGACGCACCCTGGCCAGTGGCGAACACAGATCGGTGCGCCGTCTTCTCGACGTACTTGAGGAATTGCGACTTGGCTGTTCCCGGGTCTCCCAGAAGAAGGACGTTGATGTCACCGCGGATGCGATGCTTGCGATTGATATCCTTGGACACGCCACCGAAGAGTGAGAGCGCGAGAGCCGTCTTGATGTCCTCGTGTCCGTAGATAGAAGGAGCAATCGACTTGGTGATCCGCTTGCGGATCCGGTCGTCTCGAGCCAGTGCACGGATCTCCTTCTCGTCTTCCTCTGTGAGCCGGAAGGCCGCGAATTGGTCCTCCTTCTTGTTGATATGGTTCGCCTCGATGATGGTGGAGAACACCGGAAAGCCGTTCTTCGAGTTGAGTGACGCGTCGAAGTTGTTGCGATAGATGCCCGTCACCTCCTGTGTGATTGTCAACAGGTAAGAGACAGACATATGTGTAACCAACTCACGATCTCCTCTCCTGGCTTGGCTGAGTCGATGAGATCCCAAAGCAAGACCACTTCACGATGCCTCGGCAGACGACCAGGAGGAACGGAGCCAGGAGATTCTTGAAGGGTCATCTTCTGATAGTTCCGGTAAACTGTCTATAAAACCAGCGGAGTGAGCTAGTGGCTCGCAAGACACCTGGAGACAATGCGCGCTTACTTGCTCCGAGTTCACCGAGAATGGCCCTTTGCCCTCACAGTTGGGGCAGTAGCTAACTCTGACCTCCTTGGTGGCATCCTGATAGAAAGGACCCAGCACAGCCCCACATTTGCGACAATCGAACTTGACATATTTCAGTTGAGGGAAGACTCCGGTGCGCCGTGTCACAACACCGGAAACCCTGACGAGGTTGTTGAGATTGGAACGGCGGAGGTCTCGGAGTGACGAGCTGAGAGGCAGGTCCGTAATGCGTACGTGGACCTCCGAGTGGATGCGCTCGTAGGAGGGGTAATACACAAGGATGGCGTTTAGCGCCACTTCGTCGAAGATCGCAAGCATGGCGCTTGGCGAGTTTGTCAGAAAGTAGGCGAGGATTGGCTTGGACAGCGCGAGATGCACATATGAAACCTCGAGTGATTCAGAGTTGTCTGTTCATGCCGTCAGTAAGACGGTGAATTTCGACATCGCTCCGACTTACTCTCTCCCAAGTGACGAATACGTTGACCATACACGGAGGCACCGTGCTCGTCCACATACGTCATTAAGAATTGGCGGAAGTGCCTGATAATTGATCTGCGGACGCGTTCGTTCGCGATCCACTCAACGATGGACTTTGCTTTGATGTCGCCTAGTTGTTCAATGGGTATCTCCTGGAAGAGCAATGAGCTCGATCGCCTGAGCACACAAATTGCGATTGATACATACGTCTTCAATACCAGCCATGTCATCCAGATCTTTCCTCTCGTCATATTGCCTTCTAGCGCGCATTTTGGTGCCGGCCAGAAGGCTGCGTCCAGGCTGGTCCTCGTCCATATCGTCACTTTCGAGGAACTCTGGCATGCGATTTCTACGAGCGGCTCGCATTCCCCGCCTACCACCCTGTTCGCGACGGTCCCTCTGAGCCATCTTAGCCTCGGCTGCGCGTCGCTGAGCGATTGTCATCTCTGCGAACTCTTCTGCATCGTTGACTCCGGAATCAGAGTAACGGTCCAGAATTTGATTTCCGGCGTAGTCGCTATAATTGCCGGTGAAACAACGCGACCTCTGGACGGGAAGACAACGCACTCTTCGAGCCCCTCGCCGAAGAGATCCTCGCCATCCTCATCTTCAACACCGTCATCGACGTCTCTCACCGCGTCACGCTCATCGATACTCTCATCAGTGTCGGAGAATGCAGGAGGAGATGATGGCGGGAGAGATGATTCTTGGTCGCGATCGTGGCGCGTCGAGGCTGCACGCGCTGAGGGCGAGGAATCGAGAGGCGTCGTATCCCTGCGCCGCTTAGCACCACGAGGAGTCTACTAGGAGTCAGCATGCTATCCATTGTATCCGCGATGTTAAACGTACCGTCATATTTCCAGTCGAGTTTTCAGGAAGACCGAAGGCAAGGTGAGAGATGAGAGAAGATGCGCACAAGAACGTTTCTCGCGACGCGACGTGCTCATTTAGCGGAGTTTTAAAACTTGCCACATTCGTGTCGACTCCGATCCTATACTTAAGCCACGAGACTTTTTTCACTGCCACCATGCTGGAGGGGCAGCATCTTACTACGGTAGACATTGAGTGAACGTAGCGTGAGTGAATATATGGAGGTCCTCCAGCGTGACAATATGTATTGGTTATCCTGTTCCAATCTGCAATAGTAATGCCTTCGTTTAAGAGCCTAGCCTTCAAGCTCAAGACTGGTATCATGGCTATTCTGCAGGGCTTGGCACGAACTGTACAGTGGTGGCGCGTAGAGACATTGTTAATATGCGTATGATATGGCTCTTGGTTTTCAATGTCGTTGACGAGAACATGGTGCCGTGAACATTAGCAAGGAGGCGATCGAAGTGGACAAGCCGCAACTTGCAAGGCAGCGAACTGCTTCAGATGTCATGAGGCGCACCCCTGTTTGGCTTCCATGCCACGAAGTCCGGTAAGGTTTCATTGAACCGCTCGCTAGAGAAGTTGAGCCTCAATAGATGGAGATATCAAAGTTTGAACCCTGTTCGTAATCGTTACGTGTGTCTCAGCAAGCTGACTGAAATTGACCTACCGGAGTACACTTCTTCGACGATACGAGGGTAGTACCCAACCTTGTCCGTACGCCGCCGCCACACCCGGCGTATAAGAGCAATGCATTCTTCGCTACCCGCCTTCTCACAGGGGAAGGGCGATCCTGCCGGCGGAGGTGCCAAGAAGCCCAATGTCGCCATGCATCGTGTTGCATCGCTTGCGGGTCCTCCTCTTCATTGTTCACTGGCAGAAGATGCTATCTCACTTATACGCACAAAGACCACGAGGTTATGTGCCGATATGCACAAGCGTGAGCCGCGATCACGAGGGCTGGAAAGAAAGGTGGGCAATCTGCAACTAACAAACATCAAGTAATCAGCCCATGCTATTGATTTGTGGGTCTACCTGTTCACGTATGCCAGCTCACTTCCCTAACGTTGCCTCGCAGGTGACCTCAAAGTTTTCTTTTTTCCCGTTTTTGGAAGGGGGACCGGGTAGTATTGATACGTTGTAGATTTGGACGATCAATGAACGTCTTGGGATAGTCGGTCATTACTTTTCTGTTCGCGTGCAAGAACCATCGCGTAAAGCATTACAACATTGATCAGTTCGTGCTAGACAGTGTGTAAGCTTGCATATCTGAGCATTGACGCGATACAAATGAACGTTATAAATGAGATAAGACTAGTATTATTCAGGAGAGGATGAACTAGCTGAAGCCTTTGCCCTTGACATCTGAAATTGAAATGCGACCCGCGCGGCGGAGTCCCAAATCGCCACAGGCGCGTTTACTCCGACCTGATCTTTTCCTTATAATTAGGGTCTCACCAGGCTTTGGACTTGTCCGTGCTGAACTTGTTTCTGAGCAAATATGATATTCCGGCGTGCCTCAATTCGGCTCTCCAACCCCCCAAAAGTCACGTTGGACCCAAGTTGCGTGAAGCATGATGCGACATCAATCCGGTTTGAGACTAGAAGGGCTTTTCTCTAAGAAGCTCTGAGAAGTCTTTTTGTGTGCTCATCGTCTCATTGGTTTTTGTCGATAACGGATTGTTTTGTTCCATGCTGAGGGATATCATCTGAAGACGTATTTAAAGGGAAGTTAATCCGCTTGGTCTGCCAATCTTCCTACGACTCACGGTGCCCCGATGCAACCGCCTCAAGTATGGTTCAGTGGGTTCCAACTCACTGCTATGCTTTATCATTGCCTGACTAACTAGGGATTTATTCAGTCACTGGGGCGTCCTCTGGCTTTGGACGTTGCATGACAGACATCGTCCTCCGGAATGGAGACATCGCCGTCAGCACGCTGAGGAAGCCTGAAGTTCTCGCAGATCTCGCTCGCGCGTACCCGGAGGACAGGCTACTCATCCTCAAGCTTGACGTGACTAAACCCCAAGAGATACAGGATTACTTTGCAGAGGCGGAGAGAAAGTGCGGTCGTATCGATGTGGTCTTCGACAATGCTGGGTACGGGATCATCGGAGAGATAGAAAGCACTCCGGAGCATATCGCACGCGAACTATTTGACGTTGATTTTTGGGGAGCCGTGAATGTCAATAAAGAAGCAATCCGTGTGTTCCGGGACGTGAACCAACCGCGGGGTGGGAAACTACTCCAAATGTCTTCCCGATGTGGGGTTGAAGGAGGTCCGCTTATTGGCTTCTACCACGCTGCTAAATTTGGTGAGTTGCTTGATACTAAATGACAGACGTTCCAAAGGACAGGTGCTGAATATTATCCGAAGCATTCGAAGGTTTCAGCGAGTCTCTTGCTGCTGAACTTGACCCAGAGTGGAACATCCAGGTGAGACCCACCATGTCAAGGAGATTTACAGATTATTTATAAAGTATGCGGAACGGACTAGATCACGCTCATTGAGCCTGGGTATTTCTACACTGGCTCAGTTGGTCATGCTGTACGAGTCCCGCTACATCCCGCATATAGCAATCCTGCGTTGCCAGCTACAACTTTACGCGGATTTATCGATGGCGGACCAGCCGGTGGAGATGCAATGAAGGCTACCACTATGATGTATCGTCTCGCATCGCTTCCTCTACTCCCGCTCCAATTTCCGCTAGGTCAAGATGCCTTGGAGACGATTAAACGAAAGACTACAAGGCTGATAACAGATACGAGCGAGTACGAAGCATGGTCGAAGGGGCTCGAGAGAGACTCGTGAGTTACTGATTAACTTGCGCTGTTGATAGTCACTAGTGAGTTCATCAACTCACTTATTCCAATGAGACGTCAGAAGGTGTCTCCGGATTTCAACCGGATGTCGGTTCCTCTTATCGCATCGTGTCACCCATCACGCAACGATCTTCGGGTGACTTGCTTGATTCGGGGATTGATTCGGGTTGAGCCACGATGCTTGGCGAACAGCAACAAAGCCCTCGCGACCCTGACATCCTTCCGATCAGCCTTCCCGGGTTTCAGATCTCAATGAGGACATACATTGCGCAGATACGTGGGCCCGTCAACCGTTACTTGCACCAATGACCCCCTCATGGCGGTCCGGTGTCATGAACCTGACATCATGACCGCTTATCTGGCAACGGTTTGACCTAACTTTGCGATGTTATTACTGAGGATAGTTGGACCGGAAAATGAACCGCTGTCGAGCAATTTTTTGAGACAAGCGTCACGGACGACGGGCGCGCCAGTAGCTCCCTTAAACACTGTTTGTACATGTATTCTCATTCTCCATCTTGATCTTCAGCCGTTATCCCTGTCCATTCATGGTTAAGACGTGTTCCTGCTCCTTGAATCATCATCTTGTTGCCGACGCGTTATAAATCATTTTCATGTCTGAGATACTTACAAACATTGTTCAATGCCGAAAAGGAAGATCAGCGCGCATATGACAAATTGATGCTCATTGGTGGGGCTTTTGCACAGTGTTGACTGCTTCGTGAAGGACCGAGAGGGGATACGTGCCGAGCGTCTTACTCTCCATATTATTCGTTTCAGCAAGAATTCCACACAATGCCGGCCTTGCCGCAAGGGGCTCCGGCGACAGTTGGGCGCAAAACATTGCTGGTTCCATTTTTCGAGCACCGGAAGGCACTATATAATCAGCGGAAGCTTTGGCGACATCTTCACGCCTGTTTTCCCCATGTCGTCTCCAAGGGTGTGGTTCAGTACGTGCAGTAGACGGACTTACTATTAGTTCAAGCTGACTATTCCATGTCCGATAGTGACCGGTTGCTCGACGGGGTTTGGTCGCCTCATGACTGAACTCGTGCTCGAGCGCGGAGATGTTGCAGTCAGCACCGCCAGAAAGCCCGAAGTCCTCGCAGGATTGGCCGCCATTTATCCAGAAGATCGATTGCTCATTCTCAAACTCGATGTGACCAGTTCGAATGAGATCCGTGACTTCTTTCTTTGCTCAGGCAGAGAGAAGGTTCGGTCGCATCGACGTCGTCTTCAACAATGCCAGGTTCGGTATACTTGGCGAGCTGGAAGGGATTCCTGAAAACACCGCTCGCGGATTGTTTGACGTCAATTTCTGGGGCGCAGTGAATGTGAGCAAGGAGGCGATCAGAGTCTTCCGCGAGGTCAACAGACCTCAAGGTGGAAGACTTCTGCAGATGTCGTCCATGTACGGTGTTGAAGCCAATCCGCCCTTTGGGATCTATAGTGCTGCGAAATTCGGTAAGCATGTCCCTATGTCGTGCTATTGTGTTCGACGAAATTAACGCTATTGTATTTATACACAGCGTTGGAAGGCTTCACGGAATCACTCGCCGCAGAGATTGATCCGAAGTGGGAAATCAAGGTGCGATCCCATGCTTTGAAGCTAATGATAATGCTGCCTGATCAATGCTTGATATCCAGATTACCCTCTTGGAGCCTGGATTTTTCAAGACGAACCTGCGAGCCAACGCGGTCGAGATGGAGCCGCATCCCGCTTACACACGTCATCGTCTGCTATCAGCTACCCGCCTTGCTGCCAGTGGCGAGGTATTCCACAGGGACCCAAAGAATGCCGTCGCTGCTATGTATCGCCTTGTGTCTCTTCCTGACCCGCCACTGCATTTCCCATTGGGAGAGGACGCCATAGTGCTGGTAAGGAGGAAGACTGAAAGGCTGCTCGCAGAGACGAACGAGTTCGAAAAGTGGTCTGATGGACTTAGAGAGACGCACGCGATGTACATGATAGGGCTAAGCTGTGACCTGTATCATTCATCTTTGTACAGTATGAGCTTTCAAGATGCTTCCCGTCGAATGTAGATCTGTGCGATTTGAGTCAGCAATCGATGTAAACAAGATGACTTTAGCATCAAGCCATTCTGTCATGCAATGAAAATATGAGCCTTCGACGGGATTAAGGATATGGCTTGTTCTCTTCGTCTTTACGAATTTTAATGAAGGCATTTCAGAGTCATATGCTTGGAAGTCACTTATCCTGGATTTTCTCCCATGTGCGCTCGAAGGATTTACCAAGGATATATTTTGTTCCATGTTTCTTCGAACGTGCTGAACTGGTCCCGGGCTGAGCATGTCACAAGAGCGTCGACTGTTTTGGGTCATTGCATGATAGAAGTCGCGCTTCAAAACGGAGAAGTCGCAGTCAGCACGCTCGGGAAACCAGACAACCTCGTCGATCTTGCTCGTGAATACACGGGAGAATGTCCTCAATGTCGCAATCTGGCGGCGTAGCGACGAGCGCCGCGGCGGAACGGACCGAATAGAGCCCGACCCGGGGCTAAATAGTATGCGTACGTACCTGCACCCGCCGTTTTGTCTTCCTCAAAGCAGGCCGAGATGGTGGTCCGACAAACGCTGGAGTGCATCAGCCCGTGAATCGCGACACTCAAACTAGTGCTGAAGGGCGCATCCCACGCTGCCAATGTCAGCAAAAACGTAATGCGCGTATTTCGCGATGTGAACTAACCTCGGAGAGAAAAGACTTCTCTAGACGTCTTCCGCGACCACGTATGAAATTAGAGAGGGGGGCGGGGTCCAATGGTTGGCTATCATAGTGATGTCATGTTCAGCAGGTTTGCTCACTGGCCCCCGCTCGGCGAGAGTGACCTAAGAACAGCCTCTAGATCATGTACACTGCAGCATAGGTGTGTCTGACTTTAATATTACACGTTCGGTCGGATTCGGCAGCAAGCGACTCACTGAAACATTTAAGTGCTTCGATCATATTCAACACTCATTAAACGAATTGTTTGTGGTTGCATCATAGCGCGCCGGTTATTGAAAGGCGATTCCATAATGCAATCAAGGCTGTCGTCAAAACGTATCTCTTTTTGATCCTTTATCTCGTTTTCTGACCAGTAAGGGTATGATCACCTTTCGAGGAAAAAGGAAGCTAGGTTGCATGCGAAAATGGATGGGTAAAAGACGTGGTCGGAAAAACTGGAGAAAGTCGAAGGAACTTACATTCATTCGGTTCACTTCGCTGCAGCTCAGACGACAACTTCGCTGGGATGGGGTGAATGCGACGCTCCGAAATCCTGAGTTTCGACGCGTCAGTCTGCCCGCGGAGGTTATCACTGAAGAGAATGATCGCATAGTGGTTTTCGACGTGCAACACAGCCACTGCTGATCGTTCATCTCGTCGGTGACAATCTGCAACGATCGCAGAGGCAATAAATCACTGTTAGCTTCTGGTGAGCGGGCATACACGACTGACGTGTATAATCGCTCAGAGAATATAGTCGAGGAAAATGATCGCATTGTCAACAGAAAGAGGACCTCGTGGTGGAGGTATGAAGGAAGCATCCAAATGCATACTCCCGTGTCCAAGATCGCTTTAGCCAAGTGAACAGTCGGAGCTTCCGACGAACTGCTACCTGCCAGACCGTGCTGGCTCAACCGTATGCATCATATTGATGAACACTTCCGTCGGTCTGCCAACAGGATCGCGGAGTGTAGTAACGATGAACGACTTGTTGGGTTTTCTTGCCTATCCAGCATTGAAGAACATCGTAAAAACGGGGTTTAGGGTCTCTTTAGAGTTTTGCTCCATATCTCTCTAGCCCGTTGGATTTTGGTCGCTTGATGACCAAACAACCGTTACCCTCGTCCACCCAATCGCAATCGTAGGCTGGGTGTTAACATTGAATATGCACGTGGATGCCTTCCACGTATCCATCAATCACTCTGACAATCATGTTCTCTGATTTGTCTGATAATGATGCCGAGGTTGCGAGATGCGACCGCGACTGACGCTCCCATTGGATTCAAGAACGCACGTTTGTCATAGAGATTTGTTGCTACGCTACGGAGTAGTGCCGCAACTTGAACGACAGATGCAGGATGACTTTGCGGCACCGAATGATGCGAACTGCCCAATCACAAGGCACAGCCAATCAACGTGAGGTGACCTTGGCAGTGCTTCATGACTGTCATGAGAAGAAAAGGCCCATAAAAAGGGAATAGCTTATGAAAAGTAAGTGACAATGGGCGAGTGGAAAACGAAAATGTGGCCGCCTCGAACGGGTGGCTGAGACTCCGGAGCACGTGCTGCTTGGTGAACGACCTCATCGTCCGAAACAATGAGCAGCGGCAGTCCATCTACCCATCCGTCAACGCCAGACGTCTCGCTAACAACGTCGCAGACTTTCATCTTCCATCTGCATCCGGGGCGCGACGATTTCGTGTAACCTGGACAACTCACTCTCTCCAATATAACCCGGCATTCATCGTCCCACACTTGATCCCACGTCTGCCGATACCCTCCTTCCATTATTCCCAGCGCATGAAATCGATGTACTCTCCAGAGCTCGAGGTGTTCTCGACCCCGCCTTCGACACCGGACGGAACACGAGAAACTCTCCGTCCCTCTCTCTCACGACGCTCCAGCAGGCCCTCCAACTTGCGCATACAGCAGTCGGCTTCATCGCTTGCTCTTAACGTAGTCGTCGACGATCAGGCTTCGCCTGACGTCAAGAAAGTGCACCCACCCACATATCCGAACGGGGGCCAGGCCTCGGCGACGCAGGCTGCCGCAAGCAGCCCGGCACCTGGGCGCTCACACCACGCTCATCTCCTACCCAGTCCTGCAACGTCTCCTTGTTTTGTGCACTCCCAACTCCAGGGCGTCACGATTCAGGAATATCTGCAGGTGAAGAAATGCGAAGCTATCCATGACACACACATGGACTTCGCTCGCAGCCACCACACCAACGGGAGCGTATCGGAGCCATACTCATCCCGCAGCTCCGAGTACGGCGACGGGGACGATGATGACGATTACACGGGGAGCCTGACCCGCCAGCTCGCCGAGACGGCCGTGGGTGTGCGTGAGATGAGCAAGCAGCTCGGTCAGTCGTCCGCTGTGCCCCCTCGATTAGTTGCTCATCCACCTCCAGGACGCACCCGCGTGCATTCACACGTCCAAAACGTGCTCATCGTCACCAAAGCGCGCGACAATCGCCTCATCAAGCTCACTCGCCAGGTCGCGCTCTACCTCATGCTCAAGCGCTCCTACGGCGGTCGCGGCATGGTTGTGTGGGTGCCTGGTTCATGCCCCTTGCCGTCGTACACGCTGACTCTGTTGCGCAGGTACGTCGACGCGCAACTCAGGACGTCCCGCAGGTTCGATGCGGCGGGCATCGAACGCGATTACCCCGAGCTATTTGCCCCTTTCCCTCAGCGGCGTGCGTCGAGCAGCTCGCTCGCAGCATATGCAAACGGCGACGAGATGAATCAAGCACCAACGAGCGAAGGACAGCTGCGGTACTGGACGGCAGAGATGTGCAGCCGAAGCCCGCAGCTGTTCGATTTCGTGATTACTGTAAGTGTTCGCCGTTGCTGTACACCTTTCCTTCAGCCTGCTCACCTTTACTCTGCAGCTGGGCGGTGACGGTACTGTACTGTTCACATCGTGGCTCTTCCAACGGATCGTGCCACCTGTGTTGCCGTTTGCCCTTGGGTCTCTTGGGTTCCTCACCAACTTCGACTTTGCCGACCACGAGGCCGTGATGGACGGTGCAATCGAGGCGGGAGTCCGCGTCAACCTGCGAATGCGGTTCACATGCACAGTCTACCGTGCCGTGGCACAGGGCGAGGGCAGGAAACGACGAGCAGTAAAGAAGGCTGACACGGGTGAGATATTGATGAAGAACGTAGAACAGGGAGGATGGGAGGCACTCGAAAGTGGATTAGCTTCCTTTTGTGACGGCGCGGGAAAGCCTGGGAAAGATAAGGAGATTATGTGTTTCTCCACGAGGCCCGTGGAAAGCTTCGAGGTGCTGAATGACCTGGTGGTTGATCGTGGCCCTAGTCCGTACGTTAGCTTGCTGGAGCTATTCGGTATGCCCGCAGCATGCGCTGAACGCTATACAGGCACTAATTACTGCTCACAGGGGACGAACACCACCTCACAACAGTACAAGCAGACGGACTATGCGTCTCGACACCCACTGGCTCCACGGCTTACTCTGTATGGACACTCTCTTCATATATCTCATGTTGATATTGACACACATTTTCCAGCTATCTGCCGGCGGCTCGTTAGTGCACCCAGAAATTCCTGCTATCCTGATCACCCCTATATGTCCCCACACATTGTCATTCCGCCCGATGCTCTTGCCGGATAGCGTGGAACTGCGCATTTGTGTCCCATTCAATTCTCGAAGCACCGCATGGGCATCCTTCGATGGCCGCGGACGGGTCGAACTAAAGCGTGCGTGGCCGGATTGTCGATCTCGACTGCAGATGTATGCTGACTCATGGATTGCAGAGGGCGATCACATCAAAGTGACCCCGTCCAAGTACCCTTTCCCTACCGTGTGTGCCGATACTCAGTCTACAGATTGGTTCAACGCAATCTCTCGCACGCTCAAGTGGAATCAGCGTGAGCGCCAAAAGTCGTTCGTGGTGGTTGAAGAGAGTCCGTCGCGCAAGACCCACAAAAAACGACAGCGTTCGGAGAATGGTAATGTCCCGAATGGCCATGCATCTCCAATAGTTGGAGCCAGAAGGGAGGAAGAGCTAGAAGATGACGACGAAGAAGACGATTGTTCAGATGACGGAGAAGATGAGGAGAAGTACGACATCGACGACCTCTCATCGAGCGAATCGCCACCCGCTGTAGATTCAACGATGAACCAACAGCAGGTACAGCCTGAAATTGAGCAAATAGGGAAAGAGAAAGCCATCGAAGCTCACCAGCTACCTTCGATACAGGCAAAAGCAGAGACTGCTGCTCGCCTCCTCGCTCAGGGGAACCCGTTTCTTCAGTCTGACCAGGGCAGGCCAGGCCTGCACTCGGGCGTGGAGACTCCAGATCGGTTCGCATGTCCTCACCCGCATCCGCCAAAGATCTCGCCACGGCACGTACAGTTCGTGACCTCGAACGGATCGTCGTCTTCCGACCTCGTAGCGATGAACCGCGATGAGACGGTGAGACCCCGTAGAGACCGCGCTTCGAGAGACGAGAGTCACCAGCAGCCGCGGCGGACGGGACAGTCTCGTAGTCGGACACCGCGTACGCGAGAAGCAGTCGATGCTGATAGCATGAAGACGCCTAGGGCGTTTGATGAGGGGCGGCGAAGACCGCGGTCGAGGAGCAGATCGAGAGAACGGCCACACGAGGGACATGCGCGTAGAGCGTTCGCTGTTTGGGGTCAGGACGAGAGCGATAGCGCCACGAGTGACAGTGATACATAGACAGGTACTCCATTTCCTTCGTTTTTCTTTAGACTGGTCGATTTCGTTTATCTTCCGTGCGCGTCCGTACGCTAGAGTTTCTGTGCATTGCTTGTTCTTTATTCGGATATACAAGGAAAGGCGGCGGAGCAGAACATGCAGTAATAATGTACAATAGCTTGCTTGCATTCACTAACATGTATCATCTCTCAAAAATATGGCGTGTTCCGCAGCACGAACCGCTCGAGCTTTCTGTAGTCCTCCCGATCCTTGGCCACTGCCCAAAGCCACGCATCCAGCTCCGGAGCCGTGATATCCTTTAGCCATGCCAGCTCTTCGCCTCCACTCGTGGCCATTTCGTGAGCGGTGTGCACAATGAGCTCGCATGCGTCGATCGCTGCAGCGCGCAGGATGTATGCTTGTTGCACAGACAGGATCGGGCCCTCTTTCGGCACTTCCTTGCTTTGGGGCGCTTTGGTATCTGGTTCGGAAGGAGGTGCCGCAGCTGATAGCAGTGATTCCAGCTGCTCCGCTTTCCCGGCATCCGGGAATATAGTGGACAGGCCTAGCAAGGGCTCAGAGGTGGATAGGTCGATGACGCCTAAATGGACGAGTAGCGATGGTATGACGTTGTCGACGAAGATGGGAAGATCGGCTGTACGAGGCACCGGGATCGAAGATGAAGACTCGGGAGGACCGAAGCGTAGTGCAATCGCATGGATTGTCAAGAGGGCTTTCTTGAAGCAATATATGGCTATAGTCACTTCAGATAATCGCATAATGGATGGATATGCTGAACTCGTACGGTGTTTGTTTACGGTAGCCATATCTCGAAATGCAGGGATGACCCGAACAAGCTTACGAGGAGATAAATTTGTATCAGCGTGGTCACCAAAGAAGTGACGAATATTTACCCGCTCAAGAACGACATCGCAATCAATGTTGGGATCGTCGCCGGAAGAGGCATGCTTCGCTCGTTCGCCTTCTTTAAGTGCTTCAAGCACAAAGCTGCCGAGATCAGGGTACCCAGTATCAACCAGCACGCTGCCAGTCTCGTTCATGGTTTCTGTGACCAGCTGGACCAGCTCCCACACTGGACCTCCCAGTTCTCCGACGGTAACAGCGGGGATGCTCTCATGTGCACGCTCAACGTGCACTGACTCCGCTACTCCCATGAGGTCCGCGACGGTATGTTCCCTGATGTCTCGCATTCCTTTCGCGGACAGGTAGTCGCCTTCGCCCGTGCCAGTGGCAGAGGAGATATACAGCCCGAAGACGAATGCTCGGATGTTGTCGAATGCGCCGCGACCCGTTGCGGTATGCAAGGGCACTCGATACCCTGAGCCGAAATTCAATAGTGAAAGGATGGAGATCAGATTGAGCTCCACGAGGGCTGAAGGGAAGTTGAGTGGCATGGTGTACCCGTGTGCAGTGCGCAGGCGGTCGAACGTCTGGGTGAATGCAGGTGAAAGGAGAAAGTGCTTAATGGCATCCTCTCTGATCTATCGTAGAGTGATCAGTCATCCGTGCTATCTAATATGCGAGGTGCAGACGTGGCCCCTGATGCACCAGGGCAAATCAATGATTTACGAAGTCCCAGGGACAGTCACATGGTGTTAATGGGACATCAAGTCGGAGATTCCACAAAATAAGATGTCAAAAGTGGTGTGATAGCGGTCCAGGAATTCATGTGCGGTTCATGCTGCACGTGGTTCACATAATAACAATGTGACAAGAAAAATGAAAGGATCAATAGCAAAACTTACTGTGATATTTGCCGATATCCGTGCAGCTCTGGAGGACTCACGTACCGAGCGTACGTAGCCTCCGTTTGCTGGTAGTTGCGTCATATCTGAGTGGTTTCCGTAGCTTGCGCGAGTGAAGAGCCGTTATAAAGTATCAACATTCAGCCTCCTTAAATTTCCTTCCGAGGCTCCTTCAAAGCAGTCGTCTGGTAGATAAGTGCGGTGATAGTTGCTCGCAGTCGGAGACGGTTCGAACACGCGTCGATTGAGATTGAGATTGACGCCCACTGAAGATTATGGCGCTGTGCCGACTCCCGAGCGCTAATCGAGCTGGCGCTGCCGACTTCGTTCGTCAAATCAATTCTCATACAATCGCAGTACCACGAAAAATTTGATTGAACTGGTGCCATGTTCAAGTGCGGCGCTGGTTTCGATTGGGAAAGACATTGTTCAGCGACCTGTTTCGAATTGCAGCGTTTATAAGGGTCGAGGAGTGGAACATTTTAAATACAACCGTACTGCTCACATTCACTATAATGAAAATTGTCGGCGCGGTGTCACAGTTCGTGGAAACATCTTAGCTCGTCTTAAGACGATATCAATACGTTATGCGACTGATTTCAACGCGGCACTATTGTCAAATCGTAGTACCGAGCAGTTCGATGCATTAGCTGTTGGAGAATCACTCACATCTTACCATCGCCGGTCATATGCATATTGCTTATCTACAATAGACAAGGCCAACTGATCCGCGATCATTATCATTTGCGACGCTCAGGAAACCTGAATGCATCAAGAATCTCTTTCAAGCCCTTCCGACCACTCCTCGTACGTCTGCAAGCAGCCTGGCTGCTTTCCTTCTCACGGTTGCGATCGCACCTTTGCCGATCGGAAGTGAAGCAGAGGAGTGGAAAGAGACGCTAGCCGATACATCTTGCCGACAGCCTTCATTGCATCATCACTGAAAAAATCGCCGTTTAAGAGAAGGCGCATCGCGGCGACGCTAGGCAACTCAGAGTTGTCATATGCCAGATGCGGTGGGACGTTTACCGCATTGTCGATTATGCTTGTGTAAAACGGCCCGGGCTCGATGAGCGTGACCTGGACCAAAAGTTATTTCATGTCATGACTCATTTGAACCAGCCGTAGACATTATTCATGAAGTGATCCCACACCTTTATGTTCCATGCTGGGTCGAGTCCGGCAGCAAGGGATTCGCTAAAACCCTCTAATACTTCCAATCATAGCACGCACTGATAAGCCGGAATATCCGTACTTGCTGATGAGCGAACTCACAGAATTTAGTGGCGTGATAGAAGCCATTTAACGGACCTCTACAGTCCCACATTGGGAAGACATCTGGAGAAGTCTTCCTCCGCGAGATTGGTTCACATCCCGATACATGCGAATCGCTTCTTTGCTGACGTTCACGGCGCCCCAGAAATTCATGTCAAAGAGTGCCCGTGCGACATGGTCTTCAGTGTTTTCCACCTCGCCAACGACGAGGCATCCAGCGTTGTTGAAAATCACATCGATGCGACCAAACTTCTTCTCCGCCTCCGCAAAGCATTCTTGATCTCAACCGGTTTGGTGACGTCAAGCTTGAGGACAACTAGCCTGTGCTCAGGGTATTTACGAGCGAGATCGACGAGAGCTTCTGGCTTCCTTAGCGTGCTGATCGCGATGTCTCCGTTTTGGAGCACGAGCTCTGTCATGCAACGACCGAAACCAGATGAAGCTCCGGTAACTCATTTAGCTAGAGTCAGTGCAATACATTTGAATAAATATGGAGTAGGACATACTGAACCATATTTTGGGGGACTCCATCGAGGGCAGATATAAAGGAGGCTCTATGACTTGAGGTCGACCTTTATATATTCCATCTTATTAGAGTTCTGACTCCGCATGATCAAATGATCCTAAAGGGCAGATACCTCGAGGAGTCGTGATAACGAGAAGTCAACCTAGCTAAGTAACAATGTCAACAACGGATGATCGCATCAAGAATCCAGTGACCAACTTGTCAATTGGAGATATATAAAGTGCAGACAGTCTAGGTAACGCTCATCAGAGTTGGTCTACAGAGTTTCCTGAGCTATAGTCCACGGGCCGACGAAGCGAAACCATAGACCTACAAGGAAGCCATGTTGACTGACCACGGATCTTCGATGCTCGCTACTCGATAAAGATCTGCTTTCACTATATTCTGAACAATAGCAACGCATTCAAGGAAGCTGGACGCTTATAACGTACCCATAGACAGAAAGGTGCAGGTCAAGGTATTTTGAGAATTACCCATTTGTGGTTTTCCTATCATGTGTGATGGTACGAATGGTCACATATCCCAGAAAGTCCACGAAACTTCACGGGCGCATAGCTGATGCTTAACAACGGTGAAGGTAGGCGAGTAGCAAGGCAAATTCTACTAGCTGAAAGCCTGTGAGCATATGGGGCGCGTAAAGTGGCTCAGGCGCTCTTTTATGAAGGTCCGACTTATGGTGCAGATTCCGCCGGCGCCTGAGCCACTTCACAGGCTTTCAGCTGAAACGCCATCACGTGGTAAACACGATCACGACGCAAGCGCTCGTGTTGGTTTTGAGCGCTCGAGTGCTCTCAGCGACTCTTCCACTGTCCACGTAGTGTCCGCCGCGATATCCCCATCCTCCTTTCTTACATCACATCGCTGAATCTATCTCATATCTTGAATTGCCATCTATCTTTGTCTTGACTAATGACACAAGATTCCTGTGTATATCTTACAACCTCCCGCATCAACCGCCTCTTCAGGCCACTTCGCGCCAAGTGCACTGCACTAGCCGAGTTTGTGTCTGTGTCGACGAGGAAAAGAGCGGCTGTCTCCGTAACATATTCTAGGACGACACGTTTCGCCTCTGCACATGTATTCGTTGACCGCGATGTGCCACCCTTGGCCCTGCTGCAGCCACCGGAAGCTCTGCGGTCGCGCATTCATCTGGATAGGACGAGTATGGACAACCTTCAACTATCGAGGAAGATATATGATGTACGAGATGCATTCAAAAACATCTTACAAGCATCGTTAGGATCAACTGCAGTCCGCGGCCATTCCGGGCCATCCAGCCTTGCTGCTCTATGTGCAGGTATCGTAGGGGAGAACCTCCACGATGACGTCGAAGCCTATCAGGAGGGTCTGTTACAAATGGGAAATGATACAGACGAACATGCCGCAATGGAATTTCTGGACGATCTCTACGAAGCCGTCCCAGGACATTATCGCAGGTTCGTTGTATTCAGGACTATAGCCTCTCCGGTAGTAACGTCTCTACAGCTTTGCTGTTACCTCGCATGCGGTATCATATATTCTAGACGTTTGCCCCCATCATCCTACCCTACTTACCGCCCTTCTCGACACTTGTCTCAACCACGCATTAGTCAAAGAATCTCAATTCATCCTACGCGCTTTGTTCAAGGCGGCCATCCGATCTACGGGCCAGAATTACACGCCTATCTGCCCGCTTGCTCATCATGCACACAGCAACTATCTAACCACTCTCCGCGATATTTGTTGCTCGAACAACAAGTCCACTATCTGTCTACAGCTCGATGATTATACTTTCGCCGCACTTCTCATAGATGTGCTCGCAGAATCTGGTGCAGGCTCAGTCGAAGCATGGACCTCAAAGGCAGTCGCAAAGCTCGCGATGCAATTGCAGACGCAGAGCTTCACAGCATTTATTCGACTTTGTTCCGGACTGGCGAACAGCATTGCCGACGCTGAGCATCAATCTACTCGGAGGAAATCTAAAAAGATAGACGACATTCAGCCTGACTCTAATGCGCCCTTGAAGAAGCGACTCGTGAAATGGGTCAAGTCTGCACTAGATCGCTTGCACTCACAATTCTCGAGCGGCGACACCGCGGTGCTGTCAGCCGACGTTTCAGACAATTTCAATGCCGTCGTTGACTTCTTGCTTCTCGCCATGCCTCTGCACTTTCGCGCTGTCCAAGACTTCTCAGATCCTTCAAGTGCAAATTTGACTGACGCGATGGTCTGTTTGGGTACCTATTGCCTCGCGGCGCCCCTCGCATCTTCTCTGATATCGAGCGATCTCGAGTCTCTGGTCAAACTGTTACACAGTGCACGTGCTGGGACGGAGACGTTTGATACTTTGGTATCATTGGTGTTCTCTCCCACCCCTGCTTCTCCCCTCTTGGATAAGGAGCCTTCAAGCCAGAGCTCAACCCCCACCCCTCCGCCCGAATCATCCATCCCTCACGTAGGGGGACTGCAGGAACTTCGCAGATATGCACGTGCATTACGTTCGCATGACATTTTCCACCTGGAAGCCTCACTGTGGTCAAACGCGCTGCGCCACGTCGAGGACATATTGCTTACGTCAAACTCACTGCCTTTCATGTCAAAACCTGTAACGGCAGTCGACCTGGATGCTATCAGGAAAGAGCTTGTACGACGCGTCGAACGTGCCGAGGCACGATGCTTTGGCGCTCGTAATGCCTCCCGGCTTGCAGTTGCTCCTGTGACACAGCCTGGTGATGCCGTGCCTAGTCCTGCTTCAACCCACATGTTTGAGGCAAGGGAGCCTCACAGGGGTGAGGAATATGTTTGGGAGGAGATGATCAGCTCCTGGGTGCGGAAAACTCCAGTCGTTGAACGAATGCCACGACCCTCCAAGCGGCGGAAAGTCGACCTTGACAGTCCTTCTGACCAGTCGGGTTGTCGAAATTCCCTATCAAAGTCGCGGCTGCGTCGGTCTCAATCGCGAGATTCACATCCGTGCTCGGATAGCATACCAAGGGCACGTCGTTCCGTGTCTAGCACGAGCCTGGAGGTGAGCCCGACGGTAACAGCTGTGGCTTCCGACGATTTCGACGCCCCTTTGAGCGCTGGGAGCACTAGTCGCTCTCTGTCTAGGTCTCCCAGCAAGCATCGGCGGCAGGATGAGTTGAAAACACTCAATTGCACGCCGCACGGCCAACGTGAAGCTCAGTCGCGCGCTCGCCGCATCTCGAACTTTGCAACCATTGTCGCAGATGCTCAGATGAATCGTATCGTCCTACATCCGGAGCGCAAATCTGAGGAACGTTCTGGTAGCAGCGATCGGTCTCCTCAGTCGCGGAAGAGCACTGCTGCAGAGGCTTTTGGTGATCGCAGGTATGTTACCGTTAAGAGGACTATGTCGAGGAGTCCGGTTCGAAGTCTTTGCACTGCCGACCAGCTCTCATCAGATGATGCTTTGGATCTATTCGCATATCGCTCGTCTTCGCCATCCGAGCCATAGAACGTCTATCTACAGACTCTACATGGCTCTACATCGTACCTCAAGTGTATTCGCATATTTGTCTACATCATGTACATCGTTTCATCATCTACCCTTAGCTATTTTGCATGGAATATTGATAGCAATCGGCATTGTTGTATCGATCATACACCTCGTATGTCTTAGTTGACTCTATTTTGATGTTTGTTCAGTTGGTCTCTGCTGTGAGGCTTGAAGGATATCTCCGCGTTGTCAATATCCGTGGCTGACACTTCTGGCAGAAGAAACATGATCTTGGCGAGCGAGGAAACCTGAACAATAAATTTTGTCGAGGATCCAGAGGCCTGTTGGAAAGATGTGGGATGAGGAAATCGGATGATATAGCTCTTCATACACTGCTAGCCTGCAGGAAATATGTATGTGCGATGTCCGATTCTGACCAGAACAGTTTACCCTGATCATTATATTATCATCATTCCAATTCAATTAATTAAGTACTATTACCCTTGTTTCTTGCGCGTTTGAATTATATAAGTTGACGGAAGCTACAATGTAATGTACTGCGTCACTAGTGATCGGCCGGAAAGCGCTAAGCGCCCAATAATGAGCACTCTGATAGGCTGCGCTGAGGCCACCAATCAGGACGCACGGTACTGATTGTCCAGTCGGCGACCGTGAGCCTCGTGGCATGGGCGCCTGCTCTGTGTGTGGCCCCGAAAATACAGACTTCAGCGTTGTCTTTTAGATACGAGCTATATATATGGTCTTTGACGAAACTAACACTACGCCAAGACGTTCTATTTCATGCGAAACTATGCGCTCAAATAACTATCATCACAAGGCAAATTTATGAGGAACGAGTGAAGAGAGAAAATCACTTAGCTCCCTATGTCCGAAGTTCGAACGACAAACACACTACCTGATGATCGCAAGAAGTCGTTATTATCGATCACCAGAGATCAATGGCATGGATAACGATCGGCAAGTAGAAGACATCGCCACAGCATCGGCTAGCGTCGGTCGTATGTAGAGCGGCGTTAACTCCAGCGCCAGCACAGCCACCAAAGACGTTTGATAGAATTCAGTGGCGAATAGATGCGCGGCGGGCACAGGCATGACGTGATCGATCACAACAGGATGAGTTCGCATTGAAGACCTGTGTGCGTGAGTATCGCGGATCGATGTTGTGGCCGACAGGCGTTAGACATTGATTCGGCATTGTCCTGGTACGACTATGAAGAGACAGAAGGCTTACAGCAACCATTGGACTCCAAGCGTCTCATTGGTCCCAATGTCATCGCAGCCGGGCAGGAGCGTAGGCTAGAAGACACAGAAATTCGTGAAACTAGGGAGCTGATGGACGCCCCGTGGCTCGCGCGATGGCTGCAACACGACCCGAGATGCTCTCCAGGATCCAGGCCTCAGGCCCACAGCATCGTTACACATTCTTGCTCATGCGTTTACAAGCACTATGAGCGAGCGACGTTCAAGGGCAACGGCCCGGCGGCCCGATTGAATACGACAGCAGCGGGCGGAAAGTCGAGAGACTCCTAGATGGCACTGTTCGTCCAGGCGAGGCGTTGCTTGTGCAGGGAAGCGTAGATCAGGGACTGCGAGAGACGGGCCGGGGTGGGAAGGCGTGCTAGGCGCACCGCAAATGTGAATGAGCCCGGAAGCTGACTCAGGGCGCTGACGCTTCGTGGCGTCGCGAAACAGTCAAACGAGCCTCCGTGAGGGAATTGTGCTAGCGTTACTTACGTCTACCAGCATGAAACCATGAGGTTGCTAGGGTGGGGAGAATCCACGATCAAAAAGAGGCTGCGCCAGTGAGCGAGACATGTTTGATCCCTTGAGCGTACCTGAGTTCGAAAGGGCGTTTGAAAGAATCAAAGACAACCCGGGCCGCAATCTGCCTCGACCTGGAACGAACGTCAAGGAGCATTTGTGTGCCGCAAAACCGCATGCAGTCGCTCCCGGGTTGTCTTTCTGTCACTTCTACTTGAGCCGTAATGTTATAGGGAGACAACGGATCAAGGAAGCTATGGAATTTGTAGTGCTACTGTCAGCGGATATCGCGAGGATCGCAGAAAAACTGTGCAGCTGATGGTACGAAGCTGAGAGCGGCGATGCAGACGAGCATTCAGGCATGGCCCGCGCCTTTTCGAGCAGCGTCAACAGCGAAAGATCCACAGCGCGGGCGAGCATAAAACGAGGAGGAAAGTCGTCGTCAAATCGCATGTGTTAGTTGTTTCTAGAGCGATTCTAGGAGCGAGGGCTGGTTCCGCGCACAGCAAGTGTGGAAAATATGGGGCCCCGTACGCCAAGCAGTCCCTCGCACTGGACAGTCAGTTGACGATTGGTTGAGCGGGATGCAGCCACGGCAACTGCATTACCCGGTCTGGACGCGCTGTGGGCGTCGTCTTCTCAAGTGCGCTCGCACGGAGAGTTTGTGCAGACGATATCTACTATGGCCACGACAAGCACCAGAGCGTGCAGAAATGAGTATTTCAGTCGACACATGGCTGCTGACCGTTCCATGTTTGGCATTGGAGGCATGTGAGCGTGTACCCACAGGAAGCCCCTCGTCGCTGCGGCAGCGAGGCAGCTCATCTTCCTTGCTCTCGACGACCATCTCTCAGTCTCCTCGCCTCCCTTCGGGAGGCCATTTGTCGCCAGCATCGCATCCGGAGCCATTCTCTCCGTAGGCGGGACACCGAGTGCGGACAGAACCGGGTTGCTGTTCTCTGACGGTCCAGTCACGAGACACGCGTTGCACCATATATGGAAACAGCCATCTCATGCTGAATGCAGTTGGCCTTGCTCGCTGCTACTATAAAGTCATCGTCTCTCCGCCCGTTCATACTCAACTCCCTACCCCGTATCTCATCCTCGTCTTGTCCCCTCACCCGTTCTTTCTCTCGTCCATACTCCACGATTACACGCGCAGCCGATGTAAGTCTCGCTCCCGTGCCAGCTGACCCGGTCACGGCCTGGATGACCTCTGCCGAGGTATATAGGCCGCGGGTCGGGTCTCTGCTGGCAGTTGTTTGCAACCCTCTTACTATCCCCCTCACCTGTACTAACGCACTGTGCTTTTGCTCTCCTCTCCTAGTCTGATATCACCATGGCCTACCGAACCCCCTACGTGACCCCTCGCATCCTCCACAAGAACTATGCCCAGGCGTTCGACGCCGAGCCAAGCAAACGTAAGTGCAACGTCTACACGCGTCTTTCCGTTCGCTCACGACCCCGCTAGTGGTTGGGCGCGACCTGGAGTACTTCTCCCAGGCTGGCTTCGACATGGATCGGATCCAGATCAAACGCAATGCCCCTATTGCTCTCCTCTACGAGGACGCCATCCGGAATGAGGGCGCAATCATCTCCTCGTCAGGGGCGTTGATCAATTTCTCTGGCAAGAAAACTGGCCGTAGCCCCAAGGACAAGCGTATCGTCTACGAGGATACGTCCAAGAGTGAGATCTGGTGGGGATCCGTTAACATCATGATGGACGAGCGTAGGTGTACTTTGTATTCGCCCGTGTCTCATTTCGCTCACGCTTGCACGCAGACACCTTCGAGATCAATCGTGAGCGTGCCATCGACTACCTGAACACCCGCGACAACGTCTACGTGTTCGATGGTTACGCTGGCGTGAGTCACCCCAAACGTCATGCGAGCATAGATTTTTTGCTGACTTCCATCTTTGATCCGTGCCTAGTGGGATCCGAAGTACCGCATTAAGGTCCGGGTCATCTGCGCGCGGGCTTACCACGCGTTGTTCATGGTAAGCGCCGTCCGAGCTTTTCGCGTCCGCATGTCACTGACGTCACGCGACTCAGAACAACATGCTCATCCGACCAACGGAGGAGGAGTTGAAGACCTTTGGCGAGCCCGACTTCATCATCTACAACGCGGGCCAGTTCCCGGCCAATCGCTTCACGAAGGGCATGTCGTCGACGACGTCTGTCGAGATCAACTTCAAGCGCATGGAGATGGTCATCCTCGGTACAGAGTACGCCGGTGAGATGAAGAAGGGTGTCTTCTCCGTCATGGTTAGTACTTCCCTGTGGTGCAAATGATGAGTGGTAGCTGACGCGTCTTGTCATTCAGCACTACCTCCAACCCGTCAAGTTTGGCACGCTCTCGTTGCACTCTTCTGCGAACGTTGGCATGGACAAGGGCGACGTGACGCTCTTCTTTGGTCTGTCTGGCACGGGCAAGACGACGCTCTCCGCAGACCCGCGCCGCCTGCTGATCGGTGACGACGAGCATGTGTGGTCGGACACGGGCGTGTTCAACATCGAGGGCGGGTGCTATGCCAAGTGCATCAACCTCTCCGCAGAGAAGGAGCCCGAGATCTTCAACGCGATTCGCTTCGGCAGCATCCTCGAGAACGTCGTGTACAACCCTATCTCGCGCGTACCGGACTATGATGACATCAGCATCACGGAGAACACGCGTTGCGCGTACCCGATCGAGTACATCCCGAATGCGCAGATTCCGTGCGTGGTTGACCGCCAGCCGAGCAACATCATCATGTTGACGTGCGACGCGTTCGGTGTGCTCCCGCCTGTGAGCAAACTCACGCCGGCACAGGCTAGCTACCACTTCTTGGCTGGTTACACCTCGTACGTGCATGTTTGCTTGTGCTTGTCGATACTTTCTCATTGTAATGCCTGTAGAAAAACTCCTGGTACAGAGGACGGCGTCCTTGAGCCAATCCCCACCTTCTCGACGTGCTACAGCGCGCCGTTCATTGTCCTCCACGTACGTGCCACGTTCTATCCAACAATCATCGCAGTTGCTGATTATTCTCATAGCCCGGCCGCTACGCCGAGATGCTTGCAGAGCGCATGAAGAAGTACAACGTCGACTGCTGGCTGATCAACACCGGCTGGACTGGCGGCAAGTTTGGCACGGGCAAGCGTTGCCCGCTCAAATACACGCGCATGATCGTAGATGCGGTGCACTCGGGCGAGCTCGCAAAGGCGGAGTTCGAGACGGTCGGCACGTTCAACTTGAAGGTCCCGACGCATATTGAGGGTGTGCCGCGTGATCTGCTGAACCCGCGTCATGCGTGGGCGGACAAGGAGGCGTTCGAGCGCGAGGTGCGCAAGCTTGCGGTCATGTTCGGGAAGGCGTTTGCGCTGTACGAGTCGGACGTTGATGAGAGCGTGCGCTTGGCGGGCCCGCAGATCGCGTGAGCGCTGAGGACGGTGTGTTTGACGGACTGCAGTTCATCATGGTCGGGCATGTAGGAATGTTGAGCCACAGCCTATGTACTTGTATGCATTCATTAGCTATAGAGCAAATAGTCTATGTCTTCATGCTGGCGTGTTATTGAGGTGAAGCAGGCTGCGATCTGTTAGGACTTACCAACTGCGGCTTGAACACTGATCTTGGTCGTGCAAGTCAGGTTCTGGTCTGGGCTGGACCGCATGTCTATGGACTTCCTTTATTAACGGCGCACGGTCTTCTTTGATGTGGCCACTCACCCAAGCCTGCAGCAAGTGAATATGCATCAGAGATTGCCCACATCCTGGACTTGCGGGCCGCGCAATCGACTCGAGAGCACGGAATGCAGTTTTGGTGATCATCAAGTCATGTTTTTCATACCTCCGAGCCCGTGGTTCCATCAGAAAGTCAATGTTGGGCAAAGTGCTCGTCAGCCCCTTCGACTCGAACAGCGCCGCGTTTCGGTCAGAAACTTTACCTACGCTTCGGCGTACGTCGTACTCGACCAACAACTCGTCGAGACATTCATCGAGGTTGAGTGAGTTGATGGCCGGGCGCCTGCCACAGCTGGGCGGCGATCTGAATCATCACGAGCCCGATCACTCTGTGATAGCGACGCGGTTGAGCGCCAGGCCTTCCACGCGCGTTGATTCCCCCTCTACACTCCGACAAGCGCTGCCCCTCATCCCTTCCTCGTCGACGCGCAGCTCCTCGCTCGAGTGATAAAGTTCGTTCCGCCGACGCGTTTTTATTGAGATCGAAATGTCCTCTCGCTTCAGACTGCGACCTGTTACAGACTCGTCACCGAGTGGCCACTCCGCGTTCACCAACAGAGTGGTCAGTCCGCCGTGATGAGGTGCAAACAACCGCTGATTATTGATTCGTAGGAGATAATCGACAGTGATAGCGGCTCGGAGTTGGAGGAGCTAGCTACTATTTCTAGGATTCTCGCTCAGCGCCGTCGTGGGCAGCGACGAGAAGAAGACGAAGGGGAGGAAGCCGATCAGAGCGAGCATGAACATCCGAAAGAATTGTCACGCGCCCACCAAGATGCCCCACCATCCGACGAACAAATCTCATTGCTGGCTCAGATCAAGGTGGAAGCGCAAGACGAGGTGGTGAGATATTTTGACGCCGATGGCGACCCCATCCCCGTATTCGGCGACAAAAAGCACCGGTGGGACCCGAAACTGCTCTCAGGTGCGACAAAGGCAGTCAGTAGCTCATCGGCCTCTCCTCTGAATTTTTCTGATTTTGTTCACACCCACAACGTTCGTCCCCGCACAGGCACGGCCGTGCGACCGCTGTCGCCGCAATAACGTGAAGTGCATCCTCAACACGGCCGAGTGGGCGCGCTGCGTGCTCTGCATGCTCTCTAGCAAGTCGTGCAGCCTCGCGCCAAAGTATGCGAATGGCCGGTCTGCGAAGGGTAACGCGGCCAATCAGGTGCAGAAACGCTATCAACAGTTGTGTGCGGAGCTGCTCAGTCAAGGGAGCACGTTTGATGAGCTTCCTCCGTCGCCAGAGACTGTTCCTGGACCCATGTCAGGGCCTTGGAAAGATGGAAAGACAAAGGCGGAGGTGCAAGAGCCCTCGTTATCAGAGCCCGCGTGCAAGCGTGCTGGGGCCAAGTCGCGTGCAAAGGGGAAGGCTAACGCTTCTGCACAAGGGGAGCAGGTGAACGGCAATGCGAGCAAGAAACGGCCGCACAAGGCGGCTGTGAAGAAGGAGGCTGTGCAAGTACCGGTCTCATCTCTGCCAGCCGAGGCAGAGAGAGCACCACATATGGCCTCGGAAGGTTCCTCGCCACGCGCTGTAATTTCGCAGCAATCTCCCGCTGTGCCCTCATCAGATGTAAACGGCGCGCCGACGGCCACTTCCTCGTCGCTGAAGCGGCGGATTGTACCAGTCCTGACTATTAGCGATTCGGATAGTGATGATCTTTACGATGTAACTGAGTTCCGGCGTCCATTCAAACTCCAACGCTTTGGGTCTAGCAATGGGGAATGGTAAGCTTCTATACGTTTTGCTAGGTAGACGCAATTATGTGTCTGATGCTAAACGTGACAGTATCCTCTCGAAGCAGGCTGCAAAAGTCGAGCCGGTTGCGGAGAGCATCAGCAGCTCTTCTCGGCCAGCTGCCCTCACGGCGAGCGGCAGTAACTCAACGGCTGTGACCGCGCCCGTCCACAATGTCCGGCCCGTTCAACCAGCGCCGTTATCGCCAGTGTATCCTGCTTCCGTTCCAGGTATATTTACCTATCGAGATCTAGCTGAGGGCGGGCTAGACTCGGAAACCCAAGGGTCCTCGCAGCACGTCCTCAAGGGACTCGTCTCTCGGGAGACCATCGCGAACAATAAAGGAAAGGGGAAAGCTAGGGAGACCGATGATAGTGCACGACCGGACGCGGATGCCGTTTCTAACACCGCGTCGAAAGCCCCGAATGGTAAGTCGACGGATGTGAAGGCAAGGACGAAAACGAAGGCAGCGACGGCCTCGAGCTCGAATTCGCGCCCTACGATTAGGATTCCGCCACTACGAATCCCAGCCGCCAAAACCGCTGCCGCTCGGCCGGGAGAGCAGAATGGGGATATTGCTGCATCTATAGCTGTGGCCACCAACACTGCTGCTGCGACTGTCGTTGCAAACGGTGTTACCGGTACAAAGGCGGCTACAAGTGCTCAGACGCAGGCCGGCGAGTTGTCGGCTGCCAAACATTCTGTAACGACTACTAGGATCGAGCCTATTCTTCTTTCTCCTATCTCATCCAATGCGGCTGCTCCCGCAAAGACGGGGTCTTCCGTGCAGGGGCCCATGCCCGTACCGATGTCCATATCAGCCTCCCAGCTATCGGAAGCATTCGGCGGTGCTTCAGTTCCTTCTGTCCGTTCAGTCGGCGCGGATAAGGTGGTTATTCGTCAGCCTTCACCGAAAAAGAGCGCAAAAACTGTGGAGCGGGAGCCTCACCAGTTCGGAGATGACCGTCCGCCAGTCAATTCTCCGCCGATAGCTTCATCCTCCTCCGCACCTGCCGCTATCCAATCTATTACACACCATCCACAACCAGGCGATACTCAACCAGTCACTCCTCTACCAGGAGCAAGCGCCGCCGCGCCACCTGCTGACACGGAACCGCAAAACGTCCGCGACCTGCGCAACATGCTGCTCGAAGAACGCGTACACGCGCTTCAATTTCGCGTGCGTTGCCTGGAGGAGCGCCTCGAGCACGCCGAGCGCAAGCACGAGGACCGCATCCGCCTGCTTGAACGGCAACACGACGAGCGCGTTCGACAGCTCGAGCGGCAGTCCGAGGAGCGGCTGCGCTTGTTTGAGCGCAGCGTTGAGGCGCGGCTGCATGGGTTGGAGACGCGCGAAAAGGCGGTACAGGAGGGCGCGCAGACGGCGTTGGGGTTGGCGCAGGCGACGATGAAGGAGGTGGTGAGGGCGTCGGAGGGGAGGATTGGCGCGATTGAGGGGCTGTTGAAGGCGGCTGTGTCGGGGTCGGCTTCGGCGTCGGGGATACAGGATCAGTGTGAGGAGGGACTTCGTGAGGGCCAGTCTGGTCCTAGCCGTCTGGCGTCGACATCTGCGGCTGGTGGGCAAACTTGAGTGATTATGTTGCTCGGTGAGGTTTTTTTGTGTATCTTTAGTGTGCTTGACGCGTGTGTGCATTTGTATGGGAATGAACGACTGCTGAGATTATGCTTCGCGGAATTATGTTGGCGAGAAAGTGAGATGGGAGTGTAGGACCAATCGGCAGGTGTTTGTTAGCTCACTTGTCTTGTTCGTTGACCTGCGTAGCGTTCGATTTGAAGGCAGAGCTTTATCTGGATTCGTCGATTCGGAGCTAATTATAATTGTAGCAGATATGACAATGTACAGCCGGTTAAGTTCTCCGGTATGGCGTTGACGTCTTTAGCGCTCAACGGTCGTCACGTAGAACAAGCCACCGAGGAGACACTACTTGTGGCCTGTCAATGGGAGCAATCAACTCCGCGGTACGTCCTACGTGTCACGCAATAAACTTCCTCTTTGTAGAGGAATATGTAAGATAAATCGCGCCTTACATTCCTGATTTACAGCAGCGTCCAATAACGTGCAGAGAGAGAATCAGAGCGCATGCCGGAGTCCATCTCAAGAACGAGTGTCCAGCCAGCTCCTGAACAGTCTGTAAAGCGATGGTCTTTGCCAAAGCGTGGTTCAATGAGTTCAACCTCGAGTCATCGAAATGCGATGCAAGCGGTGATGCGGGCTCACGAGTGCATGCATGGCACGTCAGTCGTATGCCTGCGGCATAGGATCGTCTGAGGGTATGGCGCAAATGCTTCAGACCCAAATCGCATGTTGACCATCATGTTGTAAAAGATCATCGCGGTGCTACATGCAATAAATAATCCATGACATTCCGAATCCAATCACAGCAATATATACACGCACGCGTACAAAAATCATCTCCGCTTACCATACACACCATAGCTGATCGTCAAGGAGACCTTTGTGCCACCGATAGTAGACCTAATTCTAGGCTACGGAGTTGTGGAGCTGCGAGCCTCTCCGTGTTACTCCAGTCGCCTGTCGCTTCGCTCCGTCCTTCCCCTCCAGCCCTTCCATCTGGTCTGACCGGCGCTTCACCGGCTTGCTCGAACCCTCTGCCTGATCTCCTGCAGCGCTCGCCTGCGCCGAAAGACGAACGCTCCTCCTCAACAGTCCTTTCTCCTGCTGTTCGCTCGTTGTTTTCTTCTTCGACTGCTTCGACTGTTTCGATTGCTTCGCATTCTCCACCAGAGAGAGCCTCTCTGTAGCCATTCCAATGCTTTCGAACTTGTCGCTGACTTTGTCACGGACAAATCCTTGAGATAGGCTGTCCATCGCTTCCCAAAATGTTGCGAGAATCTCGTCATGCGTGGCGAGACACAAGCTGCCCACGTCAGTTGTCTTCACAGTGGCAGATGGACCTGGCTCAGGAAGGCTCTTAGCCTTAGAATTTGGTCGGGGATCTTTGGGTAGCGCCGCAGTGAAATCTGGCTGGAAGGTTGGTTTGGCTGGTGGAGCTGGTTGAGGTGCACGAGCCTTGAGTGCCAGGTAGTGGTTGTGTGCTAGCTGCGAAAGAGAGTCCAATAAATTCTCGAACACATCCATTGTGTTTGTTTGGCTGCCATTCCCTGGTACCGGACATCCACTGTTTGTATTTCTCTCCGCCGCCGACATGGTGATTGCCGAAATCGTAGTCGCGAAATTCAAAGAACTTCAGGACATGTTCTTTCAGCCAGCCTACACGATCCACCTCGCACTGATGGTCATGGAACCTCAATGACATCCATTCTATGATGAGAATGACAGACTCGAGATCATCCGAAACCTCGTTCTGCGCAGTCGAATTTCGGAGCAGTCGTGCGGAGATAAATTGCCATGTTCCCTGAATATCCCAATGACAGTGTGAGATGGTGGACAGTATTGAGAGCAGAAAAGACTTGCCGATCGTCCCACTCGCTTCGCACCACTTTTAAGCTCGTCTTTGGACTTGGCAAGATGCCAGTCAATCAGAAGAGCTTCGATGCGTCGGGGTTCATCCTTAGGAAGGTCTCGGGGATCAACCTCATCGAAGACCATATTGTAAGGACTCATGTCCCGTTGTAGCAAGCCGCACTTCTCCCACGCCTCGCAGTGTGCTGCCATCGAAAGATTAGCACCAATGAATTACAGAATGCGACTTCCATCTCACCTCTCAGCACGCAAAAGCCCGCCATAATCAGTTCACCTGAACTGGAATAGCTATCCAATGGTCGACCAAGCTCCTTGAGTACGATGCGATAATGTCTCCGGACGGGACGCCCGTGCTTCAGATCGCCGCAAGCCTTCGTCTTCTGCTCGCCTACATAGCCACCGTACAGGCACGTTGCAGTGTACGGTACCTCGGCCTCCTGGATACACTTGTACGTCGTGTGCTCACCGTCCTCCCATTCCTCCGGCCAGCAGTCCTTCA